TAGAATAATAGATTATTACTAAGTATTAATAATCTCCTAATATATATATATATTTATTTTACTAAATAGAATACTCTCTTAAATAGTTATTAATATAATTATCTATATCTCTATTATTACTAGCTCTATAATACTTATATATTAATAGTAACTTATATTATATAGCCTAAGATAATCTGATTATACTACTCAGAATAATACTCTAATTAGTTTAACTCTAATCTACCCTAGACCCTGTTCAGTATAAATTATCTAATTATTATACTTAGATAATAGTTATTACTATTTTAAGAGCTTTATTAGAAATATTAATTAAACTCTAAGAGATTAAAATATTTATATTAGATATTATAGCTATTTAAATTATCTAGTAATTAATTAATTAAATAATTAATTAATTAAATAATTAATTAATAATATAATTAATTAATCTGGATTAAGATAAGCTTTAAATTAGAAAGGAAAGATAGTTATTATTATTAGATAATAAGTTTCCCCCCTTAGGAGCTATAGCTATAGTTAGACTATTTATATATCTAGCTATATAAATAGCTCCTATTATTAGAGTTTTTAAGATATTAATATCTATATTCAGATTAAAAGTATTTAATTTTAACTTTATCTTATAGTATTAAAGATTTAGATATAGACTATTAATTATATTTTTAAAAAAATTATATAATCTAGTTATATATTATCTGATCTTAGAATATATTCTTATTTATAGTAAAACTAATAAAAAAAAATATAATAGTTATAGAGTATAAGGAGTATATTACTCCTGGTAATTTATTTTTATCTTATAATAGAAGTATAATACTCCTATTACTCCTATTCTTTAGATAGTAGGGTATATATAACTATATAACCTATTATAGAGGCCTTTATTTATAATATAAACTCTTATATATTTATATCTTAATATATCTTTAAAAATTATCTTTTAATATCTTTAGTAATACTAATAATTAGATAAAAAAGAAAAAAAGCTATAATAACTATTTAATAGGAAATTAATAGCTATATAGCTTAATATATAATTTTATAAAAAAAAAAAAATCTAACTATCTAATTATTATTTTATAAGATCTATAAAGATTTAAATAAATAGTAAATATAATTATCTATTTTAAATATTAAAAATATATAGTTAAAGAAGTTAAATAATTTCCTATAGTTAAAGAAAAGATATACTATTTATTTAGAATTAAATAAATACTTTATTAAAATATCTAATATTATTAATATAAAGAAATAATATAAGAGTTAATTAGATACTAAGATATTAGCTTAAGAAATTAAGATTTATATTTTTAAAGAGCTATACTTTATCTAGTAGCTTAAATAGCTTTATTTTTAATATAAAAAATTAATTATACTAAGAAATATATATTTAAATTATATACTTTAATTATTAAAGGTAGACTATTAAGGAGGGTAGACTATTGACATAGGTGGCGACTTATGAGACTGGTCTTATTTTTCATCACTCCTGGGTTGCTGCCTTGTGATGGCCCACTGTAACGTAGTTGTTCCTAGCAGTACTAAACTGCAGTGCCTCGTTTCACTGCACCGTGAATTCAGCGAAAGACCAATAAACAAGGTTAAGCATATATATATATATCATCCTTATTGCATTTTGTATTATCATTTACATTAACTATGATATCTCTAAAGTAACTCTCCGGACTACCAAAATTGGTTTTTTCCTATTGAACCATGGCTACTCAAACCTCCGCCCTCTCTCAGACTCTGGAGAGCATCACGCTCACTAAGATCCAGGAGCTCGAAAAGCAGCGGGACAAGTACGAGACGAAAAAAGCAGACATTCTTTATGAAGCGGGGGAATACACAGACCTGAGAACTCGCATCGCCTCGCTCATTGTCGGCGTAAGGGAAATCTACCCTGAGTGTACTTCGGACCGGGACGTCAAGAATATCCACTATTGGTTGAACCAGTCAATGCACGACGTTAACGTCCCCGATGAGCTGCTGGAAAAGTACGAGGAGGTCCTCAGGTCCAAGCTTGAAGTTCCCACCCGCAAGTTTGGTCTGGGCCACCTCTACGCAAGCCTCGTCAAAGAATGGATGGCCGTGTCAGCCAGGGAGGCTTCCCCAGGCGCAGAAGAGGAGACGTTCGAAGTCATAGATCGCCAGAAGCAGCGGCTCCAGGAGCTCTGTGACAAGTTTGAGAAGGTGGTTTTCGAGCCTCTTGAAACGGATGAAGCCGAGATTGAGCGCTATTTGGTCGAGCTGTTTTCGCGAGTGGATAAAGCCAAAGGACATGAATCTCTCGAGTTCTTGAGAGAGTCAATTGGAAACTCTTGCTCCAATGTATTTGGGGCTCAAGCACCATTCGATACGCATGTCTTGAAATGGTGTATCAAGGGATTGCTGGCTGAACACTTAATCAGCGAGGAAAAGCAGAATTTGCTTCGAGGATTTCTGGATAACGAAATTGTGTTATCTGAGATGGTCGATGTCTTGAACACAAGATTTTCAGATATCGAAACTTGGGAATGGCAGGTTGGTGAGAATGGCAGTGAGTACCACACTTCAGCCGCAAGGCTTGTACATCAACTTAATGAGAGGAATTGACCAAATACTGATTAAATGCGCCACTAGTTCCCGTTCTCCCCAGACAGCAGCTCAATGGCAAGTACCGAATCTGGATTGATGAAGACGTTCTGCAAGCCTTACTCGTTCACTACATTGGCACAAAGTTCTGCGTGAATCTGAAACAAACACTTATCCAGTTCATCTCCAACAAGTCTACTTGGAAATGGCATATTGGACCATATCCTTACACTTGGGACAAAACCCGCCGTCTCTACTATCTCATGGACGATGTTTCGCCGCATGAATCAATCGACAGTAAGAGATATTCTCAATACATTCAAGACTTCTTTACATGCGCCTTGCCAAGCTCTGAGCATACTCAAAGCTTTGGGGGCTATCTTGACGAAGCCCCGGATGAGACAGAGGATGAGAAGAAGGGCGGGAAGGGTAATGTTAAGCAACAGCTGCTGAGAACTCTAGCCAGCGAGGCACTCCTACATCGCCATTTGAAGGGCGAAGTAGCCATGATCCAGACTGATCTGGAGTGGTATGCTACCGGTCTCTCCCACTCCACCATCTTCTCCGTCATGCGTTTCTTCGGCTACTCGGACAAAGTGATCAACTTCTTCACCAAGGTCCTTCGGCCACCTCTAAATGTTCAGTCTCCTGAGCATCCTTTTGGAAAAGGCCCCCGTATCCGACAACGTGGAGTTCCCATGTCTCATGCCATTGAGAAGCTGTTTGGTGAGCTGATTTTATTCGTCATGGATTTTGCTGTGAACCAGGAAGACGGGATGCTGGTTTATCGTCTGCATGATGATATCTGGCTGTGTGGAGAACCGACCCATTGCGCCAGAGGATGGCAGGTTATGGGCAATTTGGCAAAGGTATTTGGCCTCAGTTTCAACCAACAGAAGACTGGATCGGTGTATTTCACCGAGAGTATGAAAGACCCTGCCGTCGAGCAGGTCTTACCGACGGGAGAGGTTCGCGTCGGGCACCTGGTTCTTGATCCCGCAACAGAACGATGGAAGATTGATTATGTTCAGGTATCTGAGCATGTTGCGCAGCTCAAGAAGCAACTAAATGCTTGCAAGAGTGTAATGCAATGGGTGCAAACATGGAACAGCTGCATGGGTAGATTCTTCAGCCATACGTTTGGTGAGCCTGCATTCTGCTTCGGCGACGGGCATGTTGAGAGCATTCTGGACACATACAAGGAGATGCAGAAGGCTCTCTTTAATGAAGGAAATGCTACAGACATTGGCGTTGTTGAATATCTCAAGGGTGTTATTCGAGATCGCTTTGGTGTCAATGCTGTCCCCGATGCCTTCATTTATCTGCCGGAGCAGTTTGGAGGACTGGGCCTCACCAACCCATTTGTTAGGCTGCTTGAAATTCGCGAGGGTCTTCAAGAATCACCACCAGAAAACATCCTTCAGAAGATTTTGGACGAAGAGAAGAAAGAATATCTTGAGTTCAAGAAGAACTTCGAGGAATACCGCAACTTTGAACGACGTGTCAGTCGTTGCCTACTTAAAGCTACGAACAAGGAACTCAAAGAGGCGTCTTTCAATAGGCTCACAGCTATTGAGCGTGAATACTTCATGAGCTTCGAAGAATACTCTCGGTTCAGAGAAGTCCTGAGCCAGCCACTAGCTACGGCTTACGAGAAACTAACAGGAGTTCCTGACGTGATAGGACCAATTTTTGATGATGACGTACACAAGATACTCCGCTACGGGGCCGATCAAAAGCTTCTTGGTGGCGATTCAAAGAAACGAGAGATTGGCTGGGCATTGCAGCTGTACGCAGATACTCTTCGGCGCGACTATGGTGGTATGAGACTTGTGGACAAGAAACATCTCCCCCTGGGCGTCGCAACAGTTATGCGAGGGAAAGCAGTGAAATGGACTATGATTCTATGATCGCGAACCAAACTGGACTGTCTTTCCTTTGTATTGGTTTGAATTGTGTAGTATGCATGCAATTCATTTCATTTGAAAATATATTGATGTTCCGCTATGTCAATGTGTCTGGGCCAGTATGAAATTACTATTCACCCGTCGGCTGGTCATTCGAAATTTGAATATCTTTTCTTTCCAGCTGAGTACCTTTAACGTAACCATTTCATTCCACTCTGGCTCTGCTTCGTGATTTTCAAGATCCTCTTAGTCTTCTTCATAAACATACTCAATTTTACTACGAGGCGGGCATGCCCGTTTGAGTGTGGCAAAAGCAAAGCATTGGGATCAACAGGGATATTCAATATAATGCTAAGCAAGCAATGGCGGAGAGTGAAGTTGAATCGCATGCAGTCTGTCTGTGAGGAGCATCAATAATAGTAAATTGGCACCACGAAGATAATCCACCTTGCAAGCAAGATAATATGAACGACAGCCAATTCCAAACACTGCGACTCTATATCCAGACTACAAGTCTTATCCGGAGCAGTATCCGACCTTCTTCGGCTCGCAGCCTCCGGCACATCCATCGTAGAAAACGCAGGGGTGGGAAGCATCTGTGCAGACGTTTTTGAGAGTGGCAGTATCTCCGTAGTTCAGGTTGATGCCAGCGACTTCACCACCGTTGCGGGCAGTTACGCCCTCGATGTATACGTTACGCTTGCACTGGCTGCTGCAGTTGCCGCATGATCTGTAGACCTTTCCGTAATCATTGGCATAGAAGTTGATGATGTTCACGGTACCGCAGCCGTTGTGCTGAACGATCTTGTCAGAGGCCTTGTAAGCACCACCTCCGATAATCCAGGAGTGGTCTCCGGCTTTGTCTCCTTTCTGTTTTTTAAACAACCTTAGTAAGAGTCGGGATCGCGATTTTGAAGAGAGCGGGAAAACTAACGACGGTGATGGCGTCCTCGCAGACGTCCTCAAACCAAACGAATCTCAGGGTGCAGGGACCAAGGCAGTGCACGCCCTCCTTCTGATTCTTTCCAATGATGACGTTCTGAAGAGTAGCTCCAGACTCAAGAAGGAAAACAGCGTCAGCGTCGCCTATTGTTCAAATATCAGCATCTCCGTTGTCTATCTTGGCGATCCCCAGGGTTTATTTACTAACCTCCTTCACCACTATTGCAAGCGCCAGAACCACGGTCATACTTGACCCATCCGGCATCGAAAGTTTGTCCAGCTGCGATCCTAATAGGCGCAGAAATGGACTTTGAGCTCGTTGGAGTGGGAAGACCACCTTCCCAGCCCAAGCAAGCCAGGACTGATGGGATCAGACCAATGGCGAGGACGCCGACCTTTGAGAGTGAAAGCATTTTTAAGTACCTTATGCTGGTGATTCGGTACTAAAGGCGAGACTTTATTCTTATGTAGTTCAAGAAAGAAAGTATTTGTTCAAGTTAAAGATTGCAAGCGGCTACTCTTATATTCGCGCCAAGACCCTCTCGACTTGCACTGCACATTAGTTGCCCGTCAACTCCTCCCTTATTTTAAGCACAACGGTAAACTTAAGCACTTGATTGATGGAAATACCGGTAATGGTGGCAATTCTATATCATGGGCCACTAAGTTAGGCTCATGGGTGAAAGAGGCATCAAAACAAACATAATATGTCCGTGGCTGATTAGGGAGATAGTGGGAGAACCCATGAGAAGACTGGTGATTCTATTGGAGCGCGTTTATGTGACTGCCCGGGTCATCCCCCACCTACGGACGAAAGGTTGTAGTGTTGGAATGCTGCCCCCTTTCACATGACTTATGCCCAGTTGGCTCAAAGCATATTAAATGAATGTCAGCTAGGATCAGGCAATGAGACCTCGTAGATGGTGGTGGTGTTACGGTTGTCAGGCACCAAAACGGAAGTTCGGTGGCATCTGCCTCCGAAGGATGCTTTGGGATTCAGGAAGCCACTGAGAAAGGCAGCTGATCTGTCCAGGCCCGGCCTGAGAATATAATAGATGTATTGACCTTTACTTGAGATATGCAAAGAAAATAACCTTATGAAGAACACCTTATATGCAAGTTTAAAAGGTGGGAATCCTAGAAATTCAGCGGCTTGTGGGTGAGGAGTATGCCACAAACGGTCATGATATGCACATGTCCCAAGCAAAAGCATCTCCGGTAAGTTCGGAACACCGACCTGTGGCCGACCAGGGCACTTATTGCAGAGCCCTATGAGGGATAATTCACTCCCTTCAATGGTAGGCGACGTTGCATCTCCCGGCAAGAGATTCCCCGCACGATCCATGATTGGCGGATCCTGTCAGTATTCAGCGTCAAGACTCGACAGCCGAGACCCGAATGTCTTGGTACTGATAGCTGGAAATGTTTGGGGAAACCTGGCGTAGGATCATATCTTTCGATGCCAAGCACTCAGCAGCGACACGATTTATTACACAAGATTCAATTATTGTATTGGACCGTTTGTAAAAGTAGACCCTTGCTTCTTGTTCTGTTGTGGTGCAGGTTTAGTATTGGCGGGATCATTAACACCGCAGTGTGTACTGTAGGATCGGAATTTGACCGTCGTTAAGTTTTTCCATACTAAAGTACTATGTGTATGGCAGTGTGACCCAAAACCCTTTTGTTATAGCTGTTTGGGTTGACCGAGAAAATTTTCTTATTCTCTCTACCTGACACGTGGGCCTGGTAGATGACTTGCATTGCTATCTAAAGTAGATGAAGCTTCTAAGATATCATGCAGCGCATACATACCCAATAACAACTGGGAACGATGCAGTCTATTGCGTTGTGGAAGTGATGAGACGCTGTGGTCGTTTCTTTGGTACTTCAGCGAGGATGGGTATGCTAGTTCGAAAATGTTGCCATCTTTCAATTAATGTTGTAAGGCGAAAAGTTCTCTTTGGTTTCTAATTACGGATTTGCATTCTCAAAGCGGCTACACAAAGACTTCAAGCCCTGCCTGAAGCAGCTTACCTCTTCCTACCAGTTTGCGAACCCTCCTATCTCATCACGGAAAGAGACTTCATCGCCGAGTGAGTATCATCGACAGTTCGCAAGGATTCAGGTTTGGCTTCCTATTTTAAAGGCAATGAAATGCTGGATTGGGCATTAAAAAATTAGTACCATTGGACCTCACGGAGTTCCAGCACCTGTCGCGATGTTTGCATCCCATCAAAATTGAGATCAACAGATATCTAAGAGGAGCTTACTGGAACGAGAATCAGGGGTGGCGATGCTTTATGCTAGCCCTGCTTAGGAAGTCTGAAGCTATGGAACCCGTAGGTGCATTGGCCTGGAGGTTGAACACTTGGATGTTTCTCACCCAATTGTAGATTCTGTTATTAAATATGTGCTCAAGTACTTTCTAGTTACATAATAATGACACGGTGCCGTGAAATTATTGTGCCCCGCCCGCCAATCTCGCTCAGCCCGTGATTTTCTCCATTTGCAAAGTACCAACCAGGGAGCCATCAACTTCAGATCCAATGTGACAGCACCTACATCAATTGAGATCATCACCGATTCCTCATCTTGCGACAATATTAGCCGGCGGCATTTTGTCGGATGTCTAGGAAGAGAAGTCTGGGGCCATCGCCATGCGCTGCTCCTGAGAGACCATCTGTGGACGTCTCAGCTGCTGCAATATCTCAATCGGCAGATCTTCAAACAAATAACGACGAAACCGATCAAACCGCCCAAGTGAAGCCTCACAAGCGCAGAAGAATTACTCGGGCATGTGATGACTGCCGACGCAAGAAGATTAAATGCGACGGTAAACAGCCATGTTCAAGTTGCGCTGAATTCAACGCAGGTAAATACAAGTAAATATCCGACAGGAGGCCTCCTATTAACCACTCCAGTACGTTAGGATGTACATACCAGATACCCCCCAAGCGTAGCAAGACATCTTTGTGCCACCCGCAACCGGAAACTGGTGATATAAAGGCCAGGCTGGAGCTCGCCGAGTCACTCATCCGCAAGTTTCTGCCGCAGATTGACTTGCAAACCCTGGGCTCTACAGCTGGCAAGTTATTGCAAGGCCATGATGCACACGTCGATATGTCCAGATCTGGTCAGGCTTCAGCTGCCGAGCCACCCGCTGAGAGTGACAAATACATCCCTCTGATCCAGAACGAAGATCAATTGCGTTTCACCGATAATGGCGAGCTCGACTTCCATGGCACTTCGTCCAGCGCTACCTTCTTAAGCCGTATCACTCAGAATCTCCCGGAGCTCCTGCGATACGATTCCAGGATCCCATTTCTTCCGCAGTTCCCACAACCTGATGGCCCTTTTGCCGGCGTATCCTCGTCTTCTACTGGCTATTCTAAATATGATTACTCGAAATTACCTCCCCGTCACCTGGCACGCATGCTATGCGACTACTCTTTTAACCATGCTTCATGCCTCCTAAGGATAATCCATATTCCCTCTTTTTGCAAGAGCTTCGACGCCTTGTATGACGCGGAAAAAACGCAGTATGCTCCAGAAGAAGGGAGATTTCTTGGGCTACTTTACTCGATATTGGCCTTGGGATCTATGTACGATGTGGATGAGAATGATCCATCTAACCCAGATCACTATAACGAAGCCACCACCCGGGGGTAAGTATCCATGCGTCACGTTACCTATTTCTAATTGTTAATCTAATACGCAGGTACAAGTATTACTTGGGTGCCAGGTTCTTTCTCCCCGACCTCACTGAGTGCCCAGATATGACAAGCCTGCAGGCCCTTCTCTTCATCATCCAGTTCTTGCAAGCTATCGGAAACCTGAATTGTTGTTATAATCTAATTGGAGTTGCTCTACGAACAGCCTTGAGAATGGGATTGCACCGCAATCTTCCTAATCTATGCACCTCTCCCATCGAGAGCGAGACGAGGAAACGAGTGTTCCACACCATCCGTCAGCTGGACATATACCTCTCTGCTACCTTGGGTCTACCAATTCTTTTGCAGGCCAGAGATATAGACCAGCCTCTTCCCACCGCCATTGATGACGAGGATATGATACAGGATACACTGCACTCCGCACCACTAAAGAAACCCTCCATCATCCAGGCATTCAACGCTCACGGAAAGCTCATGGAAATTCTGACCATAGTTGTCGAACGCGTGTATCCGCCTACAGCCACGAGCAGGACAGCAACCAACGCCACATACCTGATTGACTGTGGCCAGATTAGAGAAGTGGAACAGAAGCTCCATGACTGGTACCATGACCTTCCCGTCATCTGGAGACCTGGGCATGATAACGACGTCCAGCTAATAAGGTATTCTATACTCTTTGAACGGGAACCCACTTCAAGCGCAGACTTTGCTGATACGATTGTTAACATAGGGTTCAAATGTTGCTTCGTTTTGCGTTTGCCCACGTTCAAATGATGCTCTACCGACCATTTCTGCAGTTCTTCAACCAGCAGAAGCACAATGGGAACCCCCCCGACCAGCGTCATCAGGTGTTTGCGGCCACCGGCATCACCGTTTGCCGCAATATTATTAGCATCGGACAGGAGATTAGGAAGCAGGCTGCACTCTTGGGACCCTATTGGTTCATTCTCTACACCCAGTTTCTAGCGGTTTTATGCCTGGTTTCTTATGTATCCAATAACCCCAGGAAGCCGGAGTCGTCTGAAATTCTCGCCGATGCTGTCGCGGGCAGGGAGTTGATCTCCGGCCTATCACTTCGAAGCCTCGCAGCTGATCGGCTTTCTGTTGCTCTCAATGTACGTGCGCCCCCCCGGTAACAGAACAGGCATTGACGAATTATCCCAGGCGGTTTTTGAACAGCTGCCCAGTCGGTTGGGTTCCACGCCCCCCACGACCAAGAGCACTGCACGGCAATCGCTGCATGCCTCCGTGGAAGCCTTCAAGCCCGGCCCTTCGTTATCACATCTTGGCAACGATTGGCACCTCTCTAGCACCTCGGCTCCTAGACTGGCTGCGATACAGCAAGACATTGCAACCAACCTCAACGAGCCGACGACACAAGCCTCTTCTATTGAGACAACTCCGCCGAGCCTGATACCTGCAGATCGACTCTTGTTTTCCTTTGATGACCCCGTTGCCTATCCTTCAACAACAGCTTGGCCAGAAGCACTCGATCCAACTGCCGGTCTAAGCGACGAGACAATGCACCTCGTCATTCCGGACTTCTTCGGAGACTTGACCGGGCATGACGCTGAGCCATCCGTGGCGGCTCAATCAGGAGACAACCGCGCAGCCTCTCATCCGGCATCTGCGCTGTTGTCCATGGGCAGTGGAGGGTTGCTGAGTGATTACATGGCAAGTCTTTTCTGATAGCGTAGGAGGGTTTGGGAGGAGACATATAGCCCACGACATATAAACTTATGTTCAGGTAGTACTGCAGAATGAGAGATAATGTCTTTGGTGAGCGCTTTGAATTGTTAGTGGAGTGAACCAAGCTCCTCAGGGTTCAGTAAGAGGATCACGCAAGAACAGACCGGACTGGCTGGCTTTCAGCTCAATTAATCTTCTTGGCGAGAGTTGCAATGATATTGGTTGTCAAGAGATGACAATGAATCCTTGTATTCATCACAGCAGCTATGCTCTGAAATTACGATTTCTGCGCCTCCGTGGTCTAGCTGGTTATGTGTCCTGGTTTCATTCACAGAGCACAGTGGACTGTTTCTAGGGAGCCCTGGCCCATTCAAGGCTCCAGTTCCAATCCTAAACTCCCCAAGAGAATAAACCACAAACAAAACGCTCGATAGCGACAACAAAAGAGGGCTATTTTACCCTGGAATACCTTACGCAAAAGAGCGCTCACCAAGCCACCCAAGCGATAGGACCTTTCGGAAACTGTCTCACCAATAATTTCCGGATCTCGTCCATGAGTAAAATGCCCAGGGCTAGCGGGATCGGAATAACCCAGAACTCAATAGGAACACTTGCGGTGAGGAACAATTTCTGCAAGCCCGGAACTTCGGTAACAAAGACTGCGATGGAAAAGCTAATCAACATGCTCAGAAGCAGCCATGGATTACGTCTCTTTTCCGTGATGGGGTCCGCCTGCAATATACTCAACCTGCGGTTGCGTACAGCAAGAATATTCCCCCACTGTAGAATGACCAGTGTCACGAAATACACGCACTGGCCAGTGGAGTTGAAGTTTGCGAGCTCATCCGCCGAGTACCCGTGGAAACCATCCGTGTAGCCCTCGAAAAGGAAGAATAGGTCCCTTATCGGGATGCGAGCCGCCTTCCAGTAGTAGAGGAAGTACATGGCGTGCGCGACGCAGGTTTCCATGGTTCCTGTGAAGAGGTATGCTTGCCCATAGATACGAGCGTTGATCAGATGGTCTTTCTTATGGTTGCGCGGGGGTATAGACAGCAGATCAAACTCTGCCTTCTCCATGATGAGTGATAATGAGAGGAAGAGATCCGTAAAGACACAGATGATGATCATCAGAAAGGATGATAGAGGAAGTGGGACACCGAAAAACACGTTGACGAGAACAGGCCAAATCTCTGACCAGGATCCAGCAGGTAGAAGGTAGGCGATAACCTTTTGCAAGTTCTGGAAAACAAGACGCCCAAGACGGACAGCATCGATAATGGAGTCAAACTTGTTCAGCAGGACAAGGTCAGCTGCGTCAATAGCCACATCACTGCCAGTTACCACGGCTACGCCAACGTCTGCAGCTCTGAGGGCTGGGGCATCGTTCACGCCGTCGCCGGTAACAGCTACTACATTATCCCGCTGCTTGAATCTGATATCTGTCAGTAACTCATGCTTCGTTGGGTAACGGTTCGTACTACTTACTCATTGACAATACGAAGCTTCTGCTCTGGTGTTGTTCTTGCAAATACAATCTCCTCGTATTCGCAGACGAGGTTCCAGTCCTCGTCGGTCAGTCCAAGAACTTCCTGTCCCTCGACAATCAATGCCCGACCTTCGCCTTCATGTCTGCTATTCCTCAATATGTCCACGGTAAGCTGTGGATTTTTCTGCATCTCGCCGACGGTATCAGGGGGGTGGCTTTGGGTGAAAATGCCAATATTTCTGGCTATCGCTGCCGCGGTCAGACTGTAATCCCCAGTTACCATTAAGAACCGAATGCCAGCTCGACGAGCCTCGCGAACAGTGGTAGTTGCCTCGGGGCGTGGTGGATCGATGATACCGAGAACCCCAACCACTGTCAGATTTTCAAGGGCAATGTTGTGAATCTCATCGCTAAAGGCATTCGTGCCCAAGGTATTTGTTGGGGTTACTGTCTTTTCGCAAAGCATGATAACACGCTGAGCATCGCTGGAAAGACGGTCCTGAGTTGCCTTCAATATAGCGCGAGTCTTCTCGTCAAGAGGCAGCGGGCATTTATTTGTTTTGGACCAGTAATGAGTACAAGCGCCAGAGAGAATGTCGGGGGCACCCTTGATAATCACTCTGTAGGATTTCTTCTCCGCGGATGAGGTATCGGCGAACATGGTCAGCATCCACTTGTTTTTCGAGTTGAACGGAACGGTATGGGCACGAGGATTTGAGCGCTTGAGTTCTTCGTATACGTCTGCCTTTGCAGCAAATCGTAGAACGGCTGCATCAGTGGCGTTGCCTTTGACTTTGCGTTCATCAATGGGGAGGGGGTCCGACGCAGTCTCAAAGTATGCGTCATTGCATAAAGCGGACGCTTGGTGCAGCTTCGTGAAGGCGTTTTTAGGGCTGCCACTTGTGATGGCCTTGTGAATCTCCTCTGGCGATGACATCTCATCAGCAAAGGACACGGAAGACACGGACATGAGGTTCTGCGTCAGCGTTCCTGTCTTGTCCGAGCAAAGAACATTGACACAACCCAAGGTCTCGACGGTGGAAAGGCCCTTGGGGAGGATATCAACTGCTTTCATCCGTCGGGCAACCATCATCAGCGTAAGCGATACGCCAATAGGCATGCCCTCGGGAATGAAGGCGACAACACACCCCATGACGTTGTTCAGCATGGCAACAACGTTCATATAACCACTGTGGTCAACCCGCAACCAGCCAACCCAAACTAGGACGATCAACAACGCGAGAAGAATAGTCATGATGACGATGATCCTAACGAAGCGCCAGATCTCCCTCTGAATGAGAGTGGGCTCTTCTTTGACGTCGCCCATGGCTTGAGCGATACGACCCATCACGGAGCGAGATCCAGTGAGGACAACAACGCCCAGCCCGTTCCCGTTGACGACCAAGCTGCCCATCAAAGCGATGTTGCGGCTCTCCAAGAAGTTGGGATCCGTAACGTCAATGGCCCCCTCAATCTCGTCGGATTCACCAGTAAGCATAGATCTATCAAATCGAAGATCTCCAGAATGCTGGATGATTCGCATGTCCGCCGGCACTTTGCTGCCCATGGCGAGTTGAACGATATCGCCAGCCACCAATTCGGAGGCCGGAAGGACTTGGGCCTGGCCATCGCGAAGCACGTGAGTCTCGGAAGGGAGGAGTCCGGTGATGGACTTCATCGTGCGGGAAGTTGACCAGTCGGAGAAGGCACTGAACCCAGCCTGAAGGGCAATCACAATAAGGATCAGAATTGCCAGTGCGAGGTTGGTAGGGGAAGGAGGGTCGCTCAGGGGCCGCCAACAAATGAAGAAGACAATAACGCCGACCCAGAGAACGGAGCAGAATCCGCCAAAGATGTATCCAAGCAGCTTTCTCATGTAGTTTGTCTTTGGCTGAGGGAGAACGTTGCGGCCATCGCGCGTGAGGCGGCGCGCGGCAGCATCAGCGGACAGGCCAGCTTCAGGAGAGACATTGAGCTGTTGGCAAATCTGGTCCGATGCCAGCTCATGATAGTGAAGGCCGGAAAAGTAATCGGTGTTGTCCTCTTTTGCTCCTTTGAGCTCGTCCGAGGAGTCTGGTTCCCGATGCTTAGACTCGGAGACGTGGATAGAGAGAGTACGATGCTCTATCTGGTATCCAGAGTATGGATTATTCGAGGCCCGGCTGAGAGACCTACGACGGCTGGAATTACGACTCAAAGATCGGGGGCGCCCACGACCACGGTTTTCCTGGGTTGCAGGGTGATCAGTATCGTGAAAGCTGATATGCATGCCTTTTTCAGCCTCAGGTTCTTTGGCATTCATATTTGTGGTCTGGACGATGGAAGTAGAAAGAGAGAAACAAGCAGACAGATGAGTGAGAGTATGACGCGTAATATCAGGAACGTTTGGTTTTATACATCTACTAAAGACCCGCCCCCCATCTACATTTTGCTCATCAAACAGATGAGACAATTATTTTCCCGCTAGCAGATAATAAACGACGCATGCATCCCAGCTGAATTGCTTCGCCAATAACCTCTCAGCTTTTCTTGCCAGAGGTTACGTAGAATAGATAATGAGAAGAACCCCATCCCATGGGAGGCCGCTCGGAAAGATATCGAGAAGAGTTTGGTTTGGTGTACATCTCTCACTTCTTATTAGTCTCTGCTAGCCCGGCTTTCCCGTGTAGCCGCTTAGCAAGAACATGATTGGCTCAGTCCCAAGCTGACCCGGCATAAGAAGCCGCATTCTCTTCCGCATAGCCGGCTGTAGCGCAGCTGATTGGTCAGTCGCAGCTCTCCGGCAACATACCCGGGCTCGATTACATTGTCAAAACCACGTGCTATGAACATCTGCAGGTTCAGGAGCAGCAGTTGCAGTGCAAAATTTGGACAAACAGAGCCACAAGATGATCCTCATCATACTGCTATAACTCTATAAAAACATAGAATGAGGCTCGTAATGATAAAACAATGCTAGCACCCCCGGTACAAAAGCAAATTATCGTACAAGCTGGGATGGTCTTAAGGGAAAGTCTGAGGAAGTGTATCCAAGTCATTCATTTTCCAGCCCAGATTAGAGATTTTCAAGCCTCTAAATTTTTCAGTCGGCGCAGCACTGACCTCCATACAATTCATTGTCCAGGGATATTCAATTTCTTTGACATTTGTCTTGCAGAAGCCTCAAGGGGCTGGGAGATGGCTCAAGTGGTCAATAAGGCTTGTTCTTCATCTCATATCTTGTGCCAAAAATTGTACCTTGCGGTTCTTTATTCAATCTAGACTCTTCTTCTCAAGGCAAGGGCCCTCCAGTCAGCGCAATAACTTAACCATCATAGCTCTCTCTCAGCCTGATACGCTACCTATATTTTGCAGACCTGTTTATTCTTTAGTCAGTTTCGAATGTCTAAAGTTTTCAACCCCCAAGGTCTAATATGCATACCCATTCAGATACACAACAATTTTAGGTTTCTTACGACGCTTCCATTAAGCGGTGCTCAGAGCTTACTAATAGTACGAGATTAGCTGCATATAAAGAACCAACACTTGGTTTGTGAGTCACCATCTTGCTCCGTATCATTCATCATCCACCAGACTTTGGCAGACCAAGCAGTACCCATCTTCTCCCATTCAAGCACATTGATAGTCCGAGTGCTAACTAGGAGAAGTTGGGTAGAGCATATCTTGTCTTCCAGAGCTCAGTCTGCTGTGGACAACATGGCCACTGGGGACCCTTCGAATGACGACCCGCGGAAGGATCGCTTTCAATACAATGACATCGGCCCTTTCAAGAGCATTTTGCATACACTGGTCTTGAGTGGACCTGGCAAGAAAAAGATCAAGATCGACATGCGCGATTGCGATATAATGATTGGTGCCGACCTCGATGAGTCTACTGTCCGACTATTGCACTTGCGAAATGTACGCGAGGACACAGTAACCGAGGCCAAGGCCGTTATCAAGCAGCTTCTTGATGAGCTAAAAGCACGGGACGATAGCACCGGTAGTCCGCTTACTAGAAGTGGGTGTATAGATCGAGAGCACGCGGGTGATGAGGTTCACGAGGATGTTCGCCAGTTTCTCTATACCCAAGCTGAGGAGCGCGGCCTCGACTTCGGCTGGGACGAATCCGGGTACTCGCGCTGGGCGCTGCGGAGTTGCGGTGATCAAACATACTTTACCTGTCGCTGGCGTAAAGCAGGCTATTGGGAAACTGGTGGTAACACACGTGTACCTTGGTTTGACGAGGGAGAGAAGCTTCTAAAAGAGAGTACTTAAGTTTGGGGACCTGCATACAAATGAACATTCTAGGCTCGAATGGTCTGAATTCAGTGCTACTGTCCATCACTCTACACAGGCCGCAGGGATTTGCATTCGGATCAAGAAGCATAACTATTTTACCCCGCCATATCAACCGTCGGGTAACGTCGACCGTCGGTTATTGGCTAGCTACATCACGCATCAAGATTCCTAATTCCCGAACACAAGTCCAATTAGTGTTACAGGCTAAATGCTTCTTTGGAATGGGGTAGAATAATCCGGCAGCTCACCAGTCCCAGGTGACCTCCCAGGGTTTCGCTCACTTGCCTGAGCGAACCCCTGAGGCTGCTTTTTAAGATCGCGTTCGTTCAAGTGAGCTAATTTTCAGTGAGTGGGAACCTAATCTTGGAGATCAAAACCCAATTGATGGGAAATCTAGGATGGATAAAGGCAATATTGGTTCCAAGAAGTCGGGAGTTCAAAGGCTCACATCAAATCCTCAAGCTTATAAAGTGTCATAGACCAAAGCATGAAAGATGGGAGTTGGAAGAAATGAAGCTCTTAACCTGAATTATTGTCCCACTTTGACTCTTATCTTTCCCTTGGTAGATAATGCGTCTCAACGTTCTATTAACGGCAGCTCTGGTCCTTACTGCCAAGGCTGCCGCTCAAGACAACAAGGCCCGTCTCTGGTACACAGCTCCGGCTGCACTTTGGACCGATGCTCTCCCTGTTGGCAATGGGCGTATCGGTGCCATGATCTTTGGTAATCCAGTCAACGAACGGATGCAGATCAATGAAGAGTCTGTATACTCTGGCGGGTTCAGATCAAGGGTGAACCAGAACTCACTTGAAACACTGCCTGAAGTCCGAGAGCTACTTGCAAGCGGTCGCGTGTCGGAAGCTGAGAAACTCGCAAAGGTTGGCTTAACCGCTACGCCGCAGTCTATCCGCCACTACGAGACGCTGGGCGAGATGGTCCTCGAGTTTGATGGAACCTCCAAGCATGACAAGAACACCTACAAGCGGTGGTTAGATTTGGAGACGGCAATCGCTGGGGTAGATTTCTCGGTTGGTAGCACCAAGTTTCATCGGGAAATGTTCTCTTCATACCCTGACAACGTTCTGGTCCACCACCTCACTGCCGAAGGGGGTGACAGCATGTTATCCTTCAACATACGTGTGCATCGCCCGTACGGTGGAGGAAACAGTGCCTCGGATATGGGCTATAATAAGAATGGCGACACCACCTACATGGTTGGCGGAACACAGAGCCTGGACCCTATCAAGTTCGCAACTGCCCTTACCATAAAGACTGATGGAAACCTTCGGGCGATTGGAGAGTTTCTTCTGGTCGACAATGCTACTGTTGCAACAGCTTTTTTCACAGCTGCTACATCCTACCGCCATGATGACCCTCTTGCTGCTGTTGATGAGACACTAAGTAAAGCGGTGAATTTGGGTTATGAGGAGCTGCGAAAGAGACACCTCGAAGACTATCAACCGCTGTTTGAAGCCTGCCGTCTAGAACTCGACAGCGCGGATAGTACGGGGTCTGACTTGCCTACCAACAAGCGTGTTAATGCGACTCAGGCAGGGGCTAATGATCCAGGATTAGTCGCCCTCCAGTTCGAGTATGGAAGATACATGCTGATCGCTTCGTCTCGCGAGGGAACACTCCCTGCTAACTTGCAGGGAATCTGGTGCGCGGAGTTCGAATCAGCTTGGGGTTCTAAGTATACTGTCAACATCAAGTGAGTACACTGCATGTTCCGACGGATGTCTTAATGTACTGACCATGCCAGCCTCCAAATGAATTACTGGCCAGCTGAAGTCACTAACTTGGCTGGGCTGCACAGCCAGCTCTTTGATCTCCTTGACCTTATGCATAAAACAGGAAAGGAGGTTGCCAAAAATATGTACGGTGCATCCGGGTGGATGAGCCATCATAATACTGACCTCTGGGGTGATACGGCCCCTGAAGATCGCTACCTACCAGCCACCTACTGGACACTCTCTTCAGCTTGGCTTACCACTCATATCTTGGAGCACTACTGGTACTCGGGAGACAAGGCATTCCTTTTATCAAAGATAGAAATCCTCTCGGATGCCATCCGTTTCTATCTTGATACGCTGCAGGAATACGAAGTCAACGGCTCCAAGTATCTTGTGACCAGTCCATCTGTCTCCCCCGAGAATACTTACAAGTTACCTGATGGATCTTCAACTTCAATGGCAATTGGGCCTGCCTGTGATTTCCAAATTCTCAGAGAATTGTTCAACGGCTTCATCGATGCCGTCGCTACTGTCGACAGTCCACCAGTTGAGGCAGAGTTTATCGAGAAGATCAAAGACACTCTCGCTCAATTACCTCCTCACCATATCTCGACAAGATATCCAGGTGTCTTGCAAGAATGGATTGAAGATTACCAAGAAGCTGCTCCCGGACACCGTCATGTCTCCCATCTATTCGCTCTGCATCCAGGCACCCAGATCCCGCCGCCAGACGCACCCGGCCACAACGAGACCATCTGGAACGCTGCAAGGAGTACACTGGAATACCGCTTGAAGAATGGTGGCGCGGGCACGGGCTGGTCACGCGCCTGGACCATAAACTGGTTCGCTCGACTGCTCGATGCCAAAGCGCTGAACGACCACATTTTCCAATTCTTCAACGTCAGCGTGTATCCGAACCTGTTTGACGCCCACCCTCCTTTCCAAGCGGATGGGAATTGGGGCTTCACCAGCGGCGTTGCCGAGGCGCTAATCCAGTCACACATGCGGTCGGAGGACGGCGTTAGGGAGGTTTGGCTACTTCCCACACTGCCGAGCCAATGGTCCTCAGGAAAGGTCACCGGTCTCGTGGCGAGAGGAGGATTCGTATTCGACATTACGTGGAAAGATGGAAAATTGGCAAGCTTCAAGATGAAGAGCCGGGTTGGTGGACAGGTAGATGTCAGGTATGGTATCGGAAGTAATTCGAGTGGCAAGATCGAAAATACCAGCGGCGGCGGTGGCAATTTTAGACTCCAGGAAACCGACGTGGAAAACAAAGTTGCCATCGAGACTGAGAAGGACAATGAGTATGAGTTCAAGGTCACGTGGGAGTAAGCCAATGTGGACTGGCCGAGGTTGTATGCAGATCTACTATCTCTAATTGATTCGCTTCGTACGTAATTGTCTCTTTGTCCTATTTTTCAAACCTCTTTGGTATATTGTGTTGAAGTTCTCCAGGTAGCGCCGAGTCATGTAACTCTGCCGGTATGGCATAGCCTCCATACGCTTGACCCTGTTGTAGTGCGTTTTTTGGCCCGACAACCTGTCATTGGCACGTTAGATAGTACTGGACTTGAGGCTGCCCATACTGTGCTACTGGTACCTCAGCCGTCTTGGAGCTTGATCTTAGGATAACCCTTGTTCAAAACACAACCCCCCCCCCCCCTTACATCTGAGCAAGAATGATCTGTCTAATAGATCAGTGGGTGTCAGTAGATATCCTCCCTTGATAGAGACAAGCAAAATGGAAGATTTAGACGCAAGCAAACAGCAAAACAGAAGGTGACTGTCCAATATCAGTCTACTTTAGGCCCTGGATTGGAAGAATAACCAAACAATAAAAGAAAGGGAACATAACGGCTAGAGCAATGCACTGAGAGAGCAAAAATGCGTAATCTGGGAATCGAACCCAGGGCTCCCCGACGCTGCTCGGATGGCAACGGAGAATTTTACCACTAAACCAATTACGCTGGTCGATGACTCATCTCGCGATGTTTCAGCTCTTGAATGAATCCGGGTCTCGGATGCTACAGGGCTCAGTTCTCCCTGTTGTTCTTCACCTGCTTGCGGGCGCTAGAAAGAGGATGGCCGAGTGTACAGGTTGATATAGACACGAGTTCTAAGTAATCGCCATCAGGAACCTTAACATCCATCAGGCAAGGAGTCCTCAACTCGGGATACAGCAGGAAAGACGCAGAATGGGATAATCGAAAGTGTCATAGAGGGTTCCTGGGCATGTATAATAAACCTTGCTTAGCAAGCTCTTGATAACGCAATGATAGGCCTTGCATGTGTCAAGTAGTGGTACCTATTATTTGTTTTTGCGGCCAAGGTTCGTCAAAGCAATAAAGCATGCAATTTCATGTATGCTTTTGGATGCTTCCTCGTATTCAGTGGCACATCGAGGAATGAGTTGAGGAAGAGGCGAGTCATGAAACGAACGAAGTCCATGAAGTTTTTGATGAAGTGGAGAATGTGCTTCTCATAATCAGGCCGACATTTACGACCGAAGAACCTTTTGGTGGCAGGTAAACAATTTATCAACGTCTTGTCTTGTTTGAGTGCACTAGATCCCATCCATTTCTCTGATAATACATGCTGCTCCTTTCATTCCGTCAACGCTCTTTGAGCGTCAAAAGCCTGCCTGCTCAAACTCTTAGTAAAGCAAATGTAGTCCGGTGGTGGTGTCTCTAAACTTCCTTCAACCGTAGCAGATTTTACTACCATATATCTTTTCCACTTGCATTTTTTCCGTCCATATCCGAAGTGAGCGTGACGGCGCACCGCCTCCCATCAAGGAAGTGCCAACTACCAGAGTGTGCAGCTCTTGATTTGCCTCGGCACAACATCCATCAAAATCTCACATAAGCACGCACGACCGCTCTATCTTCCATTTCTCCCCGAAACGCTCCTTTTTGGGCAAATTATCTGGGTGTTGGCTGATAGTGGGTACATGGTGTGATCAAAAGCATATATAAACTGGTTTCCTCCGTTATTGTTGGACCTGCATTCCACCACGCTTTTCATCTGCAACCAAAAATGAGCTTCACTGTCATCATCTGTCCTGGGGCCTGGCCTCTGGTTTCTTTCTTTGAGCCACTTATCCAAGCCTTCAAGGACCGAGGGCATCCAGTCATTTGCAAAGTTCGAGATTCCTACCCAACGTTCGACCCCATGAATCCACCTGCCTTGAACCCGGATAGCGAATATCTCCACACAGAGGTTCTAGGACCCGCTATCGAAAGTGATGCTGATGTTGTGGTTTTCATGCATTCGTATGGCGGCGTGTATGGAGCTGAAGCGCTCAAGGGCCTAAGTAAGCAAGAAAGAGCGGCGAAAGGCCTGGTGGGTGGCGTCATTGCTGCTATTCTGACCTGTGCTTTCGTGGCCCCCAAGGGAAATACGGCCCTTGATTGTATGGGTATCTCGGCCGATAGTCTTCCCGAGTGGACTGAACACGAAGTATACTGAAAGGAATCCCAACCACTTGATAATTTCCCGCAAGCTAACATACCTCATAGGAATCGACAGGTCTAGTAGGCATGAGCAAGGCATATGCCAAGCAGATCCTCTTCAACGATCTCCCCGAGGAAGAAGGGGAAAGACTGGCTAATCTGCTTCCCAAACAATCTATCACCTGCTTCACCACGCCAGTGCATTGGGACCCGTATCAAGACCGTAACTTCAAGGGGAAACTTGGCTTCATCTACACCGGGGCCGATCGGATTTTCTCTATTGAGGCCCAGCGGCAGGCTGTTTCCAAGGCAGGAATCAAGCACACATATATTTTGGAAAGCTCATCGCACTCCCCTCATCTGGAACAGCCTGACCACTTGGCGGGCCTGGTTATTGATATGGTACGAGGCATTACAGGCAGCACGAAGATCTAGAGGGAACAATGCCTATCTGAATATATACCCTCTGTCTCTGAGGATGCTCCAAGTACAAAACTGTATCCAGAGGCTTAGTGACTACAATAATTTTAGAGGCATGGCCAATCCGATCAAATGTGACCGCTCACCTTACAATGTTATGCCATTTCTTATCAAAGCAGCCAAGGCTTCACTGAAGTAAAGTTCCATCATTTTGATTACAGTGCGAGTCCTCTAGCCAACATCATCCTCACTACTCGTAGCTCCCTACTCATCACCTGTAGCATACTCCCCAGACCAGATCTTATCACTCAAAGCCTTCCGCTTAATAAAATAAGCCGCGAGATCAGGTCTTCCACGTAGGATCAAGTCAGCAACCATCCGACCAAAAACGGTCTCACCCGACACGTTGAGATGTGTCCTGTCCGTCGGGCTCAAGTTGTACTTGTCAGCATTGGCCGAGCCGATAGCATTGATATAGTCGGTGCTGGCGCGGTTCAAACCCTGGTACTGTATTCCAACGGCTTCGGCCGCGTCAATGGCTGCCTGAGAATGCTCGGCCAAGTTCTCAATGACCTTTCCACCCGAGAAGGTGCGGCGAGTAAGAGAGGTAAGGATGATCTGCCAAATATATGAGTCTCAGGATGACTCCATTAAAGGGGGGAGTTATGCCAGGGATCAATATGACTTACAGGAGTCCCACCAGCGCTGATTACCTCTCTTGCGAGCTGCTCCATGTTGGCCTGGAATTGCGTCAGGGTGATATTCGCCTCCGCTTTTTGGTCGTTGTGCCCAAACTGAATCGTCACGATCGGTCGGTAGTTGCATTTCTGGTCCTTGACGGCCTGGATTGCCTTAGCCCAATAACCACCTGATCTAAAGGAAACAGTTGTTGCGCCGCTTTTCCCGATGTTCACGCCGCCTGTCGTATTCTGAAGAAATCTCAAGAAGCCATCTCCCCATCCTCCATTTACGGCAGTAGTCGAGTCTCCAGTTAGAATAAAGTATGGCGGCAGTTCTTTCTGGTGGTTCGTTGTGGGCAGCGCCTGGGTTAGGGCTGCCGCCAACGTGAAAAGTACCGTACTGAATCGCATGACTGCTCTCTGTATAATAGTGCAGTATATAATTTGAATGTCAATCTCAGAAATAGGTAGAAGCGTAATATCCCGTCACCACTGGCTAAGAGCCAGCATCTGCCGTATTAATACTCATTGTCATAGACTCACCGGAAGCCACCTCTCAATGGCAGTTGATCTCGCACCCATATCCCCCGAGGGTTTCAAATAGGAAAGTCGCCTCGGGAGAATGTCATCGGCTTTTGATTGTGGAGAGGCCGTAGCCAAGGACGGGATGGGCGGCATGTAACCTGGGGAGGAAGTGGGGAGAATGCAACCTACGAAGCTTTTATTGATGGAAAATTCGATGACGACTTCTCGCCAATTTGACATAGCAGGTTCCCTCTCGCGCTTATGTGGAATTCATTTATTTAACCCGGAATTTTAACTGGCTGAATAAAATTGGTTATGCGACAGACATATGCGTTCGAGCTAATACCTCGCCTCAATTATAATACATAGTGTTCTTGCTCATTGCTTGCATGCACTTGAAGGGAAATGCTTTAATCTCTTTTCATATCCTTTTTCCATGTCCCCCACTTCCCCGATGAATAGTTGCATTGGTTCCCATCCAGCCCATGTCCCGGCAGAAAGCTTGTATCCCTTATCGAACGTTTAGTTGGCTGCCGTCGGAGTGTCATCTGTCCCAATAAGAAGCTTAAACTCATCGGCGATAAAACGACATGTCTATCCTAGCTCATTCATCTCCTCCTTTTCATGAGTGGTAGTGTTTATTAGCGTAGCCACAGGTATCGCATCACGATTGTTGAATCAGCACCGGCTTATTAGTTATGATTACGACATAAGGTATTTTAAGATGGACTGAGTACTGATTCTGCTTTTGCTATTTTTGGCAATACTACGGAGACTTAAAAGTCCATATGATTCCAAAACCAGATGGACTTACATGAAAATGCTTGGGGCTCCTCTATGCGATATCCATAGGGGGGGCCTCTTAATTGAGAAGAATCAAAAATTGCTACGCTCAAGCTCATCCATCAACAATTTACAACTAAGCTAACTCAATATCATAATAGGAGGTTGCAAGCCCATGCAGTATGTTTAACAACGAATAATGCGAATTTGGCCATGCAGAATAAATTTATAAAATTAAGCTATATGTTTGTTGTTAACGCTATTCACAAGACGTCATAAAAGATCTTCCCTCAAAGAAAAATCGGGACAACCCTTTCCTGCGGTCTCCAGAGCTCGTCGAAGTGACCTTCGCCCGGCATTCTAAGTAAGCAGGTCTATATGCATTCAAAATCACTTTTCATCTCCACCTCTGAAAGAGCGTTACTCTCGCCTTGTAAAAACAAGAGGGCACTCGTCCTATTAGAAATAAATTGTCAATATATCTCGTTCCAGCATACAGGGTTATTAACACTGGATAAACTCACCTCGGGGAAAAGAGTGGCGAAAACTCTAATCTCTTCCGACTTGGGTGTGGCATGATGCACCCAGTCGAGATCCATGGACGCCTTTCCAATCATGTGCACCATGGTGAGCGGCACGTACTTGCGCGCAAGGCAGTCATGGGCACCCGCGCCAAACACAAGCCAATTCTTGGTCTTAGAGTCGGCGTCGCCTGAGATCCATCGCTCGGGGTCGAAAGTGTCGGGGTCGGGGTAGACCTTGGGGTCGTGGAGAGCAGGATAGCAGGAAGGGATGATCATGGCGCCCTTGGGGACGGTGTAGTCTGGCGTGACGGGGAACGCCTTGGTGGCGGTATAAGGAACGAAGATGACGGGTGGGCGGTATCGGAGCAGCTCCTTGACGACAGCGTTGGTGTACGGCAACTTCTCAAACATGTCCAACTCGAAGGGGCGGCTTCGATCGCCCCCGCGAATGGCGAGGTTCTCCTCGCGGACCTTGTCGAGGACGTCGGGCCTCTGGGCCATGATCTGGAAAAGGAAAGTAGTGGCACTGCTAGAGGCGTCCTGGGACGCGAAAAGGAAGGTGAACAGCACCTGGCCGATCTCCTCGTTGGAAAACTCGCGGATCAGGTTCTGGGGCTTGGGCACGTCCTTCTCGCCGGCCTCGACTCGCTCGCGGTACTTCTTGGACTCCATCATGTGGAGAACCCACTCGTCGACGGTGCAGGTTGGCGGGGCTCCTGAAGCCATGTTGACCTTGCAGCGAGCAGCACAGCGAGCGAATTCGGCCTGGACTTCCTTTGCCAGTTTTCTTCCCTTGTAAGTCTTGGTTCCGGGGACATAGATGGAAAGGGGAACATTCACGAGCTCGAGGGCGGCGGTAACCAGGTAGTAGTCGTTTGCAATGTTTTTGACGGCGTCCTGGGAGATGTAGTCTCCGAAAAAGGTGCGGCAAGAGAGGGCACAGTTGATCTCTCTGAACATTCCCATAAACTCGGTCGGCTTTCCCCCTTTGCTCTTGCTGATTCCGACAAACTTGTCGAAATAGTCGTCGTACACGCGCTCCTGGACGGGGAGATAGATGCTGAGGGCCTTGTTGGTGAAAAGGCCCGTGAGTCCCTTGCGATACTCGGTGTGCGCTTTACCGTTGAGGAAAACCCAGGCGGTCTCGCCAATGATTTGCTCTGCAACGGGGACGAGGCATGGCTTGGTGAATGTGGGGGATTTGAAAACCTTGTGGGCAATGTCGCGGTCTGACGCCAGAACGACAAACCTGAATGGGTGTTAACTCAGGCATGACAGGATGATTCCAAGCCTCCTTGGAAACCATCCAAGAAATCGACACCGGAAAGAACGGAGACTTACTTATGGAAGACGGAGACACAACTGAGAGGTCCACTAGCCCATTGAGCAAGATACTCGGTGAACTTGGGGTACAAGGCTTGAACAAACGGGCCCATAAAGGGAATCTTAAATTTCGGGCCGGCGATGGAACCCTTCATCGACCAGTAGCGGACTAATCACATGAGTTATCAGCAGGGCCAAACCTTTGTTGGATGGATTCGGGATGTGCATACCCTGGTCATAGGCTACCAGAAGCAGCAGCACCGTGACTGTCAATTGAACATTCGTCATGGCAGGCACATAGTTGGCCAAAAGGTTGTTCACCAATCTCGCGGCCTCGGCGGGCTTCGCAAATGTGGTGGCATTGTCCATCACGGGAGCAACGACGCCCCCTTCAACGACAGAAGCCATAATGGGTGAGCTATATCCGACAAGAGGCCAAATTCACGTTCGTATCAACCCTAAAAATGGGAGATGCTTGATTGAGAGGAGTAATCCAAGTGATCTCCCTTACGAACAAGTCGAGCTTTGTGTGCCCCCACTCCCCTTTATAGGTCCTCTCCCCAGCGTGAGGGAAGCCCGGACAACGGTTTTAGACTCAGGGATGGGGCCATTTCTCGGAAGGCGAGAGGGACCACATCCGTCCGAGATTGACAGACGTTGCCAATCGCGTACTAGACTCCGATATGCAAAGCCCATGTTTCCATCGCTGGTCGAGCGTCAGCAATGAGGCCGGAATTGAGACGATTCCCGATTGGAAGAAACCCTGAAGCAAAGCATCTGAGACGGACGCGGAGTCTAGTCCTTTTTAGGCTTAGTCTCCGCGACGCTCAGCGCTGTGATTCGCTTCCTCTCGAATATGCAATAACTGACGCGCATGTTGAAGGGTCCAGGGGCTCACTCGGCAGCCGCCTGAGAACAGGTTCGCCCATCGTAATCGGGTTCAAGGCGGTCGGTCCCGGTTCATGGTCTTTGGCGGTATGATGTGCCAGGCCGGGCCAACCGACACACGCACCATTCTCACCTTCTAAGCGGGGTGGGCCATACGTTCCCCAGGCTGCTCGTAATCGTATTTGTCCTCGCGTCATCTCCCCAGCTGGACCTTTTGCCAAGTGGCTATGTACGGACTATTCTGTGTAATCCCGCCCCATAGGTAGTGAAAGCATGGACGTTCCGTGACCAACAACGTAGAGACGAAAAAAGGTATTATCCAATGGGAGAACGTTTATTATGATTCTTGCAGCATCCCCCACATCTCTTCCCACCTTCTTGATATGGCCTCTCCCTGAGGCACTGTTATCCAGAGTATACGCTCGAGACGGCCGAGTACTTGCTTCCATTCACGCAGCCGAAGCGCCAGCGCGGCAACACAAGCCTGGTCGAAGAACCATTGAGCTTGGGGCATGCCCGTTGATGCAGCCATGCCAATCGAGATCAGCCAGATGTGGAGGTCGCTGTGTAAGTAACCCGTCTGGGTCAATGTCTCAAGATGTTGCTTGAGCTGTGTGAGGATGCAATTGGTAAGGGTGGCGTGAGAGTAGTACGTCGTTCCGTGGACGATGAGCATGTAAAGAACCAGAGCGTGGCGTAGACACTCGTATACGCCGACGCGTGAGGGTTCAGGAGAAGAACTGGGCGGGAGTAGTAGCAGCTTGTGGACGACAAAACAAGTGAGGTCGTGTAACTCTGTGCTGGAAGGTGGGGGAATCTCGGTCTGGTGAAAGACGGCTTGTAGATGCGCGATGATGCTACTCATCTCAGGATCCACGTCGATTTCGTCCGGGATCGGCTTGAGGATGTTGGAGTCCATCGATGCCATCTTCCACTGGAGAATTGGGCCAACGCCATCACCAAACCCCAAATCGTCTTGGGTGAGGAACTGGGGAGCACCCATGACAATCATTGACACCCTTGGTAGAAAACAATTAGCAAAACGCACATGCTATGGCTGGGATGTAAATACGTACCATGAGACCATTCTGGCCGTAAGTGGGCTTGTGGTCTTGACCTGGTTGATACCTCCTCTAATGCCTACCATGCGCTTGACGCCGGCAATGTGCATTGTGCTGGCATCAACATTCCCTTTCCCAAACTGAGAGACAGTCAGTAAGCAGAGCCTGTTGATTCAGTGTTTACGAGGGGTTACAAACCTCGATAGCAGCCAGCGTGACGACTGAATTCATAGTCTCATCCTGGATCGCCAATGATGAATCACCTATCCGCTTCCTGACCAGCGATACTGAGTCCATCATCAACATGTCTGAAATGGGGAACCCCTTCTGTGCTCTCAACTCCTTGTCTAGGGAGGCAGTTTGCAATGATACGTGGAATAAGGCCGGGTCTGCGAGAGCGAGCGGCCACCATGACACGACAAAAGGGTTGGAGCCCATGTTCATATCTAAAGGGTAATACTGGAAGGCAATGTTGGAAAGGACTGAAAGGAATCTGTCAGCTCAACGAGTTGACATCTGAAAAGGCATCACGTACAATGGTGGATTAATTGTTGGACATGAGCCCGGGGTAGCCTGGTGGGCGGGTAGGAGTCAAAGGGATCAAACGACGGATCTACCGGCTTAGACAGCTCGACGAGGTTTTCCGCGAACTCAGAGCCCACTCGTCTCGGGGATGCTGGAAGAAGAGATGTGTCATGTTTCAGGGCCAGTTTGGTGACCTGGCGCGGCGTGCGGACGGTGATGGGGGATATTGAGGATGAAGAGGTCAGAGGCTGGTTGGCATAGACGCAGCGGACCTTGCGCTTGATGCACCGCGAGCATTGGGGCGTGCGAAGGTCGCAGGAATGCTTGGATTTGGCACAAGCATCGCATGAGCGACGCAGACTTGCGCGGTGGTTCATGGGCGAGGTGTGGTGGGCATTGGTGATAACGAGCGTGGTGTAGGTAGTACAGTGTGGATTGAACGAGAGCGGGAGCAGTTTCAATTGACTTGAATCCAGGTGGGTGTCTTATTATTGGTTCCGGCTTTGCGAGAAAAATGCAATATTGATTCCAGTGGCCCACAGCGATCATGTAAGCGCTGAATCCAGCTGCTTTAGTTGGCTGGAGCTGCTGGTCCGCTGTAATACCATCACGGGGCCTCACAGGGCGCTGTAGATATCGCTGTGGGCAATCCCGGTATTGAACCTTGCAAGACGTCAGCTAAGTAAGCGGAATTACATTCATGATAATGGGCCATGGATCGATTGTCTTTGTGTTATAGGCATTACTACAACACCAGACCAAGGTTCTCCCAAGACTAGGCCTTTTTTCCAGACCGCCTGGCATTCCTTGGCGACCTTGTTTCATGACTCGATACACGGCATTTTCCTGTCCCTACTCACCTACCCTATATACCACTCACATGTTCACGAGAAGGAGCAAACCTAAGGGAATCTCTTATTCAAATCGTCTCTTCCAGGCGCATTCTCATTAGCCCAATCTTTTTATGTTGTGACAGAAGATAATTTGCCCGTCTTTGACCTTATTCGAGGTAGAAGAGGCATGTAGCGTTATTTGGTTGAATCCTTTCAACGCTCAGAATCAGTCGCACGTTCATTTCGTTACCGCAAACCTACCAGAAGCGTTGAAGGAGAGGTACAACATAACCAACATTGAATATTTTTGCATACACATTATGCTAAGTTCATTTCATAGCCATATTAAATATTCAATGGCAAGAATATTTGACCTTGCCGACGTCTTACCGAGTTTAGCGTGGGGAAAATAGTCAAAAAGGCAAAAGAAGAGGTCTCAGTGGGGATCGAACCCACAATCTCCTGATTCGTAGTCAGACGCCTTGCCATTGGGCCATGAGACCTTGTGTTGTTGTTGAAACGCTGTCTCAATTTGAAACTCATGTTCGCCTCCATCTTGGTCGGACAAGCCGTCAGGTGGGGTTAAAATTGCTGTGCTTAAGCCCGCCTGGCGGGCAGCAGCGAAATTCACGCGATATATCACGTGATATCCTTTTCTCTATCCATTGAACAAATTCCTTGTTCATAGACGCCCATTAAATAATAAGAAACTCAAGTCTCCTCTTAATTCTGCTTCGGTTGGCGGGTTCTAACTGTGGCGAATCGTCACGGTTTTTCCTGCTACGGCTTCATTTACTACCTTTGAGATAGTGGGCCGAGGGAAGGGAGACAGGCCACCAAGACAGCAAGAGGCGAAAGATTGGTATCCCCTTGCTAGATTTAGACTAAATATCACTCTATTTATGAGTTTGAGTTGTGAACTTAAAGGCCGCCGAGTATGCTCTTACTACACAGGGGTAGCAGCGACCTTCTCAGCTTTCGCAACCAACAACGCTCGTTCTCATCGCTTCCTTCACCTGTATATCAAAATTTGACGAAGTGTATATCATGTCTCCCAAGAAAGCAGAGGTCACATTTTCCATGTCATTCGAGGAATGAACGAGTGTACCAACTAACGTTGGGCGTGTTCTCACCTCGACTATTAAAACACGCAGCATCCCGGGCTCATCACATAGTATTGTCTGTCTGACACGGGGAGCCTTTTTTTTTTTGGACTACAGACATGTTGGACCAATGGTGGGTGAGCTTATCAGATTTCGAGTCACTCCCTAAAGGTGATCATTTCGGATACTTCTCTCCTTTGTAATCAAGTCTGCGCCCGGTCCTTCGGTTACTGAACGTGCCGCCCTGCCTTAAGGTTGAGGAATTGGGTCTCAGTGACTTCTGGCTAACATCTAAGTCAGCGACTTATGTCAATCTAAACTCAGTTCCTTACGTAGATAGATTCATATTCTCATACGAAACCTATTAACATTACTCGTTGTGTTGGTTGTCGGGCTCTGGCATATTCAATTGTTGTTGAACTTATACTCTTTCTCTCACGTGCGCATAAAGTACCATGCCAGCTCCGAGCCAGCACATCTTATACAGTGAGTTAGGTGCTTCTTATCAAGTCTCGAGAGCTCGAGCCAACATAAAGTGTGCCCCCCCCTACAATGACCCGTCTCTGAGCAGCAGCGTCATTGTGTTGATATGTCGGGTCTAACCTCTTCCATTGCTGTCTTCTTACTTAATACTCGAACTCTCGTGAGGACATCGGCGGGGTGGTGCTGGTGAGTACCGCTTTTGGATACTAACATCATATGGAATCCCCTTTGGGCTACTTGTACTACGCTTGCCCGTACGGAACTAACACATTATCATTCTAAGCTAATTAAAACATGTGCAGGATGGCTGATATGATAGAAGTGAAGCATCGAGGAAGGTAGAGCTGCAGTTCTAGCTCTCAATGCCGTCTATTGGATAAGCAGACCTCAATTGCGTCGGATATGATAAAATTGGCTAAATGCAAGACCTACTGCTTGGGAACACATTGTGCCTCTTGTTCATTGAGCAGGTGTATTTGGCTAGTGTCTGTACGTGCTCAACCTACATATGCTGAAGGTGTCATGGCCGTGTGTTCTGGCTCGCCATCTGTATGCTCCGTCCCTGAAGGGCGTTGCCGTTGGAATATCGGATAACCGTCAATTTTGGCCGGCAAACGGACGCTCGACCCTCGCATTCGCGGTGAAACCTCCGACATAGGACACACATGTGACCCCTCATCTGCCTGTAACTTCGGTATGGTGTTAGGCCGAGCTCCACAGTCGAGACACCCCGCTCCGGAAAAGGAGCCCGCTTGCTTCATGCCGAGCACTTCAGCACCTTTCTCCTTCATTCGATCCCCTACTAAATCTCGCAGGAACGCTTTCGTTGAACAATTTATCCAATATACACCGTTATCAATCCCAAAATGCCGTTTGACACACCTCTGAAAGCATCCCTCCAAAGCCAGCCCACGGCCTGGGGCTTCTGGCTCACGTGAGTCCCCCCTGCTTATCCGTTTCTTCAGCATAACATCTTGAAGACCTGGAAATATTTTGAGAGCCGCTCACTAACAATCCATCTCTTCTCGTAGTCTGCCAAGCGCGCCAGTCGCTCGCGTAATTCTTCGCTCTGGACAGTTTGCACCATTCAAGGGCTTCAGCTGGGTTCTGATTGATGCCGAGCATGGCTTAATATCGGATAAGGACTACTATGAGGTATGCTTGCCCCTGTCCAGGCCGGCGGTTGGGAGAGTAAAGCTTACATTCCCTAGCTGTCCACGGCTATTGCTTCAGAGGGTGCTACACCCATCGTTCGTGTTCCTTGGCACGAGGAGTGGATGATCAAGCGGGCTCTTGACTCTGGCGCACACGGAATTTTGACCCCTATGTGCCATTCTGCAGTACGTCTACCACCTGAAGTGTGCTTGATTATTAAATGGCAAGTTCTTTCTAACCCATGATCTTTGACAACCGTAGGAGGATGCGAAGCGTATTGTGTCCTACTGCAAGTACCCGCCCGTTGGGTCTCGCGGATACGGGCCCATGTTCGCTCCCCATTCGCTCCCCGGAGTGTCTGGAGGCCAGTACGACGACTCGGCTGACCAAAGTTTGTTGGTCATGGTGCAAATTGAGTCCAGGTCAGCAGTTGAGCAAGTGGAGGAGATTGCCAAGACCCCAGGCTTGGACGTTCTCCTAATTGGTAAGCTTGAACCCAATGCTCGAGACTTCTGTATGAAAGAGCTATAAACTAATCGGAGAACGCGATATTTTAGGTCCCTTTGATTTGGCCAAGCAAATGAACGTGGTCCGAGGCGGCGAAGAGCACGAGGCCGCTATTCAAAGGACTCTCAAGGCAGCTAAGGCGGCAGGCAAGAAAGCAGCAATTTTCTGTAAGTCTTTCCCTTGTACCGATATAGCTCCTCAAGGAAGCACGGTTGGCTAATAGGAGGTAACAGGCTCAAATGGCCAACAAGCTCAGGAGCGCGCCCAGCAAGGGTTCGATCTGGTATCTATTGCTACTGACTTGGCGGCAATAGAGTCAGGTATGACTCGCGAGCTAGCTACTGCCAATGGAACAGATCTAGATGGAAAGGCTAGAGATGGATACTAATGGTTAGGATAATAGAGCATTACGCATTTGATCTATCATAGAGAATTATAGATTCTGATGTTCACGAAACCACTATCAGCCGTCACGTCCCCCCACCCCCCTTACCTTCCAGCTAGAATCCGGTCAAGGGAAATTCGTAATAACGACATAACGGAAGCTTCTCAGTCTATAGTATCAGACAGACTCATGAGCCGTAGATGATGTCACAAAGGGAGGTGGCCCAAGCATGGCCAATTCGACATCGGTCATTAACCGTACTTGGGGACGGGACTTTCGATTGAACCGTCCAAACTTTTGTGGTTTCCTCGTCTGTGATAGCACTAAATTGTCCTTGTCGCTCAGTGCCGGGCAAGTTATATCGAACACAAGTTCTGACGCTTCATCACCTCGCTCAAGGAGTTGACAGACGAAGCCAGATCTATTTATCTCTACCCAAGCAAGTTCTGGTAAAGAGCAACCGGAAATTCCTTTGCCGCCTCCACAGTATACCTTGAGCGTGCCCAGGGGCGGTAATGTTCGTGGGCGTATCAAGCAGATGTGACGATAGAGCTCATCAACGGCATGATAGGTCACTAGTGGCCGAACGATATCATCTGGTGCACGGCCTACCCGGCCCATCTCAAACCATATTGTCAAAATCCGTAGTTTTGGGAAGCCTGCTAGGACATCAAGAACATTAAAAGGCCAATCGCCATTTCGACTGATATCGAGAGCCAGTTCCTCTATGAGAGGACACTCCCGTTGGATTGCTAATAAAGAGGAGGCATCAATAGTCTCGTCGGCCCAAGTCCTTGTCTCCTTTTGGTGAATTTCAAGTACTCTAAGCTGAGAACCATGCCTGATGATTCCACCCAGACCTAGGGCACTGAACTGGGAATTGTGATACTTTGTAAAGCATTTGGGACTGATTCACAAAAATCCACGACTCTCTCAATGCCCTGGGGTCTGTCGAACGCCACATGCTCGATCGAAATGAGTTTCGATGCTAGTTTGAGTGCAAAGTCCACATTTCTAATTTTTAGATGCTTGAGCCTGGACCAGTCGAAAACCTCAGCCCAGTAGTCCGACTCATTTCCGTTCCCGGGATAGCCAACATGGCTGCCACTGATGTACCCCGGTTCAACCTCTTTTTTGTAACCGAATTCATACCTGATAAGTTTAAGACTCTCTAGCGCTGGAGGTCGTTCACCATCAACAAATCCGAGCCCGGTGTAGCTTGCCGGTAGGGGAAATGAGACAGGTCCATCACCCTGAGGTCCAAAGTCGATGCTAAGCTTTCGAACATTTGGGCTGGACAAGAGAATCTGTTTGGCAATTTGAGTAAACTGGATACAGCTTTCCTCATCACTATAGGTGAAGACCATGTTGAGCGAATGCAAACTGCCGCTTCTTTTTAGGAGCGGTGCGGTATACACGGGCATCCGAGGATCCGGTATAGGGTCAACGACACGATCAAGCGAACTAATGCTGGCATGAAGTCGGACGCTTTCACCAGGCTGTAGGGCCAGCACGACTTTCTCGGGAATGCCTACTGACACGACAGGTGGGAGGGCAAGTGACTGATTCTGGGTTGATGGTGTGTACAGCGTTGTGTTCTGCCATTCTAGATCCCGCAGTCCTGTAGCTTTCTGAATCGACTGAACTAAGGCGTCTAGATATTTTTCATCTTCCTCTATTGCCGGAGCGTAAAACTCTTATGCTTCGAATGGCAGGTATCAAGTCATGTTTCTCGATATAGGCTAAGCGACGATGGAAACTCTTCTGGTGTGGGCTTTCAATGACGAACGTGACATTTCTATACTGGCAATACCGCGCTGCGTAATGGTAGTGTGAGTTGACTAGTGCGAGATTTCTCATTGACCGCGGGTGGTCTTCGTATACCATATTGAGGATGATAAGAATAAACTCAAGGCCTAGCATATCTAGAGAAGGCCGACAGAATTTTTTCCTCCCAAGCATTCGAGGCACAATCTCGCCAAAAGCTGATGTTTTGCCGATAGGCTTGCCCCTAGAAGAAGCGGCAATAGGGATCCGCGAGTGAGTAGAGATCGTTCGCTTCAGCTGTGCTTCCAAGTGATGTAACGCGGGTCTCGCGTTTTGAAGCAGCCGGCGAATACGAGGGGCATCCTCCATCCGGTCAGTGGTCGCCATATAGAAGGATAAGCGGTCCGCTGCTTGTTGTTTGAGTTAACTCTGCTGCGTTAGATATGAATCGAGGATGGAAACGAGCTAGAGTGAGCCTGAGGGAATTGCAGCGCCCACGTGTCAGGCTTGGCGTGCTTTGGCTGTATTTCGTGAGTCCAGAAACTTTGTATCGAAGTTCAACCTAGGAAAATAGGTGAAGATGAGAGCCTCGAGGGAAACTAACTCACGCGTAGGAACCAGGATGAGAACCTCTGGAAGTAGATTGCGCTTCAATGTGTGTAGGCGCACAAACGGGGTTTCAGCAGCAGGAAGGCCATTACATAGCCTACCCCTGTATTCACGTGACTCATGACTACGATCTGTGATGGTACTTCGCATATTCTGCCTTAAGAGCATCTCTGTTTTGAATCGATAGCTGCTCATCATATAGTTGCTTCAAAAACCTTATGTGAAGTACTTTGCTGATACACCGACACCAAACGTCCATAAAAAAGGAAAGAAACAAAGCAGAGTGAGCCCTGTATACAAAACTAGCTTACCCATGTTTGGATTGAATCATGACATTATCATCAAGAACGGGGTTTTGCCGGTACACCCGGAAAGCTTTGGTGATAGAAAATTCTAGTTCCCCGTGTTGTAGCTGCAAACCTGTTTCACTGGATGCTAGAAAAGAAAAAAATGGTAGTAGGATAGTGGTTGGAAGTTACACCAGATTGCATCAGGTGGAAGGCTCGTGACCAGACAGACAGTGTCTGTGATCGCTGCTGACAATCAGGTTTTTAGCTCGCTATCCAACATGTCACTTGGCTTCCCTGCTAGGGCTTCAGTTTTGTTCATAGGGACTAATCTCACTTGGCTTTCTCTAAGGTGATACGGAACAGCTGATGCGGTTCTTTGTCTATAACGCCTCTCTAAATAAGGTAGCCATCATGAATGTCCCCTTGCTAAAAATACAAAGCATGCGGTGGCATGACCATTCATTGTTCTAAAATCTCATCAGCAATTAATCTGCGCCCTCAACCCGCTAATTTGGCGGCTGTTGGTATTTGCTGTCAGTTTATTGTATTATATTAAAAGTCCATTTCAATCGTATCCAGTTACACTCTTGTATCATGGCGCCCTTCGCTGCTCTCCCAACGGAGATTCAATCCTAGAACCGGGAGGGATTAGGGACCTGTCGACCATATGCCGATAGTCTCTTATTACCACTTGTTGTCACTAATTTGAGCATTGGTGGGAACCGGCCGGCCTCCAGTCTCCAGATCATCGGCTGCCTTGGCTGATGAGACGGAAATGGCGACCTCCTTCTTGATGCCACCCTTGGGACCACCTAAGGCGGTGTTGAGGCTCAGTTCCGAACTGCTTCGCTCTTCGTCGGGCATGGCACGGGAGGTGATAGTTCGACTTGTGGTGGTGTTCTTGGCTGATCGCCAAGTAGAGCCGTCGTTGGTGTCGCCGAGCATGATGCTCCCGGGTTCCGGCCCAGTCTTCTTTGTCTGAGAAGACAGTAGAGAGCCGAGGAAGGGCTTAAGCTTGATCTTGAGCCAGCCCCAGATCACGGGCATACACGAGGTGATTACGGCGACGAAAGATTCGCGGATAGCCCAGGACGAACCTTGCCTGGGACCGTCAATCTCGTTCTGGTGAACCAAAGAGTTAGCCACCTCCTGATCTTATATTCTTTCATCACCGTTCTGTTTGAAAAGTGGCAGATGGCGTACCTGAAAAATGACAATACTGCGAACAATAGCAGCGGCCATAACGAACATAGCTCCCGAGAATACCACAACTAGAGTCAACTTCTTAAAGGTCGGGAGTTGCGTCCCCCAAAGCATGGGAATGGGGATAAGGATAAGGTAGATGTCTGTGGTGATGTTTAGGATAAGCGTCGAAAGGATATATAGCTTTGAAAGGGCGGGCTGGCAAAGATCTATCCGGGAAAGTAGTCAGCAACAGGCAATCAACGACAGGTTCTGCTTTCTATTTACTTCCTGGGTCCGGGTTGATTTGCCAAAACTTATGCATGGGCTGACAGCTAAGCAGGAAGCAAAGAATCAGGAAAAGGTATGTGACTCCAAGGAAGGCATATCCTCCGAGGATTTTTGGGCGGTAGCCATGAACGCCGTCCTGCAAGCAAATTCAACCAGTCAATATACTCTGGATCACTTGGGACAAATTGAAGAACCTACCGTTAAACGAGAGTAAAATGCGCATAGGGACAGCTTGATGCCCCAAAGAACTGAGATATACATACACCAACCGGCAACTTGGACCTTGGACCCTGCGACCCTGTGATATCATACTTCTTAGCACATCTGGTGGTCAGGAAAAGGGGCTGATAGAGGAGAACAAATCAAGGGGTGAGCTGACCTCCATCCATATTCGTCACTGTCCGGGTTTAAGGCAGCACGCTGAGCGTCGGTCATGCCGCTATTGGAGACTCCATGGAATTGTTGCCCAACAGCTTGTGCCATGATACTCTCTGAAATGTATGGGATTATGATGCCCAACATAGCATAGTCGTCCAGCGCCAGACCGACAAAGCCGACCTGTCGAACGCGAGTAAACGTGCGCAGTAAAATGATAAGAAGGCCGAGGGAGAGATAGGTGTAAGATTCCACCAGGAAACTGTTGAGGGACGCATCCGCGGAACTCATGGCGGGCAACAGGGTGGCTGACCGCGTGCCACAACGGTCCAATAAAGGCCAAGTTCGAGTCTGAGGTCGTTCGCAACACTGAGGCTATGGAAACTCTCCGAAGGAGGAGAAGTGAGGATATGGGGCGTTCAAGACATAAATAATCTAATAAAGAGGGGATGGGGTATGCAGAGCGGATCTAATGAACGAGGGAGATAGGCACCGCGATGGCCGAGCCAACTATGACGAGTGGCGGTCCGCATAAGTGGGAGATGAATGGAGATAAGAGGTATCGCGAACCTATTAGCGCCAAGGCAATGAAATAACAGATGGGACCTCTTGGACGAGTCCACGTCGATGTTGGCCCTGGGCGATCAAACGTGCCAACCTTCTGCATTGCACGCTACCCGAGTCGTCGTGCATGCGTACTAGCAGGTCGGTATTACGGTGGCCACGGCTCAGGGATCCTAGCTTCATGCTTAGGTGCTCTATGCGTTGGTCCTTGCAATGGACATGCCAATTCGAGTTCAGTCTTGAGGCTCGGTCTTGAGCCCGCTCTTATGACACGACACCAGGATCTCGAGCATCTATCATATGCACGAGATTTCCACCCATTTCTGGGGAACAGACTGCAGCAGCACGATCCAAAAAGCAAAAATCTTCCACCAGGAAGGTCGAATACTCATCGGAAGGCTCGCTCATGCTTCCGGTGGGTGTGAAGCAGGGCACACCCCTCCCCTTGCCTCGGCCGAGGTAGTGATCGGCTGGGCTAGACAAGATGATTGTCCCTTGGCGACCAACACTAGAGGCTCGGAACCCTACAGGTGGATCCCCCACGCTGAAGATCAAGCTGAAGATCAAGGTCGAGGAAGGGGGGTCACCCTTGCACGATCTCCCCCTAGCGCGGAGACTTGGAATGTGAGCGGGCGGCCAAAGATTGATTTCTACCTTTGGTTCCATCGGCTAGCGAGGGCAAACAGAAATGGATAAACCAGCAGGACGATTAAGCGAGGGGCCTTTCCCTATGCAACGCTGGCGGCAGAGACGGTCAAGTGAACGGACCTGGCCTTACCTGCTTGCAGCCTTCGGCGGGTTTCGCGACACGTAAAAGTTTCCCAGACCTCCTTACTAGACCCCACTGGAGTAATCCGTAATTCGTGCTAGGTTATATCGAATCAAGCGTGGCAAGCAGTTGGTGATGAGGATTGGACACCGTCGGATGGTCTATCGCTGCTAGGGCGTGCTTCACCGTCCATGCACTGAGAGGATGACGCCTGCTGTGCCTCATTGGCGACATCCCACTCGGTCAGGCGTTAGAATGTTTGGAAATTTATTGCCATGTGTTTAATATGGCATCGGCATTCTATGCCGAAGCTACTCTGCTGGCATGGCATCCCGCAATTAATCGACACGTTTGTATGTCACTAACCGTGTGGGTAGAAGCTGGTAAATGGCAACGACTTATTCATCTAGAAGATCGTAATTTTTCTCATTTAAGTGTTTGTTTATCCCGCATTTGAATGGGAGGTGATATGATTGCATGCATTAGCGCCAGACACGGAAGCAACACGCAACACAATTATTGGCATGAAGACACATGCTAAGACGTAAAACCATTCATTACTTTCAGTTCACCAGCGCAGAATAGCCTCTAGCAAGCTATCACTCGAACCGCAACGCCGCACATGTCCGTTTTGTGATAGTGTTCATTAGTGAGCCGCCCATCAAGATGCTAGGGTTATTGCCTCCCCAATCAAAACAACGATACGGAGCTTTCTATGCTCAGCCTTTCTCTTAAAGACGCGGCCCATCATTGCCTAGAGACTGGTCAATAGGAACCGTTGAGCTAGTTTGAACAAGATCAAACACGAGCCCCAATCCCCCATGCATTGGATCTTTCAGATCAAGGACCAATTTTGTTCCGCTTGATAAGGTACTATTGAACCACCACTGCCTGCTACGCAAGTTTCCTTCTGGGCTAGACTGTAGCATGGTGCTAATCATTTTCGTGAACCCCTGACCTGAGCCGAGTCAGGGGGCGCGGCTACCGTGCTTTGTGCTTCGGGCTTTGGCCACGACCCACACGCTCAGGATTATACGCCTGTCCGTATTACTCTTATTAAATTTCCTTTCTTACCGTAATATGCTGATCGCACATACAATATAATGTCGCTAATCCATGGGTCTTGCATCGGCTGCCGATGGCAAACTCCTATCGATGGCTGCTTGGACGAACTCGTCAAAAGCAACCTTCTGCGCCATCCGAGCTAGCCTGGAATTCAACCACGTGTCGAAGAAGCCTGCTAGCTGAGCTCTGGTAGGAGGCTGCGAGGTTTGGCACTCCTTTAGTCCATCGGCAGCTCCCTACCCGACGTACTCGATGCGATTCCGATACGCTACACCTGAGTGGCGATCCGTAAACTCACCACGGCAGTCCGGTAGTATCGTAGCGCAGAGCTAGCCATGGCCTTTGATTAATTGCGCTTCCTATTGAGTGATTAGTTCGCTGGACAGGTCGGCGTTTAGTGTCATGGTCGCCGAAAGTTCCCTAATTGGATGGGTGCATCTGCAACGGAAAGCTCTCTAAAACCATTGGCTGCGCGTTCAAACAGTGAGACGCGAGACCGGGGGAAGAAGGAGGGGTAAGAAGAATTTCGTGTGAAACGCTTGATGCAAGGTGAGTTGTCTCCTCTCTGCAAAAGGTTTTTCTTTCATGCGAATTCAAGTGCTATTTTCATTTGCTGGTTCACTTGTATACGTGAAAGGAAACAATTGAGCCTAGCAAATTCTCCGATCTACTGAATTATCCGGGGAGAATGACCTTCCAAGTAATAAACGAAGGGTAAACTTTATCCGGAGTTCCTTCAAATCAATCTCTTCAGTGGCTTAGCATTGAGCAAAAGCGCTGTCTATTTCTCGTGCCTATGTCCTCATAATCCAGGGTTATTTTAAGAATTAATATTTGTTCTCCCGTGCGCGTTCCCTTGAAACACATTCGGCGATATCTAGTAGAAATTTCTCATGCAAGATGCGATAGGGTCAACGTGAACCCGACTATGTAAGCTATAGGGGAAATTTATCATAATAGATTTGTTTGATGATTATATTTGAACATAGCTCACTTACTTTTAACCCAACGGCCCTGGAAGAGGGTATCGGCTATGAGCAAAATGCTTTTAACCCTGATCAGACTCTCTATGGCTTGCTTTGCGGAGGACAGTAGGACAATGTGCAAGCTTTTACCTTTTGCCGTTGGCTTATTTCTCCCCTCCCTTGGCCGTGTCTGCGCAATTGGACCTTTAGCTTTTCGTTGTTGAGTCTCAAGGGCTACCTGAAAGATCGTTAGGTACAGGGATACCTTCCCCCCACCTAATATTTGTCTTAGGTTTAGGTGACTGGGAAATCTATTGCTTGATTGTACAGCCCTTTGGTAAAACCACCGTACGGTGCTAAGTCACTAAATGGCCCAGTTACCCAAAGAGCAGCACATACTTTACATCGAGGGTACCTTCTCTAGTCAAGGAGTCAACCCTTTCTTAGTAGCCTAACCAAAGAATTGAAACATCTTGGTGACTTCAGACTCAGATTTTCAATCTACGGAACGGTTTCTATGGAAGGGCGTATCCCAGCATTCATTATGTGGGCGGCAAAATCTTCTTCTAGCAGGTTCGATGATTTGGTTGTGTCTGGTGCATAAGCTGTCATGCGCGGTCTTTTGTTCTCCGGCTTTCTTTTAGACGTCGATCGGATACCAAAGTCACCTTCGAGTCAATGAACTCGCCTGAATTTCATCCTCATGTTAGTTAATTGCTCCAAAGTGTTGAATAATGAAGGCTATAAGAAGCGTTTTCCACACCACCGTGCTGAATTTGCTGTACCGCCAGTTGGTGTTGAATGAGATGCCTATAACGGAGTATAAGCCGAGTGTAAGTCTCGTTGAGAGAAAGAGATCACCACTAACAGGAAAGTACAGTTTCTCAAAGAGGCATGGGCATTGCACGGCATCGGCACAGCAGTTCTGCTGCTCCGCTTTGCCGTGCGCTTCAAGACGATTGGAATTAGCAGATTGCAGTTTGATGACCTGTTCGCCTTCCTCGCGTTAATCTTCTACGCGTGCGACGCTGCGACGGTTCATCTTGTTTGTAAGCATCTCCTTGGCCTTCAGCCTTGTCCCAATATGCCCGCCGCTAATCTCCGTAGACTTCCTTGGGACGAACGTAGAGGCATCGACAATCCAAACGCAACGAGGTAGATCCGACATCTCAGTAGAACTCAACGAAGAAATCACGCGTTAACATATCGCGTTTTATAGAATTATGTCCCGAAGATGTCGCTGATTTTACACTTGGGTCGAAACTGCAACTTGTCGCTTGGTATTCGTATATAGCTCTTCTCTGGTCGCTTAAAGGGACAATGCTTTGTTTCTTTTCTTGGATGACCATCGGAACTTTGCATAGTCTGCTAGCTAAGATGATCTCAATCGCAGGCGCTTTGTCTTACATTGCAGTGTCTTCACGGTCCGTTCGCGGCGAGCTCGTCCGCAAATCTCCGAGAGGCTGACTGTTTTCAGATCACATTTGGATGCTTCCCCACGTCCAGGAACTAGCAGTATACATAACCACTCTCTATCTATAAAAGTGAGTAGAGTCAGCGAACTGACGCTATTGCAGAGTTGTACCAGATCCCGGAACTAAGACGTCTACCGCTCACACCTTTAGATACCAGTGAACTAACATTGCCCAGAGACATGTACCTTCAAGCTCCAAAATCTTTCAGCTGCCACAGTTCTCAATGTGTTGTAAGTGAAAGAATGCGGAGACGAACTACATTATGTCTAATCGAACTCTAGAACCGACGGAGCGATGCTCTGCATTCCGCTACCCTTACTATGGAAGCTCTAATTCCCCTTCTGGCAGTAAGTTGTCTACACCCTGACCGACGTTCCATGCCAATAAGACGTATATTCACGAATGTATCATCAGAAAGCTCGCTATCGGTATACTTCTATCATCGGGCATATTCGTCATGGCAGCAGCGCTCATTCGTCTCGGCTTCTCATTGTCGTCAAACCCGTCTGCTGCTAACGTCAACAGCTGGGGCGTGCGAGAGACAATCGTCGGTATAATTACAGTGAACATCCCCATCTTGCGCCCCATGTTCAACCGTTTATTCTGGAAACCGGGTCTCAGTCCTCCAGGAAGCGAGAGGCGAGCCAAGTCAGGAACCGGAACCGGCACTGGGATCAAAAGCACACACATATCCGCGCAGATGCCTGAGGCCTTTGAGATGGCCACGGGAAAGGCAGGTCATATGAACAATTACACAAGATATAGATCCAGCACGGATGGTGACAGTAGCGAAGAAGGTATTCTGAGAGACCCGCAGCCTCCGTCTGTGCTAGTGAGCAGGTCAGGAGCGAGCTCGACCCTAATGAGGTCGCCTGGGGGGGCGGGCGAACAAGGTGTCAATTCATGCTGGACAGAATATAGCATAATACCATGATGGTAGCGCTCCATGGTCAAACAACATCTCGGCTACTTTTTCAGTAGCTGGGCAGGTTACAAAGAGGACAACAGAACTGCATATGCTATTGCAATCAACTGGGCTGGTCCCATCGTTATATGGAGACAAAAAAAACAGAATATCGGAAATGAGGTTGACAAAGACAGTGGTTGATTAATCACGTGCACAAGTCGGGATTTCAACATTGACGATAACGCCATGATGGGAAGGGCTTGGTAAACGTGCCTGCGCACAATCACTGCTAGTCCAACCTTTCTATTGCCTTTTTCAGAAGAGGATAGTTGGAGTCTCTACCTCTGCACAACTATCACTTCGGGATAACAGCAGGGTTGAAGGTTACATTCTACCAACGAAGGAGGGGGCTACTCCGAAGAGAGCAGGGGTATTTAGTCGAACATTGGCAATTATTTGAGGAGTCTCCAATAGCAAGTATGGACTGTAATTTGGGAATTCTGAGACTTTGGACTAACAATTTGAAACCGTTTCAATCATCATCAGGCACTACCTCTCCTTTTCTTTCACTTCACACATACATAGCAAATGGGGCCTGGGAAGGCTCCTCCTTCAACACAAAAGTTTTAACTCCGACAGCTTGGAACGCAGTCTGGACCTGGCCGTGCCTGCCGGTGAGGTATATTGTTCGCATGTCCTTAAACTTGACAGGCACTTTAGCTGCCAGATGGCAGAGCGCACTGTCTAGTCCAGTGGGGGAGTGGACGATCTTCAAGCTCCTGATCGAGACCGGGAGCAGATCGGTGATGGTTTCTCGCGGGTACACTCCCTCCCCTGGCCCGAAGCGGATCGTGCTGGTCTCTACAACAAGTGCCTCAAGGACTCGCATGTCCCGGATGCTCCCCATGCAGTACAATGACGGATCGCCACCGCACCGGGCTATCACGTCCGGGGCTAAGGTAAAGTCCAACTTGACTTGCTGGAGGGTATCGGCTCGGTGCAATATGGCCTGGAAAACCTCCTTTGGTGGTGCATCGTCAAAGGTGTCGAGGAAATCAGCGCCTGGAGTGTACGAAAACACCCGTAGCTTCTTTGCTTTTTGCATCAACTCCTCCAAAGTCGAAAGCCCGATGCGGCAACGACGGAGATGCAGCTCCTCCAGGCGGTCGAAAGTGACGGTGTCTGGAATGCCCCGGATCAGCCAGTTCTTTGCTTTGAAAGAGGTGAGATTTGGTGCAGCCTGAAGAAATATGTCTGCCATTCCAACGAAGCTTCGCTTCAGGTTGGTGTTCATATGGCGTCCAGCATACGCGATGGTGAGCTCCTTCAAGCGCGGCATGGAGCCAGGTGGCGTGAAGGGGAAGTGCGTAGGATTCTCCCAAGCAATCTGGACGTCGAGGAACTTCACGTTGGGCGCGTGCGACATGGCGAGAGAGGATAGGGCGAGCGAGCTGTGGAGGCAGAAGATCTGGTCTCGCCCCTGAGGGTCACGGTGACGGCTCTCGAGCCACCATTTTGGGAGCACCTGAATAGGCGTGCCCCTTGACTCTGAGAACTCGGCCAGATGCTTGGTGAGGTACTCGCTCTCATCCTCGGTAATGGTGTAGTCCCGCTGGCTGTACATCTCGGATCCTACCCGCAGCTCTCGGACCCTTGCGCCGAGATCTGGCCGTTTGCAAAGGGCCAGGGCGAGCGAGAAGGAGCTCGCGGTGCCAACGAGCGGCGAGTGATGAAGAATTGGCTGCGCGATGGTTCGGAGCAGCGAACAGGTCTGGGAGAGGGACGACAGAGCTCGGAGGTGCGCCATATTCCAAGCCGAGTGTTGCCGACGGATTTTGTCGGTTGTGCCGAGGCAATGGGGGCACAGCATCTGGCAGACATTCTCAAGGATCTCCAAAGGGAGATCAGTGAGAGTGAGGGCCATGTCTCGATGCAAGCAAGCTGCTCGTCGTTGGAAGGAGAGTTGTGTCTTGAGAAGTCGAGCTTGAGGGGTTTGTGTCTTGCCGAAGCCGGGGGTGTGAAGAAGATCGTGGAGCTAATCCCTCGCATTTATGCAATATCACGGAAATCTTTCGGAGCCTGCTTGATGACAGATCGATTAAAGCGGGCCCATCAAGCTCATGGCGATGGTTACCCCCTATTGACTGCAGGCTGGCGATGGATAAGATTGATAAACAGGCGTGGGGATGGCTTAGTGGGTAGTTACAAGGATGAGATGATCTCTTTTTAGTGATAAGATTGTCGTAGAGGGTAGGGTTGACACATCAACATGTCTAATGCCCCGTTGAATGGCCCATGGTGGAGTCTTTGGCTGGAACTAAACCCACAGGCAAGAGTATCCACGCGTGGAGGGAGGCCCCTGGAGTCTTTTGTTAGCCAAGATATGGGAAGTTGGGATATTGGGTCCTGGAGAGGAATGACATAGCCTGCGAGAGCGATGTAGGTTGATCAATAATAGGGGTTGTCAAGCAGAATAGCTCCGTCCAAGTCCAGTAGGATCTGGGATGCCAACGTAAGATGAATGGGATTGATCAGGAGAATGGGTAGAGCAATGAATTCATCTGCTCAAAACCTAAGTGTTTTTATACAACTTACTACATAGAGCATACATTAATATTCTTCACTTCTCCTGAGCAGAATCTCGCCTCCTTCAAGCGTGCGCCCTGTCTGTGGAATCTTCAACACCCCCTGTTCGACCAGATCCTTCGCCAGTCGAGGCAAGATGCCGTCACAGCCCTTGGCAACCAGGAGACTTACAGCCACAGGCAGCAGCTCGTCTTGCCCCGTAATGGAGCTATTTGTCGCCACCTCACCAAGCGGGAAGACATTGTCAGGCACTTCGGCAAAAACACTGATGCGGCCAGAGCTGAACCCAAGAGGCGCACCAGGTGCTGAAAAGTATCTATTCCTCGGGCTTGGGGTACCGCTGCTGCTGGGGTAGAGCAAAATCGACTCTGAGCATTGGCCGCCGTCGTTTGAGCGTGGGAGAACATTGCTGTTGAACCAGTTCATGAAAGCGGTCTTGTTTTGCAGCGCGGCCTCGTAAGTTCCCGCTGGGAGCGCTTCAGCGTAGGCCCATCGAGAAAGAGGCACAGGATTCACAAATGGTCGGCGCCCTTCATAAGCAGCAGCATAATCTAAATAGAAGGGATCACGGACCAGCTTGATTTGCTCGATGCCGATGAGCGCTGCATAAGTCTCCCGCAGCATGACACTCAAGGGGTCTGATACAGGTCCAGTCTCGTTCCAGAGACCAGCAAGGTCCAATACTTCCGGACCACTTGCACCAACGAAAGCTGCCAGCTTGTCTGCAAAGTCTACGATAAGAGGCTGCGCGCCATCAAAGCCATAGGTATAGACCTTGGTTGGGTACTTGACTCCTGAGGTATACGAAGTATAGTTGTCGCCGTACATCGCTTTGTTGGCAACGTCCCAGATCTCTGGGTCACGCACAAGAAAGCCGGGGGTATCCAAGGTTGGGCTCAGCGGCATAGCGCCATCGAGAGTGACGAGATCTTTTGAAGGCCTGTTTCCAAATAAGCCTTGTTGACCAGCAGGTCCACGGATAGACCCGCCGGTATCCGAGCCGACGGCGATATCAAGCCACTCATAAGAAGCAACGGATGCTCCAGCACCAGATGAGGACGAAGACGGCTGGTTGTAACCATCGCCGCGGGGATTAAACGGGGAGTGATAGTCGACCCAATCAGCGGTAGCAGTTTCTCCGTTGGCAAATTGAGATAGCTTCTGGTACCCCACGATGATTGCGCCCGCGTCGATCAAGTTTTGGATGCAAGGAGCAGTGGTATTCGCTTCAGGGTATAGGCGCCACCAGGCACGGTTTCCATTCGACTTGCGGAGGCCAGCAAGATCATAAAGCTCTTTAATGCCAACGCGTACCCCGGCAAGAGGCTTCTCAGCAGACCGTTTGAAATACAGTCGTGAAGGGACTCCGATAGTGAGGGCATCTGAACCATGGACCTGCGCAGAAAGAGGCTGAAAAGAACTTCCTGTTGGGCTTTGGAGAAGGCCAGCGCTGAAGGCTTGTACAGTATCTCTATAGAGACGAAATGCTTGGTAGAGCTCGCCAGATGATAAGTGGAGAAAGTATGGCCCTGAGGGGATGGTCGAGTTGCTCGATAACGGGAATACTAACGAGGAGTCGGCTCCATCATACAGGGACTTCTTGGAAATACAGCCGCCCTTGTGGTTGGCGAGGAAAACTCCAGACAAAAAGCCGGGCTGCCAAACATCGTCTTTCGTTGTCCAGTTCTTGAAGAAGTCACCAAGAGATGCAGCGTCCACGTTGTCAGATACAACGGTGACAGGTGCAAAGCCAAAAGCTTGTGTCAACGAGGTGTGAACCACAGGCCCGTTGACGACCTTGCCTTGAGAGTATGGCGACACAAAATAATCGACGTCCTTGATCTTGAATGAGGCACCCGTGCTAACAAGTTGTGAAGCAGCCGTGCCCAGAAGGGCAAAAATTGCGAGCCCTTTCATAGCCAACAACAAGGTGGGGATGGAATCAGGAGCGCCGTAGAACTTTCAACTCCGTAGAGATGGCCTTGCCCGTGTGATACGCATCTGGGCTAGATCCCCTTCTATTTATTCGTTTGAGTTTGGGCCCCGTAAGCAGCTCTCCCGAGTCACCGGCCGCCGGGCTAGGCAATGATCGTTTTCGGGCTGCCATGCCTGCCATGATGTTACCAATAACCCCCGACGAACCGTACGCTCGGTACCCGATTGGCCGATTACACTGCTCGTGCCAAGAGATTGGTTATCGTGTCTAACCCCAGAAGCTCAGCAAGGTACTCAAAGCCCCGCTGGATGACGAATGGTGAAGTCTTATCAGTGGATTCGGCAGTGCTTGCAGAAGGTCATTGCGTTGACATGGATTAAGCCCCGTCTTGGATGGAGTTTGCGGAGAAAGACACGCGATAATGTCACCGTAGATAGGACATTATGCATATCGCAGAGACTTTCGGTGAGATCCCTGCTGGTTGATATCGCTTCATTTCCGCTCCCCGCTCGCTGACTCTGCTAGGGTGAACAATTCCCTCATATCGTGTATCAGTCTGTCAAAAAGAAGGCTTTCTTATCTTCTCAATTTCGATGTGTGTGTCTTTCGCAACAATCTGTTCTAAAAGATATACAGAATGGGCAGGATGAATTTGAAATAACAGCAAAACTCGGAGTCCAGCATTTCGAGAGAGTAACATTTTACTTGTTCAACTTTCCAGCACCTCTGAATGAATAAGCTGCCACTGCCAATGCCGTAACACTGATGGCGAAGTTGAACCACTCTGCAGCTCTTAATCCTCTTAACAAACTCTCGTTATGGGGTCTATAGGTGCCGTTCTGTCCCGTGTTATCATTTATCACAGCAATCTGGATAGCAGTTGCCACAGCTAGGCCGACACTCCTGCCAACTTGGCCTAGAGTCTGGAAGATGGCCGCGCCCGCCGCTCTGTCTTTCTCTGGGATCGAATTCATTACGAAAATCGAGATGCAGGGAAAAAGCATGTCCCCGCCAACCGTTAACAGGACCATTGAGGGAAATCCGTAAGCCCAGTAGGTCGTGTCGGGAGGTATAGGCACGGCAAAGAGCAGACAAGCAACCGAGATGCACGCAGTGCACCATAATACCATGTAGTATCCATCGACGCGGCTCAGTACCTGAGAAGAAATAAGGGTGGCTATTATACCAGCAATCCCACTTGGAAGGAAGCGCAGAGTTGTCTGAAGGACGTCTAGGCCTTGATAGTCTTGGTAAAAGTAACTCGCGAAGACGAGAAAATTGTTGAATGCAGCCCAAAAGATCGCGTCAATGATCTGTGCTCCACGGTATATCGGCGAGTGGAAAATTGATAGTTTTATCAGGGGCGGTCGTTTGGCTGTATTCTCTAACCAGTGCTCCCATTTGATGAACACAGGAAGAATTAAGCAAGAGACAATGAGCAGCGTAAGAACCCAAGGTGAAGTCCATCCAACCACGTTTCCGGCAGTTAGAGACACAAGGAAGAGCATCAAAATAACAAGGGAAAGTAGGAGGCCAACCCAGTCCATCTCAACCCAGAGGTAGTAAAACCGCTTTTGGAGTGATACTTCCCTAATCTCAGCATCCTTGGCTAAGAATGGCACGACAAACAGTGACGTGAGCCATGAACAAGCCGTGGCAATACTCATAATCCAAAACACCCAATGCCAGTTGACTTGCTGAGCGATGACTCCTCCAAGTATGTTCCCTATGAGGCTACCTAGAGGGAATCCAGCCGAAAATACCGACATGGCATAGATTTGGGGTTTACCCGGCGGGAACACCTCAAAGATAATGCTTACGGCACTTGGCACTGCGGCAGCTCCTCCCAGTCCGTGGAGGACGCGAAAGAAACAGAATGAAACCTCATTGGGTGCAAAAGGCGCAATAAGGCAGGAAATACAAAAGCTAGCCAGCCCAAACTGGAAGACGAAGCGCCGGCCCCATATATCTGCGAGTCGTCCCCAGAGAGGTAATGAACAAGCGTTGGCGACTGAGGCCGCTGAGAGAACCCATTGCAGGTTACCAGGGTGGATGTTGAGGTCTCTTCCTATGATTGAGAGTATAATAACACAAGATTGAGTCATGCAAAGCTGCGTGAGGGAACCCGTTAGCAGCGTCCAGCGCATGTTGGCTTAGAGGCGGGATATCCAATCCGGGATCCCTTCACGAAGCGAACTCACGGTCAGAAATGGGGAGCTGGCCAAGACGAGAGCTAGTGCAATAGATCTTTTGTGTGATAAATTCGGTTTTTTGTCTGTACCATGTGTCGTTGGTTCCTCTGCAATTTCTGACGGCGGATCAAAACTTTCATCCTTGGTCTCGGGCGCCGGCGCTGCTGGACCTTTCGCATCCATGGCTTCGGTGGTATGGTAGAATTCCAGTTCATGGGTATCACAGTAAAGACAGCAGTAAAAAGAGTTATATTAGACAGATTTCAATTTCAAGGGAGCATCCCTGGGCCCACAAGGCTCGGCTACCCTTCTGAGGGTTCGAATTATGGCGGAGTGCATGAAAACTCACATCCCTTGCCAGTTCCATCAACAGAGCTTGCCCCTATCGAATCTCACCTAATATTACATCATAACTATGAAATTGAGACCTTGTTTCGAATTTGAGTCACCTTCAGAACTTTGAGAAACCAAGGGAGCGAGAATCCGGGCTCCCCCTGAAACAGCATTGGTACTTGTCTTACACTGATCACTCATAGGATCTTCCATACACAAAAGTAGTACACGAGAAAAGTCAAGCTTTTTAGCATTCATTCAATCCCGAAGCAGATCGTCCATATGTTGGGTAGTTTAGTTGAATGATGCTGCGCCAAGCCTAAGAAAGGTGGCAGAAGCCATTCTCCAACTACCACAGGAAAACCCCTTGCCCCCTTCGGCCAATATCTCTGCCGCCTCTACTTTTTTCAATGCCACTTTGGACCGTGTGTACTCAAGGGTCCCCGATGCGGCTTGATAGCTTTTGCGTTGGCCACGTAATCGAAGTTTCCAAACCTCTGAGTAAACACGACGTCCTCTGGTCCATGCGGCATCTTTCCCCCTCCAAGGAAATCGAATGGAAACCCCGGCTCAAACAAGTAAGCCTCGTCAACCTCTCTAATATCCTCTTCCGATAGCTCAAGACCGAGTGCCTCAATGTTTCCTCGGAGATGCTCGATCTTGCGACCACCCACAATTGGCACGACGTGAGGGGCTTTTTGCATCACCCAGGCCATGGCCACACTCGTCATGGGTACACTCAGGCGCTCGGCTACTCTCTCAAGAACATCAGCTACCAGTTCTTCACGTCCGTTTTTGATGCCGGTCTTTCTTCCATCGCCAGCTTGGCCACGCTGACTCTTGGGCTTGAAATAGCCACCGCCTAACGCGCCCCAGGCAGCAAGTCCCATATCTTGATCACGGCACATGGGAACGATTTCCCTCTCAATGTCTCGGATCGCCGCGTTCCACCTTCCTTGGTACACACAAAATGGCCTCATGCCATGGCATTTTGCGTACGAGTTGCACTTGACGACCCACCACGCCGGGGCATCTGAGATACCAAGATACAATACCTTGCGTTCTTGTACTAGAATATTAAGGCTCTGCATAAGCTCCTCTGCTGACGTGGCCATATCCCAGTAGTGGACGTAGAGGATATCGATGTAATCTGTCTGAAGCTTTTTCAAGCTTGCCTCCACTGAGAGATGAAGTGACTTAGTGCCACTGCCACCGTAGTTGCTCTGCATACGAGTCTTATCCGATTGCACCTTGTAGCCGGAAGAAAACTTGGTTGCAATAACCATATCATCTCGCAGACCTCGCTTTGCCAACCACTCGCCGACCCAAATTTCCGATTCTTCGTCTTGGTACATGTTGGCACTAGGAGAAGTGAGATTCTTTGATCTGACTACCCGTTCCATAGTCGGCAGGAAGGTGTTTGATATACTCACGTGTCGATGAAGTTCCCGCCTTGTTCATAAAAGAAGTCAAGCATCTCGAATGCAGTCTCCTTGGTACACTCCCCGAATTTGTCCTTCCATGCTTCTCCGAAGTTCAAGGCGCCCAAGGACAGGGGACTGACATAAACAGATGCAGATGGTGATAGGAGACGATGTCTGCCAAGGGCTGTCTTAGGAGGCGGGCAAGGTGGCGCGGTCATCTCGAAAGTTATGTACAAGTAGCTTGTCTTTGATTGTGGTGGAAAGAAAGTATCTCCAGTCCTAAGTGAATATCAATCAACGCAAACAGCACTCCTCCCATCATACCCATCCTATTGCTATTTATACGTATTCTCCGGGCTATTACGAACGCCATTCTTTATCAGACGTATGGGGTTTGGGTTTCTTAACTCCGAAACTCCATCCCGCCATTCCGTCACAATCATGCAACTCCATACCCCTCATAGGCGTTGATCTTCCTAATTCAGACCGAATATGAGTTATGACGTTACCTATAAGATCTTGTCCCGGTAAGTACCCAATGAGGTACCATAAGACGAGTCCACATGATGCAGCAAAACGATGTTGCATCAGAAGGCTAGATAGCCAAGAATCTTAAAGCCTAATGCCGAAAGACAGATTAATATTTAGTCTAACACAAGAGGTTGAATCATTGGCTATTATGGTTGGACGAATACAACATAGGTGTCTTGTTATGTCGTAATTAATAATGATAGAACATTTATTTCCCCTCTCCCACCAGGAAAGGAAAGTCAAAGGCAAGCGCAAGCGCAAGCGCAAGTTCCCAAACTCGTAAGCAAAAGAAAAATCAAAGTTCATAGATTACACTTCTTGATAACCAAGATCAGAGCAATGGGGAAAGACGCCGTGTTCAACAGCAAAATCTAGAATTCACTATTCTGGCTTACCTAATTTAGTTTAATTGAACATATATTCTCCCGTCTAGACATCGTTCACTCTGTATAGAGAAAAACCATATGGAATGGAGAAGACCATACAAAGAATAGCCTTTCAGATCACTGAATACAATATCCAACCACTGAATTATTTCGTCTAACAATCCATGAAATGTCCAATTTAGACACACGAAGCGGTCGAAGGGTTCTGGTTGGTCAGTTTGCAGCCTAGAATTTTGTGTTAGTGCCTCACGATCCACGCAAGCCTCTAGAGCGAGTACACTTACGTCCGCGCTTGATAGTACCGGCGCCGTCGGTCCAGTAGGCACAAGCCTCATTGTTGCGATAGATGACAGTGTTGTCATTCATTCTTGTGCATGACTCATGCACATTCGCTAGATAGCGGAGGGATTTTATGAGCTTTGTGAAACTCGAAACTTAGATTTGTCTGGGTAAATTCACTTACTGCCTCGTATAACCCACCAATTGTTATTGGCAACCCAATTCCCCTGGCCGTCTTTGGTCCACCCTTGGATACCGGTGGCAAAGGCAAGAGCACCGACGATGGAGATGAAATGCATCTTGAAGAGATGTTGAACAGCAGGTAGTGGTAGGATGAGTGATAACTAGCAGTAGTAGAGATGGAGATGATGATCTGAGTCTGAAGAATAAGTTTTCCCCAGAGAGAGACAGAAGAGTCCTTATATATTTTTTCTCAGCTATACACGTCGCAAAATTGTTCTAAAAGCAGCAGGTCTGTTTCCGTCTTGATAAGCCCGTTCCTTTTATTACCGTTTGGTCTGATCTTCTCCTATATGAGTATTTCTCGCTGAGACATCCACGGACGAGATGAGAAATGCGTCAGAGAATCTCTTCTGAGCAAGAATCGAAGGTCTATAATTGGTTGCCGGGTGTTTGAGGCGCGGGACGGCATGAAGTTGTCATACATCACAATTACATTCAAATGACGTTTACCTAACACAGCGGTGGAACTTTGGATGAAACATCAGGCTTTGGTACATCTAGCATGTCCAACAGATGAGGGAGGCACAGTCATCGTGGCGAGCAAGGTTCATATTGGCAGCAGGCACCTGCACGCCCAAGAGCCAACAGGACTGAGTACTTCTGTGTCCAATCGGTAACCAACCCCAGTAATATCCAAAGTTCTCAAGAAAATCTTAGAGTTTAGAGGAGATCATGAGGTCATGCAAATGTTTAAGGTAACTAGGCGTACAACACTTCCGCATACAGGCTGTGCGTAGCGAACTATCGGCCGTGTGGCGCTGAGGTCTGACTCTTTGCAACTCTAGAACGCGCCTCAGTGGGGATTTCCAGGTGATATTGCTCCGTGTTTGTAATATTACCAACTACTATGAATGATTATCTCCATTCGATTTTGTTTGCTGAATGAATAAGAAAGCAGCATTGCCATCCTCGGGTACGTTAGCTTTATTTCCCAAACTTTCGGGCTACCTTGGTTAATTGCTTTGGGTAATGGCCCCTGTCTCTTCATATCGAGCGGCTGGGCAGAGTTTTTGTCACAGATTGATCGTTAGTTACTACGGCATCTGGCAGCAACTGAAGAACATCTATTCATACATACTCATTAAGGTTTTGCGTACAATGAAACCCTCGGGCAGCATCCTTAAACAGGTAGGGATGAAGTAGTTGCATCTCCTGAGACAACTTAGGTCCGTATATCGCTAAGATCTGACGTTAAACTTGTATTAATGTCGATCATTCTTTCGCTATGCGTTAACGCGCACGTAAAGGTTTCAAACGGGAAAGACATTATTTACCGTATAGATCAGGAAAATTGGGGTAATGTGCTCCAAAGTCCGTCAGTTCTAGTAGCCATTGCGGGAAACATAGGCGTGTAAACAGGACCAGTGGCTATGTATCGACATGTTTTAACTCGTGCCGGTTACCGAGAGATATCTCCGGGCTTGAAGGGGGATATGCATGCAAACTACCGAAAGCGAGAGCGAAAGGCCCAAACCATCTCGAACTTCCAGATAATAATGAATACTCAAGTTCAGACAGTGATGGGCATGAAGACAACTGGGTAAATAGCAGTCAGTCCCCGTCATTGGCTATCAAGCACTTTGAACCACCCCCAGAGAACTGGTTCATATTAAATGCTCAATCCAGATCCGATGATAATCTCACAAACCAGCAAGACAGCCTCGACTAGTTACCCCCTGTAAATGACTACAAGAATTGTTCGGATGGGCCCGGAGGGATCAACAACAGGATCGAACACATGTGTCAATAACCTGTGTTAGAAATGATACGTAATCAGGGCATCAGCTAGTGCTAGTGGGCTCAATAATTCCCATTCGGTCAAAATAGAGGCTATTTTCTATCACCAGCTGAGGGTTTTCCACCAATAGCCAATCTCTCTTCAACTCGGAATTACGACGCATACTTAGCCTTGACATGCGTCCAGGCTAAAGAAACCCGCAAAAAACAAAAGAATAATTGGTGGGATTGTGGAGAGTCTAATGGAGAGCCCGATTCCGTTGCTGAAAGAGGGCAATTATTAACTTTTGACGGATCGGCGGGCCTACTTCCATAAATGTTCCCTCACTGAGAATGTCAATATTGGCCAAGTCTGGATACATCCTGTGATAACTTGGAGGTATAAATACAGCTCGAAACAGACCATAAAAGAGATGAAATATTGCGATCCACCATTTTCCGCAATCTCTTCCTGTTGGTTTAGGTCTACAAAAGAGAGGAAAATGAGACTCCCAAGTCTATATCTTTGGCCCTGCCTCGCGGCAATCGCGTCGGCGCAAGCTCCTCTTTACGGGCAATGCGGTGGTGTGAATTGGACAGGACCGACTACCTGCGTGGCTGGTTCCTATTGCCAATACCAGAATCAATGGTATTCCCAGTGTGTCCCAGGTAAGAGCATGTGCGAGTCTGAATTTCAATCAACACAAGCGCTTACCGGAGATGCAATGAACAGGAGCAGCATCGTCCTCAACTCTAGTGACCTCTAGAACTTCTACAACATCTTCGACGAGCCGTGCTGCCACCTCGACGTCGACAACATCAAGCCCGCCACCCACCGGTACTGGGTTTCCAAAAGCCAGCGGAACCAAGTTTACAATTGACGGCGTGACAAAATACTTTGCCGGAACTAATTGCTATTGGTGCAGCTTTTTGACCAACAATGCTGATGTTGACCTCGTTTTTGACCATCTCAAGGAGTCAGGCATTAAAATTCTCCGAATATGGGGCTTTAACGATGTGAACAGCATCCCTGGATCTGGAACTGTCTACTTCCAGTATCTTTCGGCCTCTAGGTCGACCATTAACACCGGGGCAGACGGTCTGCAGAGGCTCGACTACGTTGTGTCGGCAGCAACAAGCCGTGGGCTCAAACTCATCATCAACTTTGTGAACAACTGGGATGACTACGGAGGCATCAAGGCCTACACCAACGCTTTTGGAGGAACTCACCAGGGATGGTACACAAATACCGCAGCGCAGACGCAGTACTTGAAGTACGTCCAAACGCTGGTGAACCGTTATAAGTCGAGCACGGGTATCCTAGCATGGGAGCTGGCCAATGAGCCTCGCTGCCAGGAGTGCAGTACCGACGTGATCCACCAGTGGGCAACTTCCACATCTCAGTATATCAAGAGCTTAGATCCCAACCACATGGTGACACTCGGCGATGAGGGGATGGGTCTTGCTGGAGACACCAGTTATCCCTACACGTTCTGGGAGGGAACCGATTTCGCGAAACATTTGACCATTCCTACTCTTGATTTTGGGACGTTCCATTTATATCCAAATTCCTGTGAGTATTTCTGGGGGAACAAAAGTATTTGAGATGTCTCAGCTGACAACGGTGATAAAGGGGGCGTCTCCTACGATTGGGGCAACCAATGGGTCAAGGACCACGCAGCAGCTTGCGTTGCCGCCAACAAGCCTTGTCTCTTCGAAGAATGCAAGTTCAAGATCCCCATTCAATACTGACCTTGCAGCTAACATGGCTATTAGATGGCGCGCCTTCGGATCACTGCACTATTGAGCGGCCCTGGCAACTGACATCCGTTGCTACAACAGGAATGGCAGGTGACGCTTTCTGGCAGCTGGGTGATACCATCAGCACAGGACAGACGCATAACGATGGGAATACCATCTACTATGGAAGCTCAGATTGGCAGTGCCTGGTCACAGACCATGTAGCCGCCATCGGATAATGACAAAGACGTCATGAGGGTCTATCTGTTGGAAACTTGGGAATGGCGAGACTTGACAGCAAAGCTGAACATAGCATGAATCTATATGTTTCTTAAGTTTCGGGATGTAAATATACGCTAAGTCCATCGTGAACCCATTATTTTCAATCAATTGGAATACACTGTTTCTTTACTTTCCCCTTTTTCATTCCAGGACAACATGTATTTTTCCTTTTTACTTCTCTTTACCCGTTCTTCAGAGCCGACCTCACAGTTCTAGGGATGCTGTTTCATTCGAGGTTGTTCATTAGACTCTAGTCTATGGGACTTTTTGCCCCAACTACTCGGTCGGAACGGGGCGAAAATTACCAATGTGAATATTCATTGTGTTCAAATGTTGGGTCTAGCATCTTCTATTGCTGTTTTTACTGCGTACTCGAATTCTCACCCGCATAGGGTGTGCGAATGAGACATCTAGAATCCAATAAATTGTTAACGTGAGGGAAGATAGGAAGATGGGAAGTCGTTCTCATACCATCACCCATAAATTCAATGATTCTCGATCAGGGTTATTGATTTTCATGATCAGCTCTGCTTCAATGCCAAATTCATCAATAGTTCCAGCGGTCAGTGTTATTACTATCTCTGAGATGTGCAGCTCAGTGTTCCTCTAATGAGCCCTAAAACTCTACATACCCTGGAAATTGTTGAGGCCCGTAAATTATATGAGTTTTAAAATGTCTTAGGACTGGGTGCTGAAAGGGGAGGCTGCGAGATCGCCGCCGGTTGTCAGTCGCAGTTTGATGCTCGATACCCTATACCAACACCCAGGCTCATGGGAGGCCGGTGTGCCGCCACCAGTGCACTGCCGAATCTCTCGTTCTTCCTTCACTTGGGGCAATCTTCGAAAACTCAGATAAGCTGGGAGCAGTTGCCAGACTGCTCTGGCTGACTTGAGCGCCCGTACCTTTGGGCTGCTATCTGCGTGAGTAAATTTTACCAACGAGCTTGGGTTCGGACAATATACTCCGTTGTGCTAACATGGCGAGCAGATCGGCCGGGTCATCTTCCTCTATCTAGCCTAGCGAGCTTTGGAAGCAAGCCAGTGGTGAACAGAGGGGCAAGCTTCCGTGTCTGTGCCCAGATATTGAGAACCAGGTATGTTGGGTAGTGGGTCAGACCAAGTGGCAACGTGGAGGGAGCCAAGGAGCGAGCACCATGACAAGGGGGAGAATCATCGGGCTTTGCAGGTAGAGTATCAGGCATGAAGGACACTGTTCTCAGTGATAATCAACCTTTTGAGATCCTTCTGCTGTCAGGACTAGCTGGAAGAATTTCAGCGTTGAATTCTTTTTGCAACTTCAACGAAAGTCTCCTAATGTAAATAAAATAGCACGCGGCTGCTTTTTCTTTGGCCAGCTACGCGTCCGGTACATATGAGAGCCCACTTGACTCTGTGCTATTTTAAGAGAAACACACTCTTATCAATTTGTTCGCGGTTCCCGCGTTCATCTTCAAATTTCAGAAACTCAGAAGGCAGTAGTTGGCCAGCCCACTCAGCAGCAACAGCCTAATTTAGGAAGTGGCAAGCATCCGCGTCTACACTGCCAGTCTTCGGGGCCCTTGGCTGTGATAAGGCAGTCCGCGTGGCTAGCCCTACGACCGAACCCGCTATCACCCAGTGGTGCTCAATAGCTGTTTCGCTTCGCAAAAAAGACGAACCTTCATTGGCTCGAAATGGCCGAGTGGCTCTGGCTACAGAGACGGTCTGCGGGGAATTCTTCTCCTAGATCGACTACCCTAAAGTGAGCGTTTTCTTGGGAAGCATCGTATGATGTGATTGTCAATCAGACTCGGTCGTCAACGCTAGTCGGGGGCCGTAGGTGGACTAAACGTTGGTAAGACGGACTATGCCGGGTTCCCCAGTCATTATTTACAAGGCTTGGATGGACCAGTATCCCGGCGTATGCTTGCTTGCTTTTCTGAGACCAGTTCGCTGCATAAAAGTGATGAGTGTGGATTTACCACGTTAAGTTAGAGCTGACATGTGACCAAATAAAGAGAAAATGTGATATATCGTAAATTATCAAAGTCTTTGCTATGAGCTCGTCATGTCTTGTTGATAAAAGTATTCCATTTCATATCGCTAATTTTGCTATGGTCTAATTATTATTCCGTTATGAAGGCTTAATATATGGGTATACTTATTATGATCTGCAAACTGGCTGCTAATAATTGTCATGATGCCTCCGAACCCCCACGGCTGGCCGTTGAGCTTGCCACTACCCTTCATTAAGGGGGCACTTTCTGATTGCCCTGATACAGCTAAAAAACAAGCAAGACTCGCCAAGAACATGCCTCCACATTCAAACTGCCCCAATCCCCAGCCAGTAGCTAATTACAACCCATCCGTCTCACGCAGGGCCTGCTCAACCTTATCCCAGTACCCAGCGATTCTGAACCCGTAGAGCCAGAAGTTCTTGGCACTATCTTGCCCAATGACGCAGAATCCTTCAGGGAAGTTGAATGGAAGCTGCGTAGTCTGGATGTAGCTGGGATACTGCGGCTTCTCCGCGTCATCCTCAGAGACAGCGGCAGGGCTGAAATCATGACCGTACAAATCGGCCTTGCCCCAGTTGGAAAGCGTCATAAGGTGCATGCCGGCGTCGCCAAAAAACGGGACCATCTTCCCCGCTGCTTGGCGCTGGAGGGCGAAGTATGCCTCAACCTGCTCCCGCGTGCCTTGCTCCACGACAGACCGGCGAATCTCGCGCGCGAGATGGCTGACTGGCTTCTGGATGATCTCGCTAGCGGGCAGAAGGGTGTAGAGCATGGTGAAGAGGTTGCTGAAGTAAGGATCCTTGGCAGGGTCGGTCGACATGCCCAGGGCCTTGCGAGCACTGGCAGCGTACTGGAGGTTGACGGTGCGGTTGGAGTCGGCTTTCATGAGGGAAGTCACTGCTAGCTTGGTCCACCACGCTCCGAGCACATCAGCCTCGGTCACAAATGGCTTCTCTGAGGATCCGGACGCTGTAGCCTCAGCCTGGAGCTCGGCGAGGATCTTGGTCCTCAGGTTCTCGATGAAGGCACCGGGGACGCAAACGATGCGGTTCTCCTTGCCCCGGAATGCCAAGTCGATGATGTTCGAGGCGCCATATCCCACTAGGCCAGCAGTTTGCATTAGGTGCTTCTGCAGAACGTGCGGCTCGGTTGGGTTGGTTCCCAGCGAGCTCAGAGAATCAAAGTCATCTGAACCTGGATCGCCACCAACGGGAGTGGCTACTTGGTCCTCGCGGCCATGTAAGACATGTGTCCATGCGGCCATCAATGCTCCCCAGCCCATTAAATCGAAAGACGTGTGGTTGTAATATAGAATGACGAGCGTAGCATCGAGGAACGACACCACGTGCAAACCCAGCTGGCCACGATCTTGCACAAGGTAGTCATCTATCTTAGTCGGCGCCCCCTCAGGCTTGAGCAAGGGCGTAAAGATCTCTGGGTCTCCTGCTATTATCGGTCGGGTAGGATTCGGTCTCGGCAGCTGCGACGCCAACGGGTGCGCGTCGATCGCCACATCGTGCTTTACGTGTGAGAAGGCAATGGCAGGTCGCTCTGCTGTGAAGGTCTCGGGAACGTGATACTCGATTTCACCCTTGCTCTATCACTTGCAGTCAGCATCCACAATCTGTAGGAAAACGGGGCCTGTCGATGCTGGGATCGAATGTAACATACGTTCTTGCGGAGGCGAGCGCCCAGCTTTTTCCATCCCTTGATAGACGCAAGACGCTCCAAGCTCGACCGCAGCTTCTCGGCATTGAGCAGCGAGTCGTATCTGGCCAGTGAGTACACCACGAGAGACTTGAGGAGCACCGCATCGTCCCAGAAGCGGAGGGGCGCAACAGTGTCGGTTGGGACGCGCGATGGGGCCTTGGGCCCGAACCAGCTACTCATCTTTTGTGCTCGCTAATGCGCTGTGTGTGCAATTGCGAAGATCTGCGATGCAGGGCCGTTCAATCTGTGCTTTGCCGTAGCAAAATGCAAGAACAGGATGTTTTAAGAACAATGGGAACAACTTCGGGGGGCAGAGCGACCCCGGGACCCCGTCATTGAGGGGTCCAAGTCCAGGCAAGATGAACAGTTCGTAGACTAGACGAGTTAGCTGTTCGTCTGTTATTGACTTGGCTAACTTAAGGCAACCCCTTTTAATTTCTGCGGTATCTGACCCCTACAAGACCGGTGGACTGACCCCACAAAGCTTGAGAGACCAGTGCCACCCGTGTGGAAACAACGTCTTGAGCCAGGATGTGAAGTGGATATTCAACGGGGGACTAGGTACGGGTATGTCAAAATCACGTTTCTAGAGTCAGGGATGAGGATCCAGACTATGCCGCCAGACTGGGAATTTGGCGGGTGAGGCACTCCGCCCTCGGGAGTGGCTATGTGTACCATCCCCATAAGATGCAAGGCACATCCATTTTTTTCTCCGGCAGATATCCTTCGATTCGAACACCGATCCGTACGTTGTATGCGAGAGGAAGCACCAAAATGGGGACGCTGGAAGAAGGAAAGCAAATACAAGCGCAAGCTTATGCGACAGCATCCATCCAGCCATTGGGCCTTGGCCCCGCGTCCAATGGCCTGATCTACTTCTTCTCGGCCCTTGTCACCATTGTTCTCGGCCTTCGAGTCTATGTCCGCTTCTTCAGTCGAAAAGTATGGGGGTGGGATGACCTGTTGGCAATAGCTGGCTATGTACGGTGCCCAATTCCTCCTTTCTTCCATTGCTTCTTGAGATTTGGCTCTGGCAAGAACCATTGTAACGAAGAATAAAGAATAAACTGGGCTAACGGAAGGGGTTGTGGATTTAGGTCGCATTCGTCCCCTCCAACGTCCTTGGTGTTATAGCTTCCTACTACGGCCTAGGAGCATATAAACACGATCTCGACCCCGACACGCAGTCGCTCCTCCAAATCCGCGCCATCGAATACTTCATGTACTATGAGATCCTGTATTTTGCTGCGTCGGCAACTACCAAAGTCTCCATTACCATTGCCGTCCTCCGACTATGCGACAAGCACGATATATACAGATGGATAGCCATTGGCAATGCCACTCTTATGATCGTGGCAGCTGGAGCGGCAGGAGTCTTCGTGCTCACCAACTGTCGGCCTTTTGCTGTCTACTGGAACGCCGACCTGTTAGTCCCCTGGAGGATTGGCTTTTAGAGAAAATTTGCTGACATGTCGTAATAGTGGTGTATGCACCTTTGGAGACAAGGGTCTGGCAAGTCTCAAGATTGTCAGCTTGGTTGGTTCATCTTTCCAAATGCTTAGCGAGTAAGTGGAACAACTATCCGGTGCTCTCAGATAGACCATCTGAGACTTGTGTCTTCATCGTTCATGTGAAGTCACAACACAGCTTGAAAAGAGCATACTTGCTGACAACACAATCAAACAGTTGGGTTAGCGCAATTCTACCCTTCTTTATCATCTATAAGCTTCAGATGCCCTCACGTACTAAGACAGCCTTGATCGGTGTCTTGAGCCTCGGTATCTTGGCCAGTGCAGCTGCACTCGCCCGAATGTTGTACTACGGGTATTGGGATACGAAGAAACATCCAGATACCCTGCTTTGTAAGCCTTATCAGTTTCAACGCTCCTAGATGGCAATGCTGAGAAAGTATTCTAGATTACACCGCAGTCATCGTGATAACCTCTGAGCTTGAGGTTGGTCTGGGAATGATTGCATGCTCGCTGCCTCCGCTGGGGAGAATGCTGAGGGCAGTCTTCTCAACGCACCGCTCAAACGGCAACTCCGACATGCGCTACAATGGTCCCGGTAACAGCGGTACACCGCTTCGAACACTACCAACATCAGGCCTTCGAAGCCACCCTATGGGCAAGCCATCCAGCGAGTGGGCTCACCTGGGTGATAACGAAAGCGAACGAAAGAGTGGAGAGAGCAAAGCCCCGATTTATCGTATTAACCGCGAGACGACAGTGCAGGTGGAAGTCAGCAAGGCTGATTCAGATGGATCTATTGAGAACGCGCCAAGAAAGAAGGGGATCACAGAGCATTGGTAACATGGACCAAGAAGATTCTCAGTTCAACGGAGACGACCATTTCTCATTTTCTGAACAAAAACATATAGACTTTGATATGCTCACCGTATAAAATAGCATTTTAGCGAATCAATCACTTAGCGTTGACCATTTGAACCAGCATCCTTCAATTCACTTATCCAATATTGCTCAACTAGTGAGGTGTAAATGCAGGAGGAAAGTCCTCAAGCATTCGAAATATAAGTAATAATGGATAAAATAATTAATAAAGGAAATTAGAAAATAAACCCCAGCTTAAGTTAAAGCTATACTACCGCTACGCTTTGAATTAATTTCCCCCGTTTTGTTCCCGGTCAGGTTGAGGGAAAGCTGCTCAGAGCATGCTGGCCTTTGGTGCACCAATGACCAAGCCGAACTGACGAGAGCCGAGATATGATATACCGTTATAGTTTTCTCATTACTTTTATTCTACAAAGTCTCCCCTTTCAGCAATAGCTTCTGCCATATATACAAACCTTCTTAGGATACTGACATCTCCAGCCAACCCTACTACAGCATCGCGTTGATATGAAGTGAATGGACCATAAAAACGCATGTTTAAACCGAAGTACTTCCTGTGTTACTCTTTTTCGTCCCGTGCCCTTGTGATTACGTTGATAGGCAAAATAACGCAGCACTTGCCTCAACCCAAAGGCGTCCAAGATGACGGGGTCCCCCCACAACTGTGGTTCCTACGCGTTCGCCACGTCTGCGAGAAAGGCAGGACAGCTACTTGTTGGTATAGCACATAATCACCTAACAACGTCCAGAATACAGAGAAGCAATCATGGTGCTGGGACTCCTAAGCAAAATAAAGTCCAAGCTGCAAATCAAGGCAGAAGATGCGATAGCTCGACCTCCACCTCCCCCAACGGCATCACGCCAAGCTGACCCAGTAGTGGAGATAACAGATAAGAAAGACTTGCCGAGGCGAGATGAATCTGTAGTCACGAAAGCAATATGCCAAGAATGACTCTGGAATCATGCCTAAGATTAGGTAAAGGATACGCACCCGCGTGTCCTAGAGACCTATGAGAAGACCCTCTTTACTGAGCTTCGAGGAGTTGATTCTACCACTCCTAATAATAAGGAGAAGCAGGGTAATGCCGTATTTAATAATAAGAGATATTCATAAATAGGCTCTATTTTTTTTACTGAGAAATAGGTTTCCGTTCCGTAACTCTCACCCAAAGTCCCTTAGCATGTTGCGTGAAAGCATTCGCAGTGAAGTCGAACGGCTTCCCTGGATTTACAAGGTGGAAGTCGAAATATCGTAATAACTACGGCCCATGCTTGTTAGTTTTCTAGTATGTAGAGAGGGGTACTCGTTCTAGGGCAGCCTACTTACCTCGACGTAGATTTTGTTAAGCTCGATAAATGCCACCTGCTTTCCGCTACAGCCGAACCTTCCGTAGCCAAAACTGAGCTCGGCGGTATTGGCCATATGGCGCCTTTGAGCCGGGTCAAGGCCAAGCCAACGTTCCGGGCGAAACACGTCTGCATCTTCGCCAAAAACTCCTTTGTTGCGCATGACGGACATCATGCTCACGCCGAGACGGGTGCCACCCGGAATGAACTGGCCATGCAGAGTGTCGCCCTCGGGTGGTAGCAGCCTTTATCTTTCGTTACGGGTAGTTACTCAATGTCAAAATAGATAAGTTAGAGTACCTTCTGCTGGCCCATGACATCCTACAAAAGCTAGCTGGACGTGCTACTCCACCTATATTCATAAGGGTAGATATACCAGGCATAAATGGCCGGAAAGCAAATATGTCTACATTCACTGAACGTTCACTGTCGCGATGTTTAGCCCTTCCTCATCTTCTAGACTAGTTAATGGCAAACTCTTTGCTCGAATTAGTGATGCTGGTAATTGTAGATAGGTGTTTCCTTTGAAGGCTGCGAAGATAGCAACTTCTGAGCGTAGGTGGGTAACCACAATATACTGAAAGTCAACATTTGAAGTGTTCAGATAGTTTTGTGTGTCCAAGAAGAAGAAGAATCTGTCTATATGTTTATTATTTTTCATTTGCGTCGTCTATCCTCCGAGATTCATTCCCTGGAGTGAATATCCGCTTCAAGACCATGGAGACCCAGGAACCCCGAAAGGCGGATGTCCTTCCGTTCCTCGAGGCTGAGCGAACCGGAACTACACTTCCGCCTGCCACTCCCCGACTTGCTTATGTCATCTTCCATCACCTTGACACTGGAGGTTCCCTCAAAGGTCTTATCAATTTGGATGCCAGAGTTCCTCTGCCGCTGAAGGAGCTTCTCGCGCACGTCCAGGGGCCAGTGGACGTCGATGAGGTGATTGGGTTGGGGAAAGTCTGTCTTAACCATCCCGAGCTCATCAAGGAGATCGAGAAGCTCAAGCTTCCCAAGGGTATCACTGTCTGCAATGAGCCTTGGGCGTACAGCACGGGTGATGTCAACGAGACTCGCTGACTCTTCCAGTGCTATATGTATATAATCCCTATGGACCACCCAGACAGATCATTACTCGCTGCCCTGCCCATTCTCACCCATCTTTGATGCCAAGACTCACGAGCTTGGACAACTCGACATAATCAAATCTTCCTCATGCATTAGCGCGCATAAAAATTCTTTGGTGCTTGGCCCCCTTTTTGTATTAGGGAGAGTAAGGTCAAGGGAAAGCCGGCGTTCAATAGGAATGTGATTTCAATCTTTAATATCTTCTGCTGTAAATTCCAAAGAGAGCCCCAACATCATTGGATAGGTGCTCGACTTCTCAGCTACCAATAATGAGAAATACAGACAGTGCTATATAAAGGTAGCAATCTATATATTCTATACAATAATACCTAATAAGTAGAATTATACTATAAAATTAATAACTTAAATCAAAAGTAATATAGAGTTAGTATATAGATACTTTAATTCTAAACTCTTTATTATATATAATTATTAATTTTATCTCTTTATTTACTCTTTTAATTAATTAATATAATATTTATTATAAATTTCTCTAATTAGCTTAATAATAAATTTATTATATAGTATAATTAAATATTTATAGATAGATATAAGATTTTAATTAAATCTATACTATTTTAATAAAAAGCTTAATCTTATAGCTAGGTTTTATATTTCTAATAACTTTTTTTTTAAGTTTTTAAAACTACTATTACTTATACTTTAGCTAGTTATATATAAAAAATTAGAGTTAAAGATTAGATATAAGTTAGAAATCAGTTATATATATATCCCATACTTTTGATTTTATCCCCCAAGTACCAGCTCTGATCGCAATTATCTGTCACAGCTATGTCCTTGTCTTTAACTCCCTGATAACTCAAATTTTACACATAAGAGATTGTATTAAGAACCTGGGGTTCGCTATCGAAAAGAGTAAGATACTTATAGATAGGATCTTATTTTACAAAAATGCTTCTATCCCCACACCATATATTACCTTGAAAATTTCATCTGCCCCCTATTCCACATCGGAACATATTGCCTACAGCGTCTTCTTCCCCTTTGGCATTCGCACTACATAGTACAAAGCCAATGCCGCACAGACATTGAAAACAATGTAGACCCAGCCAAGTCTAAAGTCTCTCCATCGGTTGCCGTAGCTAGAACCGATGGTCTGTAGGAAGACATTAGTGTCGCTCATGGAACAATAATCGCAGCTGGATGTGCTATTCGCGTCCAGCACGTAGCCGCCCCGGCTGGAGATGTATTCCGCCATATAGCTACCGCAAGTTTCGTTCGCCGGAAGAGTGACAGGGACCCATTCATTAGTAGCACACTCAACTTTGTTATTGGCTAGGCCTGTCGAAAGAACCGAGGATACCCAGTATGTCAATGGTGTACAGCGGTAAAGGAATACCCAGAAACGGGGCATAGAATCAGCCTTGGCGAGAACACCACAGAAGAAGAAGGATAGCATAAAGAGCAGGTTGGCGAGGTTCCCACCTGACTCACCCGAGTCAGTGAAGGACATGCACATAGTCGCAAACGTCGACGTCAACATGATGAACTGAAGGAACAACAGCCACATTAACACGCCCCTTTCTGTTCCCTGGTCGGCGGCTTCAGCGTTTTTGTAGAATCCCACAGGGTAGTATATCAGAGCCCATAGAAACACTGACGCGATGATATTCCAGGGGATCTCAATGATGATCTGGCTGAGCATATATATCTTCCAGGAGTATGTCTTGGATGGCCGCTCACGAGCTTCGTAGAGAGTGCGCTGTGTCACGAAACTTGGTATCTGCTGCTGGACGAGCTGGGAGAAGATAGAGCAGAATTCGAAGATGGCAAACATCTGGTTTTGAAGGCCCTGGATCGATCGTGGTCCATCGAGAAAAACCAAGCCAATGAACAGACTGACGCAGATGCACAGGCTCAATTTGGAGTAGATGTAAGAGGGTGTGCGCCAATATTGTTCAAAGGCGCGGGTCGTTACGATGAGTAGCTGGTCCCATAATGGTGCTGCGAATTCTGCATATGCGTGTTTGTTATGAATCTCTGTAGTAGCTGATTCGGTCTGTCTCGATTCCTTGAGGCGTTTCAGCTCGTTCTGGACGGCTTCAAATTCGGGGCTTGAGCGCCATGTCTGATGCCAGTCGACCTTTGTCTCACTCCCTGGGGCATCGCCAACGGCCTCGAACATCCATTCGGCTGGGTTGACACCAGGAGGGCAGGCAGGCGCCGAGTATCGTTCGAAATACTCGGTCAGGGTTTTGGAATTCTCTCCAATATCACCTTGTGTACACAGTTAGCAGTTTATGTCTTATATTTAAATACGCAAGTGATTGTACTTACCGAAATATACGGTTCTTCCATTCTTGGACAAGAAAAGCAGTCTATCGAACCTTTGGAAGAGCATGGCCGAGGGTTGATGAATGGTGCAAAGAATAGACTGGCCAGCTTTCGAAAGCTTCTCTAGCAGGTTGAGAATAGCCCAACTAGTTTGAGAGTCCAGACCTGATGTAGGCTCATCAACGAAAAGAAGTAGAGGCGGTTTGGCAGCCAGCTCAACACCGATCGTGAGGCGTTTGCGCTGCTCGATGTTGAGACCCTCGCCCAACAGACCGACAATTGCATCCGCGTATTCTTCCATGTCTAGCAATTTGATCATCTCATCGACGTATGCAAGTTTTTCTTCGCTAGTGTTCGATTCCGGTTGGCGGAGAAGTGCTGAAAATTCCAAAGCCTGTATTGTAACATTGTTAGCTCGTTTTGCACAGAGAAATTGGTGTGTCATCTTTTTCTTTGCTTACCTCTCTGACTGTGCTTGTCTCTAGATGAAGGTCTTGCTGCTGAACATAACCCGTCTTTCTTTGAAAGCTCTCGTCGCGGAGATGGCCGTCAACCAGCATCTCTCCCGTGATGACCCCAGTGCCCAACCTGGCAGCCAGGCAATCCAGCAGAGTTGTTTTACCTGCGCCTGAAACTCCCATCAGAGCTGTAAGTGTGCCTGGTTTAACCCAGCCATCAACGTGATCAAGAATACGTCGGTTCTCCTTTTTGATTTTCAGATCGTAGCATACGTTGCTCCAGTGAAAAACACTCACGGAAGCTTGAATTGTCCTCTCAACGCTGGATGAAGATCCCTCAAAATGCTTTGTTACTGGCACCGGGCGAGGCAACGACTTTTCGACATCAGTTTTATCCCCGACTTGCGAAGCTGGCACAAAGCCTCGTCTGAACACGAGCACTTCGCCTTTCGATTTCTTAGCGGTGATATACTCGCTGGCAATGAAGTATACGACGTGGTTGAAAATAATCATGGCGATGACAATCCCAACATTGCGCCACTTATGGGCATGATAGTAGCTGTAAGCAGTGTTGATGTAGTCCTCGCCGTTGACATAAGAGCGCCCGGGGACCGCTCCGATAGCACTGCAAGCCGCACTCGCGCGGTCGGCATAATCAGGGACGTAAGTAGTGCAGGGGAAGTCACGGCCGTGGAACTCATTGACCATGAGAGATTCAAAGCCATAGGCGACAGGGTTCAGGTAGCTGATCCAGCGGCACCAGGACAGCATGTAGTCGATGGGCATTACGAAACCGGTGAAAATGATGAGGGAGAGCATTAGGATGGCTGCAGGTATCATGGCCTGATACAATGTTCGAGACAACGCGGCTCTTGAGAAATCATTAGCAAACGGCATGACATGAAGTTAAATAAGGTTTAAGGACACGTACATTGACCTGAAAACCCCAGACATGGCTAATGTGACAAGAAACATGACGAACATGTAAAAGAAAAAGGGCCCTGGTTGGCGGTTGAGATTTGTCATGAAATAGAACACGCTATTGAAAACAATGTTGTTGAGAACTTTGATAGGTAGGTCGAGCATCACAGAAGAGTATGATTCGGCTGAAGGGTGATAGAATGCATAACGATTCTGCTTTTCGACAATGGGTCGTTGATCATACAGGGTAAAGATCTCGAGCATTGAGGCGAAGGCATTGGAGATGATGGTCATGAACAGGACACAGCTGCGGCCGTAGAACGAGTCTGTGTTCAGCCCCAGATTGTAGAATAGGGATGAGAGGATAAGTCCTATAATGAGGTTGCCGATGGACATGCCAACAGGAATCCCGGGGTCTGCCAGGAGACGTCTATATCCACGCCAGAGACAAAGCATGACTTGCTGAGAATAGCTCAGCATGAAGGGAGAATTGAGTCGCTGGCCGTGGGCTTGTACTGATTTCTTCTGCTCCCGGAAAGTCAGAGCATCTGAGCCGCCAATGGGATGTCGTATTTGATACTCTTCCATTTGCATTTTTAGTTCTCGATATTCTTGACTTGCCTTCCAAGCAGCTGCGAAGTCCTCTGATGTTTGAGGAGGTTTGAAGCCAGGGCGGGATACACGCTCTGAAGGCGAGGTCATTGAGGTCAAGAAATCAGGTGTCGTCTGCCGAGCATGAGGCTCGAATCCAAGGTTGATAAAATATTCCTTGGCCTTGGATGCCGGACCAAAATATATCTGTCGTCCTTCGTAGACCACCATGGCCTTGTCAAACAAGTCGAATGCTGCTTGCGGTGCCTGATAAATCGATACCGCACACGCTTGTCCGAACAGCTGAGACTGCAGTCGAAGGGTCTTGCAAAACTCGATCGCGTTGGCAGAATCAAGGCCACGTGTTGAGCTAGAGGTATTAATTAGAAATATGATAGAGTGTGTAAAAGAGATGGAAGGATCAACTTACTTATCCCAGCACTGAAATGGGGCGTTAGCCAAAGTCGACTCGGCGATGGTGACTCGTTTTCGTTCACCTCCTGAGACCCCTCGGACAAAGTCATTGCCGACTTTGGAGTTGAGAGTATGACTGATGCCATACATGGTCATCACTACATCGCGGAGGTGCTTACAATACCTGTCATGGAAAGGTAAGTATGTGGAAGAATGTTAAGGGGCTTCTGAGCATACTTGTCTTTCGAAATACCAGGCGGCAATGATCTTGGGCAGCGAGCTTGAGATGCAAATTGCAAAGTCTCCCCGACTGTGAGTTTAGGAAAGTGGACGTCTGTCTCGGCAGTATAGATAGTCTCGCCCCTGTGAGCGGTATGCATCTCCTGAGATGAAATACCCTGGTAGTTGAAGTGTGAGTCCTCGGAGATGTGAATGCCATTTGTCTCGCCCGCAATGGACTTCAGAAATGTCGAACACCCTGATCCAGGCGGTCCCAAGACAACGCACATCTCGCCGGGATTGATGATACCGTCCATGTGATGTAGAATGTCAATGCGTCGGTTATTTGTCGAATGTAGGAACAGGCGACGGATCATATTGGGCAGCGCAAGCCACACATTAGCGACATCCTTCTGGAAATCGATCGGAGTGCCAAAACCGAAGACACTCATGTTTTGGAAGCAGAGACCAGTTTGCCGAACCGATTTTTGGGAGGATCTGGTGGCGTTCACTACCGTCATCGCCCAGGCTTTTGCATCGAATTTCTCGCCATGGGGATTCAAAGGGGAGTCAGGGGAATTGCTGACGAGGGCTGGGTGCTCGTTACCAAGTCCTGACTGGTCAGAGAATTGGCGAGCAAGGTGTTGGATAATCGAATGGCGCTGGTTCATGTCTGGAGCACTACTTTCAGCCATAGCTCCTGTCTTCTCGACTTCGATATTAGAGGTCGACGCCAGTGTCGAAGACGTTCCTGGCGGGTTGACGACTTCTTGTTGCTTCATAGCGAGGTAGCTCAAGATACGAGCGTGAAGGGGCAGAAAGAGTGCAATTTAGCGAGCAACAAATTTCTCTTGGCCCAAAGCACAAATTACATACCGGAGTAAAGAAAAAAATGATTCTCTTATATGTTCGGCCTGCTGGGTTAGGAGAAACGGACATTTATGTTCTCGGCCGAAATATTCAGTCAGCGGAGACGGACATAAGTAACTCGCGCATGACAAACGCGGAGCACGGCTGAGAAGCGGAATTTGTTTCGTTTCCAGGGCAGAAACAGGCCCCTATTCCTTTCCTTCACGTGGTAGGCCCAGTAGAAGTCTAAAGTTTGTTTAACATCTCATTTCGGGGTTTGCATCGGCGAGGCTGGCTGCTGAAGGTTTGTTAAAATACCGACATCGACGACGGATCCGGCTCAACATAACGGATGAAATTGGACGTCTTAGACACTTTTGATGATAATCATTTATTGTCAATGGCTTTAACGTTCCGCCAACTGAGTTAGCGGTGATTCCGTGATGGGAAATAAACCAAGGGGCCTGTAGAACGTCGAACAGTCTGCTGTCGCCTGGTACTGCCCTTCTTGTGCGAGCATCATATCTCCGTGTTTGCGGATATTTCCGCCTTTGAGATTAAAGATCACCCTGGCATATCTCATTGAATGACAGAGTACAAACGCTCACTATAAGCACACGTAAATAGCTTATTTTAATTCTATGTGGTGAGAGAAGTGCCAGTAAGCCAGGTACAATTTTCGTAATATCAAGGGTGTGGACTAAATTACTTGTTGCAAAACGACATACGTATTTTGAGCTTTAACAAAAATGTAAAGGAAAATATGAATCGGGAAATTCGGTAGAGGCTAGAGCCACCGGCTACCAGAAAAAGTTTCCCATTGTTGTTACCCTTGTTCAACATCATATACCGATAGCACTAGGAGTTGTCAGTCGTCCTTTCTTTTCGGGTCCTACACTTCCCAGTCCTTCAACACATAAGTCACGCGGTAGTATAGTCTTTCATTCGGCTGAGACTATTCGCCTCCTGTGTCTCTTGCGTAGATTTCCCACCCAGACTCAGACTGCAGAAGGCCAACAAGCCTCGGAGATCCTCCTAAGAGCTCCAATCTACATTCATTCAAGTCATAGGCAGGTCCACCGAACATTGGGACTGATCATCATCCCATCCTACTTCATTCAAAGTTTGCCGCCGCTTCTCACATACGAAATCCTCCGAAACTCGAGTTGGAAGCGAAATAAATATCTACTTGGCGTTTAGAAACCAAACCTTTAGCTTCGGCTGGCCCTTGATCCCTCAGCACCTCCCCTAGACCGATCCTGCCGCTGACGTCGTCATTGTAGCCCTGGTGGTACATACGGTATGTACGGTAAAAACCGTATATGTAGTCCTTGAGGACATTGCTGTCCTGGCGGTCCTTCCGGTCCTGGCGGTCCTCGCGGTCCTTGCAGGCCTTGCGGTCCTTGCGGTCCTTGCGGTCCTTGCGGTCCTTGCGGTCCTTGCGGTCCTTGCGGTCCTTGCGGTCCTTGCGGTCCGTGTGGTCCTTCCACTACTGATGATACTTGCGGTATATATAATACTTGCGGTCCTTGCGGTTGGTGTTGTTGTTGCTGTTGCGGTTGCGGTTGCTGTTGCTGTTGTTGGCGTTAACGAAGTAGTGCAAGTGGTGCTGTAGGTTGGGCTTGATTGGCCGCACTCACCGAATTTGGTACTTTCTGAGCTATCGACTCAATTCCTTCTTGCATGTTATTGAGACGGTCGTTGAGTGCTTTGCCCTCAGCCTCCCGCAACTTGTTCTCAAGATCCCGTATTCTTCTATCTTTCTTCTCCAATTTTCGTTTATGATAGTCATGGTCATCTTCCGAAGAGCTATCGTAGCGCTTCTTCCGTCGACTTGCTGAGGCACGAGGGCTCGTTTGGGCAGAGTAAGGATGCTGCATACTCTGTCGGACATCCATGGGTCGCGAGTAGTCGACTTGATGTTGGCTAAGAGAAACTTGAGATAGTTTATCATGGAGTCTTAGGACAGATTCAACCCCAAATCTAGCAGCGACGAAGAAGACGTAGATGAGGAATACAATAATGAGTGTAATAAAAATCTACAGCGGTTTAGTTGAGACGTTTGAAGATACAAGATGATGGAGTATCGTACTTGAAAGTGATACTCTGAGTCTGTTGCGGAAGACATGATGGGAAATCTCCTTGGTAGGGTGCCTTCCAGGTTCCCTGATACAGGTTGCTTTTATAGAGACAGATTATTATCAGAATGCGCGGCGCAGAGGTAGCCCATATACGGCAAATAGTTTGATGGATGGGAAGTTACGAAATATAATATCTCTTCCATTTTGAGGAACAAACGGCTCATTTTATAGACATGTAGAAATCAGTCGCCAGTGAGTAATCCAGTCCGTCTCTCTTGCAGACAGTATCGCGCAAATGCAATGGAACCCAAGAAAACAAGCTCTTGGCGATGTTGACAGAAGAACACGTCAACTCACAGCGGCTGATTTGCATCTCATTGGACGAGAATTGTCCGCGATCAGGTGGTAGACTAAGCAGTGGAGGGTGATTGGTCTTATGTGCTTTACAGACCACACCAAAAACTTGACCGAGATTTAACTGCGACGTTAAAACTTGGAATTCTCAAGCATATATTGATATTGGCATGTAAAATGCTGCATTTAGATATGAGGTTGCACCAACTGCTCAATGGGATAATAAAGCGAGCAAGATCCGCTGCACCATGAACTGATTTGAGCCTCTGTCTCATCTTTTCGGTATACCGAGCGAACTGCTAACGAACAAGTGGCCTAATGAGATAATAACACGGACGCATAATATCCGGTCCAGGGTATCATCCATGCCAGAGGCGTGTCATGCTCGGACTTCGGGCTATCTGTTATTGCCCGAAACTCCATTGTGCAGATATCTATTACTTGCCGGTTTGAAAGTACGAAAGCTTCTTTGGTTCGTTCTCAAACTTTATGGAAGCAGAAAAAAAAACCCGACTTCTCCCTTCTAGTGTGATATAGTGCAGAAATGAACGGTGAGAATTCAAGCATCTTTTGAGAAACTCTATTGCCAAAGCCTATAGCATAATATGCAAGATTCTCGTGTACAATTTGGCTCCCGTCAGGGTTCATCCTCATCACACTGATTAAAGCTTACAACCCAATATTGATTGCGTGTCCCAATATCCCAGTTTCCACAGTCAAAGCTCGGCAACGTCTATGAAGGCTTCAATCGCATGTCTGTAAATTTTGGCCAACGCAGCTATTAGAACATTAACCCATTGAGCTGCGATGGCAATGTATTTGGTCGATCTCTGGGGATGCAAGCTAATGCGATCATAGTTAAGTCTGTAAAGCCACGAGCATTTACGCATTCTAGCTGACTAAACTAAGCTTTTGTTGTTCGTGTTGGCGCGAATTGAAGGTGACGCAATCAAAGACTTGACTGGTTCGAGGATTTCACAGTGTGCGACGAGGTCTTGATCGCATGACAGGATCTGGGTTGGGTCGATCAATAGAGTATTCTGGAAGCCTGCCAATTTTGAAGATCTCAGGGGTCGTCGTCACATTTCGATACGCGGCGTCCAATCCAGTGGCCACCGGACATTTCAATCGACGAAGGTCCGAGTGAAGGCTTGGCAGTATATCTATGCAGACGTTCACACAATCAAACTTTGATGTGTTGTGGTGACGCGTCCGGCCTCGTCCGAAGCGTCTTGGCGTCTTTGGGTTTGCTTTCTACTTTTCCTCGAGTCTGCCACGTGAAGCTTCTACGCCGTCACAAAAGTTCTGTAACGGCCACTTTGTTTGGTCAAGAAATTTTCACCGCTGGCCTCTTTTAGGGATGGGCCATTGCTTCACTGGCAGCCGTGTTGACGCCACTTGATCGTAGCGTTGTTGGAGAAACAGAAACACTTTACGTAGGACTACCTGCAGGCCCGATTGCGGGGGAACCGATCTCCAATATTGACGTGTAGGGCCGGCTGAGGGACTGACAAGTAAGCCCAGGATGTTAGCTCAGGGAGCACGTGAGATAGCTGGATGCTTTACAGACATCAAACGTGCATCTAGGCTGGAAATAGAACGCCCAGGGACAGAGTTCGTCTGTCGGCATCATCTCGGGTGAGGAGAGGAGGGAGCTGGTCAGCTGGGGACGGGTACGCCGTCCGTGGATAGTGATTGGCCGCGCCGTACTTTGGCATAACACGACGAAATTGGGGTTTACTGTGGCGGAGCCCTGCCTGATCGTATGTGTATACGCGCAGTAGTCAGGTCCGGCTAATAGGGCTGATTGTCTAATCTTTCTCTACACCGTGGTCAGACTTCACGCGATAGTTGGTGTATGTGGTGACGCCGCCCGGCTCTTCGTTTGCGCAATCGACGCCCAATCCACCGGGAGAGGGCCAGAACGCGGAGAGGGAGCAGAAGAGAAAGGGGGAATGACCAGTCCGTCTGAATTTCTGGAAGAAACGTGCCGGGCTCCAGCCGCTATTTGCATTAGCTCGCGGGAACATCATCCATCAGGGACTCAGGGGTTCCACAACCTGGCGTCTGAGCGTTCCAGGCGCGGTAACTTCGTCTGGCTTGGAGCTTCCCAAGCGTAAAAGCCCATTCGGTCGGCCACTAGGCATGCAGAGCAGAGGGATTACTAACCGAGCGTTGTGTGTGGGCGGCCTCAGCCGCCACTCCCTCCCACATTTCCGTCAATGGCAGACGCCTATGCCTGTAAGTTCTAGACCACTCCTGGGCGTATGTGTGACAGCTAATGTTCTCGCCCGAATGACGGCTCTCTGTTCGCGCCGGGGCCAATAGACGGCGTGATCATGCTGCTGTACAACAGTCCCGGCCAGGACCAATATTGCGATTCAGCCCCGTCCGAGTAATTTTTCATTTAAACGCCTTCTTCCCGCCTTGAAAACGCACCTAATATCTCTTTGCCGACATCGTGAACACTGCTAAATCAGCTTCTGTGCTCTGCGCACTGCCAAAGGCTAGGTCTGGCTTCCGCTACCTAAGCACCATCAACCTCCTTAATCCAGCACTCCATTTCATTTTAGCCATCATGCCAGCCATACCCGACTACCTCTACCCGAGGGATGAAAAAACAGTAGTGACATGGGGAGGGTCAATACCAAAGATCGCGAAAATCGTCAACCGCCACCTCTCACCTCTGACCCCTTATGGATCCATCATCATCACATGCGGCGTCATCTTCATTGTACTACTCTCTAATATTCTTGAAAGATGGGTTCTACGAATGGTATACAAAGATATCTACCGGAACCTGGAGAAGCCCGGGAATGAGCGACGCCGCCGCTCGTTCACATACTACCATGTCGGCGTCATGATGCTCTTTTCGCTTTTCTGCACCGGCGTCTACCCCGTCCTCATGTTTCTCGTCGGTCCTGGAGATTTCGGCACCCATATCGGCAGGAAAGGTGGAGGTGCAACCATTGGAGATTTACTCTTCATGTTTGCGGAGATCTACACGGCATACTACCTCTACGAGATGTGCTTCCGCACCCAATTTGCCAGTCCGCTCACCATTGCGCATCATATTGGACTACTGCTGGTAGTGCAGACATCGGTTGCCCTATTTGCCGATTCGGACAGCCACAAGGAGGCGACGCTGGAGTTTTACATGTGCATGGTCTGGGGTGAGTCAAAGCTTTCTTGATGATTTGCAAATTTCAGTCAACTAACTATGACTTACAGGAGCATTTGATGTGGTCGTGGAAATGCCTGTCTTTGTCTCCATGATCATTTGGCGTATCAAGCGTCATAACCACGGACTCCTCGCCAAGATCGGTCTCGGATGCTGCATTTGGATTATTGTAGCAGCTACCACCGAGGTCGTCGTGACCATCTACCTCTTGAACAGATCCTGGCATCGATGGGGAACTGTATTCCGGGTCATCACGCCCGTTGTATTTGCTCTCTGGATCGCGACGCAGCTTTATGGCGCTTATAGACTCTACAACATGGGGCGGTCAGAGCTTCAAGAGCATAGAAAAGAATCCGGTGCAATCGAATCAGAGTCGATTGAGTCGGGAAACTCTGAATCTGAAAGCACCAAAAACAAGGTTTTGGAATAGACGGAGGAAAATCATACACGAATAATGAGTTATGAGAATTTTGGTTTAATTTATAATAGACAAGACAGCATCGTTTGCAATAGAGTCTTATTTTGAGATAATCTTCCCATCGCTCTCTTTCTAAGCCGCCTGAATGGTACCTTCGAGCCTGATATCTCTGCTGCTTGCTCCCACGCTGACAACAAATTTGCCTGCGGGCACAGTCCAAACTTGTGCGGCCGTATCCCAGACACTCAGATCCCTACGAAGGAGGGAAAAGGTTGCAACTCCTGATGCACCCGCCTGGAGCGGGAGCTTGTCATAACCTCTTAGTTGACGAGGAGGTGTGCCAGCGGAGTCTGGGAATGAAATGTAGAGTTGTGCCACTTCAGCGCCTGCAACACCGCCCGAGTTGGTGATGGTGGCGGTGACTGTGGCCACCTCCTCGAAGAGGTCCGCATGACCTCCGGGGATAACTGGGCCAGTGGCGGGGCCGCTACTGAGCTGTGAATCAATAGTGATATCGGAGTACGAAAAGTTGGTGTAGGCTGTTTGTTAGGGCGAGATGTTAGTCCAACAAGATCCGCAACCAGGGGGACTCTCAGGAGTCAGGGATGAACACTTAGATTCCACTTACACAACCCAAAACCGAACTCAAATTCAGGCTCAATTCCCGCGTCGTCAAAATGGCGATAGTCGACGAGAAGTCCTTCGCTGAAGTTGTCGTCACCGTTGACTACCTTTGTGTTGTAATCGGCCGCACTCTTGGCAATAGTGTAGACCAACTTCCCGCTCGGGCTCACATCTCCCCAGACAACATCCACGAGGGCATTACCGCTCTCTTGAGATGGAAGCCCGGCCCAGACCACGCCCTTGACCGAAGGCAGCTCGAGGAGGGGTGAGAGGGTGACGGGCCCAACAGAGTGTACCACGATGATCACGTTCTCGCTGACCGCTGCCACGGCCCGGACCAGCTCAGCGCCATTATGCCACGGCTCCAGATGATTCCTATCACCCAGATGCCCCTCAACAGTCAGATACCCCTCTCCCGCATCGCTCGTGAGAAAGACTAGCGCGACGTCCTTGCCACTAGCAGCTCTGGCCCCAGCATCAGGCTCGTCAGTCCCGCTTAGCGTCACGGCGGCGCCCTCCTTGTCCGCTCGCCCCTTGATGGCATCGTATGGCGCGATAAAATACGGATACTTGACCGTTCCAGAACCCCAGCCCATCCCCAGCGCCCCGTTGTTGCAGGCCTTGTCCTCGCACACGTTGTTGGCGTGGTCGCCCTTGACGGCTCCAGACCCCACGACCGCGATGCTCAGAGGGCCAGAGAGTGGCAGGATCCCGCCCTCGTTCTTGAGCAGGACGGTGCCGTCGCGCGCCACCGCCCGGACGTTGTCCTTGTGGTTCGCCTGCACGTCGCGGTTCAGGTCGATGGAGGGGAAGCCGGCGTCCTGGCCGGTCTTGTACCAGGCCGCGAGGATGCGCGTGGCCATGTCGCCCACACGCTCCTCGGACACCTGGCCGGACTGGATGGCGCGGGAGAGGTTGTCGCCCCAGTAGACGTTGTCGCCGGCCCACGCTGACCCCGGCATGGACATGTCCAGGCCGGTGTTGGCGCTCTCCACTGTCGAGTGCTGGGCGCCCCAGTCCGTCATGATGTACCCCGGAAACGCGAGCTCCTCCTTGAGCAGGCCGTTGAGGTAGTGGTCGTTCTCGCAGGCCCAGGTGCCGTCGAGCCTGTTGTAGCTGCACATGACGGCGACGACGCCTGCGTGGACGGCCTCGGCGTACGGCCACAGGTAGATCTCGTGCATGGTGCGGTCGTCGACGTTGGAGGACATGGAGTCGCGGTTGAGCTCCTGCTCGTTGGCGACGTAGTGCTTGAGGGTCGCCTGCACGCCCGCGGCCTGCATGGCCTTGATGGAGATGGCCGAGTTGAGGCCGTTGAGGTAAGGGTCTGATCCCCATCCCTCCCAGTTGCGGCCGCCCTCGGCGATCTTGCCGATGGCGCCAGCCACAGGGCCGAGGAGGACGTGAACACCGAGTGCTCTGGCTTCCTCGGCGTGGAACTGGGCACGTTGGCGGATGAGATCTTTGTCCCATGTTGAGGATGCGTGGACGCTGGGGGTGAAGGCCGTGACGGAGGATGCGTACCGGACTCCAAGAGGTCCGTCTTGCAGGCAAAGAGTGGGATATCCGATTGAAGCGACGGGATAGGTGTTTCCCACACATGGTCCCTTGTTCCAACCAACTCCAGTTACGATGCCAACCTTGTCCGATGTCGTGATTTTGGCAACAGCTGCTCGCGCCTTTACATAGGCTTCTTCCCAGCTGAGCTCAGCTAGAAGTCAGACATGTGTTAGTGCATCATATGCTAAGTCTTTCTCGGGTCTTGATCATTGGGCAGTGGTCTCGTACCAGTCACCAAAGGCAGGACTGCCATGGCCAACGCGGCCACAAATGAGTACTGCATGATCAACTACTCAAAGTTACGTTGAAGCTTCTAGACAAGTGCTGTGATGGTTCGTCAAGTGCTGAGTTGCTACAGAACAACCAAGGCGAGGCATCCCATCTTCTATTATACCTGTTCAGGGGCAACATTCCCGTGGATACTCTTCTTGGCTGCCTTAAGCCCCTTCCATTGCAGGACAAGTTTGAGTATCAAGTGATGTAGGCCAAGCCGACGACTGCATAACACTCATTTCGCCAAAAAGCGCTCGAATGACTACTTTCCGGAGGTGAGGCCCGTGAGACGTTTTTACCGGAACCAGATGGTTACATCGGAAGGACTACAACCGGCGGGGGATTGTGATCTGCTGGACATTGTGCCTGATTGCGACTCATGAAAATCTCCACAAACCCTTTGGGGAAGAGCCGTGCTTCGGTGCATTTGCCGTCAGTTTCGCTGCAGATCTGGACGGGCACTGGGTTTGGTTTCCCCTCATCGGAATATTAGGGCCGATAAGCTTCTGAACCTTGTCAGCTCTTATGGTTATTTTGCCAAGCAGCGAAACAGATTTCTTAGCCATGGAAAGAATCAAGTAATTATCTGCATGTTCTATGTCCATGTATCCGTGAGGGGTAGAAAGCGATGTCACATGAGGCTTCAAATGGCTCCTCCCAGCTGTGCACACAAATAATCAATGAGCTGTTCTGTATCTTCGAAGAATTTTTGAATGCATGAAAGTCAATTTGTGCTCGGGTAATGGTGAATATTGTTCTGGAGGAAGAGGTCAAAGGACGGTGCTTAGTTCGAAATATCACAACACTTTGGATCTGTCATGACAGTACTCCGCTGACCTTGTCGCTTCTAGTCTCATAGTTAGAATGAAATCTGTTGTAAAAGTAGATAAAATATTGCCATTCGCAGCTACGGCTGTCTGGTTCGTGATTTCTGACAATGAGTATCAATTTACGTCACTAGGTCAACTCTCAGGCCTAGTTCTCGCGAGATAAATCCCATAAGCATACTTCAAATCAATAGAACCGATGTCAATTCAGCTAGATAAAAGGGTATATAATAATTATTACTGCAGGCCGAGCCATAGATGTGGCTTCTTTGAATCCCAGATATCCATCTAGGTCGACTCCTCTACATTCTCCTCAACAGAACTGACCTTGGACTTGGACTGCCTCCACTTCTGAAGAAGAGGGATACCAACTCCAGTCCAGACAGTCAGTGCCACAACCCAAGAAAGCGCGCTGCCCCATCCGTGGGTAGCAACGAACTGGGGCGCCTGGCTGCTGGGCATCTGCAGCTGTTGGAAGGGGATGACGACAGCCTGGCCCACGGACACCATGAAGCCGAGGACGAACGCGCGCTTCTGCTGGTCGCCGCCGCAGGCCTCGTTGGTCCACCCGGCCAGGAGGGGCGTGTAGCACCCGTAGCAGCCCGCGAGGATGAATACGGCCAGCCGGAGGGTGTGAGGCACGGTCCACGCGGTGAGGACGGCGTAGACGAAGGTGAGCAGGGAGCCGACGGCGAAGCAGACGGGGGCGCGGCTGCCGATCTTGTCGGACACGTAGCCCGTGGTGACCATGAAGAGGAAGTTGACGGCGCCGACCGAGGTGGGGATGTTGTTGATCTCGGGGACGGTGTAGAGCTTGGTGGACTTGAGGTAGAGGGTGAAGTACTGGATGATGTAGGAGCCGCAGGTGAGGGTCCAGAAGGAGTAGCCGAGGGTGAAGGCGTAGACCTGCCAGGAGCCGAAGATGCGGCGGATGATGGTCCAGTCGAGCTTACCGACGGGCTTCCGGCCCTCCTCCTCGATGCGCTCGCGGCAGCGCTGCTTCTCCCAGTCATTCAGGTACCAGGCAGTGGTGGTGTGGGGGGTATCAGGGAAGCAGATCTATGAAGATGGTCAGCGAGCTTCCTTCTGATGTTTCATAGTAGGCAGAGTATATCAACTTACAAGACCGTAGACAACGACGGGAATGGCAATGATGAAATCGAAGATGAAGAGCCAGCGCCAGGCGGACAGTCCACCCCTGCCTTCCATACCAGTGTACAGAGCAGATTGCAAGTACCCCGAGAACATCTGGCCCAAGACACCGCTCATGACGAAGAGGCCTGATCGTCGGGACAACTCACTCTTGCGGTACCAGCACCCAATGCAGTACATGACGCCGGGCCAGGCAGCCGACTCAAAAAGGCCGATGAAGAATCGCAGAGCGTAGAATTGGGAGGCAGTGTTGCACTTGTACAGAAACAAGACGAAGATGGACCAGGTCATGAGGCATCCGCACAGCCAGTATCGGGGACGAACAACGGTGATGATCAAATTGGCGAAGGAGCCACCGATGATGGTACCAATGCTGAAGTACGTGTTCATCCATGAGAGCTCGTTACCTGGGCCGAACTTGAGCTCCTCGGACATGCCTGAGACATAGGCATTGGAGATGTTGTTTTGATCAAGCTGGATTCCACCATGTCAGATTTGAGCGAGCGCGGGAGAGTTTTAGGTAATTACCTGTTTGACGAAGAACATGAGACAGCTCCAGCTGAGCAGGAACCAGTCCAGCTTGAAGATCAGCTTCTTCTCCTCCTTCGAGGTCCCGGGCTCGTGCCAATGAAACCACCCGGACGCAGGCTCTGGCTGTGGGGCTGCGGGTTTGCCAGTAGCTGACGTTACGGACGTCGCATCCTTTTCTTTGCTCTGGATCTCAATGGTATCTGGCGCAGCGGCCTTGACCGTGTCGGTTTGAGTGGCCATGGCGGTGATGGGCCTGACTTGGTGTAGTTGGATACAAAGAAGTAGAACACAGCAGCAAAATCAAGACGCTGAAGAACAGGACAGTCGATTGAACTGATCCAACTGATGTTCCAAACAGGATATATACGGGGATCCTCGCGCAGTATTTCAATGCACGAAGCCGTCAACTGCTCCAGCTCAGGAAGAGATTTCCACTCGCTAGCGGCCGGTCCCTTTAACACCAGACGAACCTATATGCGAACCACTTTAAGCGTCTCCGGATAACGCCCTTTGCTGGGGCGATGATACCATCTTGTCTACAGCCAATGAGCGACTGCCGGCAGCAGGCTTCGGCCAACTGCCGGTTGCTGCATGAGGCAATTTGTGTCGGATGCTCCCCGACACGCTAGACCCCGACCATGGTGTAATCTTCTAATCTGTTGCGAGAGCGGGGAGAGCCCGGCCAGTGCTACGCGAGCCTGTTTGTTTGACTCGTGGGCTGGACTGACTCGTGGGTGTCGGAATCTTCCGCAATAGCGTCTTTCTCTTGGGAAGTGCGTGAGTGAGTGGCCTGTTTGTGGTTCATACACATGATAGATAGGTTGAGCCATTGATTTCAGGCGGCTAGGACAGTTCACAATGGTGGAATTCGTGGAAATCAACGGCGCCCGTCTCGCCTACCGTCTGGCTGGGCCCGAGCATGCCCCCTTGATGATCACTCTCCACGGCGGTCGGGGCTTCGGTTTGTGGTGATGATGCCTTCATCTATGGCAATATATTAATGAGAGCAGGCGACCACAGATCAGATTTCAAAGTGTACAGCCAGCTGAGCGACAAGATCCGCGTCCTCTCATTCGACTACCGAGGCCACGGGAAGAGCTCCAGAACAAGACCGTACACCTTTGACCAGATTGTCGACGATATCGAAGGCATCAGGCGTCACTTTCTCGGCGATGAGCAGGCCATCATCTGCGGCGGGAGTTTCGGCGGCTTCCTAGCGCAGCACTTCGCGATCAAATATGCGTCGCGCGTCTCGCATTTGATCCTCCGGGGAACTGCGCCCTCGCACCATCGTGAGTCTTGGTAGAATTCGCCTGTGCGAAAGTTGTCGCTGATCAGTTGCAGATGAGGCTGGAGCCATAAAGACGCTCGAGGAGCGGGTGAGCAAGGTTCCCGGCTTCTCGGTCAACATGTTGAAGAACAAGGTATTTGGGGCGTATGAGAGCGACCGCGAGTTTCAACTGGTCTATTTTGCCATGCTGCCACTCTATAAAGAAATATATGACGCGGACGCTGGCTTGAAGAGTGCTCTGGATATTGAATATGTGGCCGAGTCGCACAGTAAGCAGAGGCTTAAGCTCCTAGCACATTCAATTTCTAATCAGTCATAGATGACCTCTACTCGGAGCAAGAAAAATACTTTGATTACACTGATCGCTTGTCAGAGATCACCGCCAAGACGCTCGTCGTTGTGGGGGCAAGGGACTGGATTTGCCCGCCAGGTTCGTTGTCCAGATGATCAAGCCAAAGAAGCACCTGCTAACGGTGATACACTCAGAAAATTCCCAGCTGATTGCCGAGAAAATCCCCGGGGCAGAACTATTCACGGTTGAAGGGGCGAATCACGGTGTTCACGCGGAGAAGCCAGAGGTGGTTTTGCCCAAGATACGTAGCCATTTAGGAATCTAATCACAATAAACATGAGAAAGACACGCTCTATATACATAATATTGGTTATAAAAAGCCCAACTCCAAGTTGGTCCAGTTGTACTCATCATTAGGCATGCTCGTCGCGCCAGACACGTGCATCGCCGGCCCAACAGGTAGCGAACTGAGCGTCTGGCCATTGGTACCATTCATCCCCGAGGCCGTCGTCGAAGAAGAGGAATCCTGGGCCCCGGCATCGTCTGGGAATTTGTACAGTGCGTAGCAAGTAGACCGGCCAAGAACTTGTCGCATGAGAGCCAGGAACTCATCGATGATGGCCTTGAGCCCGGTCTCGTAATATCCCGTTGAGACATTCATGAAGCCTGCCGTGGAGGAGCCCTTGGAGGATACGAGGTTCATCAGACGTCTGAAGATCTGGACGGCCTGGCGAGCGTGTAGCCAGCCTTCGGGGAAAGCCTCTAGTATGCTGACAATGACAGCGACATCGTCTCTGGCCGAGTATGAGACACAGTCGACCGGGCATGAGAGGAAGCAGTGCAGCAGGATCAGGCCGACGGGGAAGATGCGGCATAGCGTGACGCGATTGAGAGGCAACTGTCGCTGCTGGAGAAGCACAGAGGTCGACTGCAGGTGCTTCTGGGCCAGTCTGAATAGTTCTGCGGGCGAGATGATCGAGCCACTGGAGTTGAAATGGCACGGGTAGTGCAGTAGGAGCAGCAAATGGTAGTATCTCGCGCTCAGCCACGTCACGGAGCTATGGATGGGCACATTGTCCGTCTCGAGAGGCGACGCCAGACACCCGTTGCTGTACCAGTTCTCTACCTCGGACTTGATCTCCTTGGCAATGGCCTGCCGGTCTGCCTGGGACAAGGCAGCGACTTCTGACTCTTTCCTGGTGTGGATCTGCTGGAGGATCCGATCCTCCAGCTGTCGCAGATGTATGACATGGCGGTTGGTCTGAAGCATGGACGCATACTGCTGGCGCTCCGGCGAGGCGAACTCATCAATGGTCAGTCCAGGGAGCGGGACATCCATGTTCTCGTCGACCAGCGCGACCTGGATGCCTAGCGAGATCGCCACCATCCGGTCGAGCACGAATATGCTCCAGAACAGCCGGTACCGGAACTCGATGTCCATGGCCGAGGACGCCTGGACTTTCTCGTCCGGCTCCTTGCGGCTCAGACCTGCCAGCATGGCCTGGCGGGCGGCGAGACCGGTGATGGACCAGGTCGACGTTCCCTTGGGGTCGAAGAGCGCGTACAAGGCCAGCAGCACGAGGATCTGCAGCGCCTCGACCTCGTCCTGCCTGGTAAGACACTCTTGGATGATGTCAGAGTAGGAGATGTGGAAGGTCGACGACACATCCTGGGGGATCTGGCCGGCTCTCTGCAGCGTGGTGCAGCCGAGCGCCATGACGAGATACAGCAGGGTGGAATCGGCGCCGCCGCGTTTCCTGGCCAGCGTGCCAATCACATCGGCGTTGCGCAGCAGCTTGGCCTTGTTGATGAAGGGATACGCCTTGTGAATATTGCGGAAGTACGCGTCCACGAGCCGTCGAGCCAGAGTGTCCTGCGCCAGTACCGTGAGGTTGGAGTGGTCCATCTCCCCGTGCGCCATCAACTCGATGGCCCCCGGCGTCGCGATACTGTTGTTTGGCGAGCCGTCGATCGTCATCTGCCCGCGACTGTGGCACGAGACAGGCGAGTCCGAGTTGACCGTCGCTACCAGGCTCGGGGTCCGGTCGTGAGGCAGGCCAGGCGCCGGCATGCTGCCCTTCTCATGGTGCGGCTGCGTCTTTGGGAACTGCGTCATCTCGCCACGAGCGATGCCCTCGGGACGGCTACCACTGCTGCCCTTGCTCGCTGCGTTTGAAGACGCGTTGATGGACGCCGACGCCGCCGCCTTGTCGCTGCCGTACGGGCTCACGGCACCGCCCAGCAGCGACTCCAGGTCGGTCCCCGTGTCGATGGACTGGACGCCATCGAGCCCGGGGACGTAGACATTGTTGTTGATGAAGCTGGTCAGCCACTCGATGCGCGCGCGCAGATGCAGAGTCTGCGCGCCGGGAGATGTGGCGGGCGTCGAGAAGGAGCATGTGTGCCCGGCGCTCGCGCACAGGCTGCAGACGGGGAACGTCCGGCTGCATTTCTTCTTGAAGCTGCGGCAGCGGTCGCAGGCCGGCGTCCTCTCCTTGCCAGACCTGGGTGAGGATGCTGCCCCTGCTGATGCTGCTGTGCTCGACCGGCTCAGCCCATTACCTGACGATGGCCGGCGCGACGACGATGAGGCCGGCGTGAGCTGCTGACCACTACCTCCACTACCACCGCCATTGGTAGATGGCGACTGCTGCAGGACGTGAGATGATGATGGAGCTTCATCTCGCCGCAGAGGAGGCGAGGCTGAGCGCCGGGAAGCCCTCGCAGCAGGCTGACGGACTCGAAAGCGGTGCACACTGGAAGCCAGCTGGTCCGGCGGCATAATAGGTCTGTCTCGATGAAAGGATCGGGCAAGACGTATCGCATCGCACCGGGTCGGGATGAGAACGACTGGCTTGCTTCAACGGGGGGGCCTTGATGCTCGCCGGCGGGTCAGTCTGTCACTCTGGGCTATCGAGCACGCCATCGAGCTGATGCTATTGGCACATCTTCTCTGGCCGGGATCCTCCGTTGGTGCCACTAATCTCGCAAATTTCGCGCACATCCCGACCGGCGGCCTTGCCACGGTCTTCGGTCTCATGACTCTGGACCGTGTGAAGCCCGTGAGAGCAGTGTGGGAAATCGCCTGATTGTAGGTTCGGGATGATCCATCGCCGGAGGCTGTAGATATTTATTATTGTTGTTCGCAACAGAGAGCAGGGAAAGCAGCAGAGAAAACAGAAATACAATGGCCGTCTCTCGCGTGGCCGTTATCGGTGCCGGCCCATGTGGCCTCGCCGCTCTCAAGTACGTGATGGTAACAAGATGGACATATTCAGCGATGCAAAGCATTTAGATTAACACCCGTGACTATAGATATCTACTAGCAGAAAAGACGTTCTCCGTCATCCAGGCGTATGAGCAAAGGGACACCTTGGGCGGAGTCTGGGCCTACAACACTCTCACTCGCGAAGACAATGAATTCGCCATTCCCAGGACAAGGCCCTCGAAGGACGCAGATGTCCCCGTCCAGGTCGCAAACAAGTCTGCACCACAATTTGTGTCTGCTGTGTACGACACGCTCGAGACCAACATCCCGCACACGCTCATGTGCTTCGGCGACACGCCCTTCCCTGTTGGCTCGAATCTCTTCCCTCCCCACGAAGCAGTAAAGAAGTACTTGGAAGAATACGGAGAGGAAGTCAAGCAGCACGTTTCATTCTCTACCCAGGTACTCACCATCGACAGGGTCCAGGACGGCGACAAGAAGCACTGGGAGATTGAGACGCTGGATCTGAAGACAAAGACGCAGCAAAGGGCGCAGTTTGATGCCGTCCTCGTTGCGAGCGGCCACTACAACGACCCGTACATCCCAGACATCCCTGGCCTGGTCGAGTTCGATAAGGCATACCCCGGGGCCATCTCCCACTCCAAGTTCTACCGCAATCCCAACGACTACGCCGGGAAGAAAGTTATCGTCGTCGGAAACTCAGCCTCCGGGATCGACCTGAGCGCGCAGATCCAAACGGTCAGCAAGCTCCCCGTCATCATCTCCGAGCGCTCGCCCCAGGTCACGGGCGGCGACGAACAGTCAGGCTGGTCCAAGCAGGTCCCCGAGATTATCGAGCTCACCCCTGAGGGACGCAAAGTGCGGTTCGCCAACGGCGACGTCGAGAAGGACGTCGACGTCGTCGTCTTCTGCACAGGCTACCACTACAGCTTCCCCTTCCTGCGCGGTCTCTCGCCGCCCATCGTCACCGACGGATCCTACGCGCGCAACCTGTACCAGCACCTGGTGTACATCAACGAGCCGACCCTGGCCATCGTGGGTATCCCGCAGCGCATCATTCCCTTCCCTTTCAGCGAGACGCAGGTCGGGTGGATGGCCCGCATCTGGTCCGGCCGGGCAAAGCTGCCCACCGAGGAGGAGATGCAGGAGTGGGAGGCTGCGAAGCGCAAGGAGAAGGAGGGACAGGAGAAGTCGTTCCACGTGATGCCCTTCCCTCAGGATGTCGACTACATAAATCTTCTACATGGCTTCAGCGAGAAGGCAGAGACGAAGCCTGGGTTGGATAACGGGGGCCGAGGCAAGATACCCCCGTACTGGGATGCGTACAAGAGGTGGCTGCGGCAGCAGACTCCTCTCATCAAGGCCGCATCGAGGAAGCTGGGGGAGAAGCGCAGGGAGATTCGCACACTGGAGCAATTGGGATTTCATTACATCGAGGAGAAAAATTAATTAAACGGCCATGTAGACATTGAGCATCATCAGCGTTCATCTTGGTAGATATCAGCATCAACAATCAATCAATCAATCCACGTATGCACTTGCTTGGAGTTTCTGTGAGATAGCAACAGGCTTATCGAGTATGTTTAACCATGAGTTAGATGAACGTCAATAGGATTGATACGAGGATGAGCCCATTGAGCTTGACTCAGGCTGGTGGAGAAGAGTCGGGGAGAGCCCGACAAGCGTTATCTTTTCAATAGCCTAAAGCACGCAATTCATTATTAATTCGCGCTGGGGCCGCTCATCGGGCGGAAGACGAGAGATTCTTGATCGGGCGCAGGCCGACGAGCAGCCCGATGAAAAACGCTGCTTTGGGAGATTTTCACGGCCTCACGCAAACCGGCAGACCATCGCAAACGCCGTGATCCTAACTCAAGTGGCTGTCGGGCTAGTAGCCAAGAATTCAAAATCATATGGGTTTCCTTCATTCGACGAAGGATCTCTGACATTGCATGTTTGCTAAGCCTCAGTCGCAGATGAGTGTCGAGTTGGGATTCACATGAGCTGAGCTGATCTTCACAATCGGCAAAAAGAAGGATAAAATTTTAAGATGACGGCGGATATCAGCGTCGCCATTGACCGCGGCGGCACCTTTTGCGATGTCATTGCCCAGGTCGAGGGCCACGAGCCCATCGTCTTCAAGCTCCTCTCTGAGGATCCCTCCAACTACGCAGATGCGCCCACAGAAGCCATCCGCCGCGTCCTAGAGAAGGTCGAGGGCAAATCCATCCCCGTGGGCCAAAAGCTAGATGGCTCGAGAATAGGTACGTCTGGTCCTTGAGAAAGTGTGGCCTTGATATTGATCTTGCCCAGCTTCATGCCGCATCGGCACCACCGTGGCCACCAACGCGCTGCTCCAGCACAAGGGCGAGCGCTTCGCCTTCATCACGACAAAGGGCTTCAAGGACGTCTGCACAATCGGCGACCAGTCCCGCCCAGAGCTCTTCAATCTCAAGATCCGCAAGCCCAAGCCCCTTCACTCGGCCGTGGTCGAGGTCGACGAGCGCATCGTCCCCGCCGACTACGACCTTAATCCCACTCCTTACGACAAGCAGGTTCTCGCCGCCGAGTCCGAGGCCAGGCCGGATGACCTTGTCCGCACCGTCAGTGGCGACTTCATCCGCATCCTCCGCCGGCCAGACCCCGCAGATGTCCGGGCCAAGCTCGAGGCTCTGCGCGCCGACGGCTACACCTCCCTGGCCGTCTGCTTCCTGCACGCCTACCTCTACCCGGCGCACGAGAATCTCGTCGCCGAGATCGCCAAGGAGGTTGGGTTCGAGTTCATCACCACATCCGCCCGGACCAGTCCCTCCATCAAGTTCCTCAACCGCAGCACCTCGACGTGTTCCGAGGCCTACCTGTATCCCGTGATCAAGCGTTATGTTGAGGGTTTCACAGATGGGTTCCAGAACCTGCCTCGTCGGGTTGATTTCATGTGCTCAGACGGTGGGTTAAAGACTGCCACCCGATTCAGGGGAAACGAGGCTCTTGTCAGTGGTCCGGCCGGCGGTGTCGTGGGAGTCGCGCGTTCATGTTACGATCCGGACGAGGGAACGCCCGTCATCGGTTTTGACATGGGCGGCACGAGCACCGACGTCTCCCGCTACGACGGCAAGTATGACTATCTGAGCGAGACTTCCATCGCCGGACAGACCATCACAGTCCCGATGCTCAACATTGCAACCGTCGCAGCAGGCGGTGGCTCCATCCTGTTTGCTCGCAACGGTCTCCTTGCTGTTGGCCCCGAGAGTGCCGGCGCACATCCTGGACCGGCTTGCTATCGTAAAGGAGGTCCCCTTACAGTCACAGACGCAAATCTGTTCCTCGGGCGGCTGGTGCTTTCGTCATTCCCTTCCATCTTTGGTCCTAATGCCAATGAGCCTCTAGACCTCGAGATCGTACAGAAGAAGATGGCAGAGATTACGGCCGATTTCAACCGGCAGACCAACCAGAGCCTGACTTCTGAGCAAGTCGCTCTTGGGTTTTTAGACATCGCCAATGAGACGATGAGCAGGCCAATCCGCAACGCAACCGAAGCCCGAGGCTTCGCTCCTGAGAACCACCATCTTGTCAGCTTTGGCGGTGCCGGCGGCCAGCACGCCTGTGATATTGCGGACAAGCTGGGGATCCAACGCATCCTGATCCACAAATGGTCCTCTCTTCTCTCTGCGAGTGGCATCGCCCAGGCTGACCTGCAGCATGAGGTTCTCGAGCCCTTCGGCTCGAAACTTGATGGAGAGGCTCTGTCACACGTAGACCAGCGACTGGCTGTATTGAAACAAGAGGTTGCAACACAGCTCCAGTCGCAAGGAGCGTTGTCTGACTCTCTAGTCTATGACCAAAGTCTGGTCCTTCGGTATTTTGGAACAAACACCGATCTAACGATTTCTCAACCAGCCGATGGCAAGAGCTACGCGCAAGTGTTCGAGGCAGAGCACCTTCGGGAGTTTGGATTCTCCATGGGCCGTGATATCGTCGTCGAATCGATCAAGGTCCGCGGAACCGGCAGCTCTGTGACCAAGGTGGAGGAGGTCTCAGCCTTCAAAGATCTTGCGGCTCGCGGTCAAGCCTCGACAACTGGCCCCAAGGAGACCAAGCAGGTATATATCAACGGATCATGGCAAGAAACAGGCATCTTCAGACTAGATGATGTACCCATGGGCTCCAAAATTAACGGCCCTGCTCTTGTCATCGACGACACTCAAACTATCTTCGTATCCCCTAGCTTCCATGCCAACATCCTTACTTCTCACATCCTCCTCGAAAAGAACTCGGCCACAGCAGAAAAAGAGTCCGCCGAAGGACATGCCAGCACTTTGTCATCCAGTCTTGCTCTCGCCGCTAGTAGCTCTGCTACGGTAGATCCAATTCTCCTCTCCGTCTTTGCCCACCGGTTCATGGCCATAGCAGATCAGATGGGGACGACGCTCCAAAGAACGTCCATCTCGACATCTATCAAAGAACGCCTCGACTTCTCCTGTGCCATCTTCTCGCCAGAGGGAACACTAGTGGCCAACGCACCGCACATCCCCATCCACCTGGGATCCATGCAGTTTGCCATCCAAGCACAACATCGTCACTGGGCAGGCAAAGTGCAGCCCGGTGATGTGTTCTTGACCAACCACCCCCAGTGGGGAGGCACCCATCTACCCGATCTTACCGTCGTCACTCCTGTATTCATCGACGGTGCCATCGCCTTCTATGTCGCTTCGAGAGGCCACCACACCGACATTGGAGGAAAGGGAATCACCAGCATGGCTCCCGAAACCAAGGAGCTCTGGGAAGAAGGCCTCAACGTCCCCACGATGAAGATCGTATCCGCGGGCGAGTTCCTAGAAGACGAAGTCCGCGCCGCGTTCAACAAGGCGGGAGATTTCCCCGGCTGCAGCCCGACGCGCCGCATCGCCGACAACATCTCCGACCTCAAGGCCCAGACGGCAGCGAACCAACGAGGCATCACCCTCCTCGGCAAGCTGTGCGATGAAGCCACCCTGCCAGTCGTGCATAAATACATGAAGAGCATCCAGGACAATGCAGAGCTGGCCGTCCGCTCGTTCTTCAAGAACCTCGATGCCAGCCACCCGGAGCCCTTCCAGGCTGTGGACCACCTTGACGATGGCACCGCCATGCAGGTGCGCATCAGCATCGATCCGGAAACTGGCTCCGCAACGTACGATTTCTCCGGATCAGGACCCCAGATGTGGGGGAACTACAACTGCCCCATCAGTATCTGCCACTCGGCCATCATCTACACCATCCGCTGCCTCGTGGACGTAGAGATCCCCCTGAACGAAGGCTGCCTGAAACCAATCGACATCAAGGTCCCCGAAGGGTCGGTCCTGAACCCGACTCCTAAGGTCGCCATCTGCGGGAGCACGCTCGCTAGCCAGCGTGTAATCGACGTGATCCTGCGCGCCTTTGGCAAGCATGCTGCCAGTCAGGGCTGCGCGAATAGCTTCGGCTGGGGGATGGGCGGGAAGGATCCTCTGACGGGGGAGATCGTCAAGGGATGGAACTATGGCGAGAGTATCGGCGGCGGTGTTGGTGCCAGTGAGAATTACCATGGCGAGCATTCCACTCATGTAAGATTTGATTTTCCCCTACCAAATTGTTTCTTGAAAACTAACGTAGTGTCATAGGTTCACTCCACCAACACACGTCAAACGGATGCAGAGGTGATCGAGAAGCGCACGGCAGTGCTGGTCCGCTCCTACGGAATCCGCCGCGGAAGCGGTGGTGTCGGTAAATGGCGCGGTGGTGATGGCATCACAAGAGAGATCCAGGCTCGCATCCCTCTCAAGTTTAGTATCCTGAGTGATCGTCGCGTGTACCGTCCGTATGGTATGGCTGGCGGTGGTCCCGGGCACTCCGGTGCCAACTACGCATTTGTGTACAACGACAAGGATGTTTTGGAAAGGGTGAATCTTGGAGGAAAGGCTGTGATGAATCTAAAGGAAGGGGAATATATTCAAATTAATACGCCGGGCGGCGGAGCTTACGGAAGCATAGAATAAATGAAATAGAAATATATTGATTCAAGCAACGCTCCGGGACCAGGTCTTCCAAACGCTCATATCAGCTCTCGTCCGCAATAACACACGCATTATATCAACTTGGACGAATACAGCACCATGCTACCAATCTGTAGCGAGCAAGCTTTACCCCGCGGCCACCAACAACGATTGGTGGTCACTTATGCAGCCACCCAACCAGCTGATGTCGAATCACGTGCGGTATATGCAGGAGGCCTACCATGAGTGTTGACGTGACAATCTGAGAATGAGTTGGCAAGATATGAAACTCTAACCCTCCCATCACGGGATGCTTTGACAGAACACGCTCTCTCGGTCTTCATAGGTAGCCACTCATTATACAGGGACTTTCTCTTTCTATCAAAATGCAATCGTTGGCAGACGCAGTTAATATCGCCGAGGATATTTCTATTCTTTTTCTTCTGCACCAAGTTGTTGAATTACCAACATCCAACGCAGTCATACCTCCCAAAGGCCATCGCCCCACAGAATATAGCCTTCCGTTCGAGAAAGAAAGAGATCTCACTATTATTTTGGCGTATATTTCCTGCATCAGAGACAACCCAAACCGCGTCCCTGCCCTTTGCATTAGAGAGAACAAAGCCTCCAACCAATTAGACATTCTGTTTGCAGTCAACGCGTCCAACGCTGCTGACAAGGGCGTTCTTCCCGAGGTCCAGACGAGATTCCAAGAGCTCTTCAAACTCTTATCTTCAGTCCCTACATGTAAGCCCCTCCGTGGCGAAGAATTTTGCTTGAAATCCCCCCTTACTTTTCCGGCTGACATGATGCTTCCGTTCTGGCTAGCCGACAATGCAGAAAAAGACATCTTCGCTGAGATAGTTTCAATGTGTACCACTCGCATACTTGAGCGTTTAAGAATAATTCATCAGCAAGATAAGCCACCCAAGAGACGCATCTTCTAGACGCAATTCGAATTCTCTCACAAAAGTCGCCCACATTCGCCGACGCAGCCAAGGATTTGGTCCATAAGATAAACCTATGGAACAAGCATCAAACCACCTCAGAACTAATCAAGGTTGTCGAAAGTGCTCATCATCTTTCTAAAATCCTGGATTTGGCAACTCTACTGGATCATATCTCCAACAAAGACATGTCTCCAACCGCACGATCAGGCCTTCTAAATGCCATCAAGAAACTTGCCAGATATAGAACCGCGGCTAGGATCCTGTATAGAGCAGCAAAGAAATTCCCAATTGTGCAGAAAATGAACTTCATCCCTGTCAATCTCCCTGAAGTCGCGTTCCAGAAAGTACCAGCGACAATGCAAGCGCCGGGGCGGAGGATATCGGAAGCCTTATCAAGAACAACGTTGTCAAAACGCGAGCGCAAACGAATGAATATATGTTATGGCTGTCTCAAAACAGATCAGGAGACAGCGAATAAACGGTTCAGGGATCAGAAGATGCAAACTCTCGGTGAATCCAAGATTCACGCAGAAGTACAGCTTGTATTCTTCTGTGAAACGAACGATTTTCAGCCACCTCCTCGGGTCATCTCTTCTAGCAAGGACGCATGTTTTCTTTGCAATGCGTTGATCAAGGTACATGGGAAGTATCACATTCCTCGCCAACATGGGAGGCTCTATCCAGGTTGGCGCCTGCCTTGGTTTCCTGCGCCCAACAGCATACAGAGCAAGCTTGCAAAACATCTCGAGGAGGTTATTAGCGGCTCTATCAAAACGATGATACAAAGTCAGAAACGAATAAATCACCCGCCTCCGAATGAAAGTACGGCTCTAACAGTCGCAATGTCTGAGACTACTGCCAGTTTAAATGGCAGTTGTCCTTCAACATCCTCACGCAGCAGTAGCCCAGCTGAGGCGGAAGTGCTGCAGCCAGTTCCTCTACACGAACCTGGAGAAGTTGGGGCGTCCGCAGTCCGCTTGCCAACGCCTGGCTCTCCCTCTCTGTCCATCGCAAATGTAGCGAAAGCTCAACGTGAATTGGCTTCGGAACCCCAAAAAGTCGTAGATCAGGGAGAGCATGGAAAAGAGGGAAATTCAGTATTACGCGGGAAAGCCAAAGAGGTCGCAGATCAAGGAGGAGAAAATGGAAAGTTGATGTTATCAGGGAAAGCCGAAGAAGCCGCATATCAAGAAGGAAAAAAGGTAAAGACAGCATTACCCGTGAACCTCGAAGGAGGGGCAGACCAAGGAAGAGAAGAAGGAAAGTTGGTCTCACCCGAAAATCCCCCAAAAGTTGGAGACGAGGGAGGAGAAGGAAAGGCAGTAGCTCCTCCCGGAAAACCTCCTAAAGTCCCTCCACGGCCTCCACCCAAAGAACCCCCACGGGTGTTCTCACAGCGGTGGGCAAACCTTTCAAGCCCAACCCCGAACCGACTTGTACAAGGAAAGCCTCAAGTGGTAAATGTGGAAGCCAACACCTCGTCTAGATTCTACAAAGGCGGTTCCGTGGGATTGGAAATCGAATATTCCACCACAGGTCCAGCTGAAAAGAGAGCCGCGCGCGATTTATCATGCAACTTGGAATGGCTAGCTACTGCAGACGCGGAAGCCGTCCGAGCCGATAAGGAAGCTCTGATCATACATGCGGAAAAGCTGGAGGCTGAAATTCCGATCCCATCGAGCGCGCTAGGGAAATGGTACATTGTCTCAAAGGACATGATGATCCGTGTTCAAATAGAATAGAAGGTAATAAAATGTATAGTTTTGGTAGATTCATTGCTCAATGACGCCTCACATACTGAAATCGGGGTTAAAGCTATCCAAATTTTGAAAGTATTGATCCAACAAGCCCTATTGAGTGTTAGTAACGGAGACCTAGATCTCGTTTGTCTAAACTCACCCAGTCAAGACTCTCCGAACCATCAATCATATGTGACATGGGTTCAGCATATGGGAGCTCCAAGTCGATATCGGGGGCTGTTGGGTCAACAATAGGGGCTGGTGATGGCGTAAAGCCGTAGACGCCCTTGTTTGCCACTTTCTTGATCATTAATTCCAGAGCCAGAGCAGCAATATGTGTCTCCGGCGATGCCGAGCGATTCCCCGCCCATATCCCTTGAGATACTTGCAGTGCTCTGTACTCTCGGGTTGTCAGATCCTGGTCCCCAGCCACCACCGGCGACTGTGAGCGCATCCGGACAGAGAGGTCCAGGCACAACACCATAGCAGCGAGGAGGAAGTCGTGAATCGGCAATGACAAGACCATCCACCGATCATCATGTAATCGGCCCCCAGGCCCAGAAGCGTTGTGCAGATCTTCCTGTCGAGCAAGAATCTTCAAGGCGGCTTCCACGGATGCTCGTCGCGATGGAGCGTATTTGGGGCTGTTGAGATCGTAACTTACATAACGCCGATGAAGAATCACGAGGCCCTTGAGGTAGAGAATCTCAATTGTGCAGCGTTGCAGAATCAACGCGGATGAGTCCATGAAACTACGGTTCACATCTCGCCGCTGGAACGTATCCGGCATGCTTGCGTAAACACGGTTGAACTCGGCATCTAGTGCCAGCGTGGATTCGTAAGATGGGACTGTAAGAGCTTGTGTGTGCGCCGCAATCTTCTTGAACATATTCATAACGGGAGCTTTCACGACAGTGTATAGGACAGGGGTGTGTTCGGAAAACGAACGACTTGGAGGTAGCTCCTTCATATCCATGCGAAGATCAGGATAATCTAGATTCCGAGGTACCTTCGAGTCACAGAACTCGGACGGAATCATACTCGGAAAGCCGAGCTGGAACGACATCAATGCCTCGATCTGGAATATATTTAACCAGACTCGTCGCCGCATCTCGCCATCAAAGGCAGATATCCCAGCGAGATGCTCGGGATCGCGATGATATCCCATGCGAAAGGCAAGTCTAATCACAGTGCCCATCTCAAACCACAAGTTCACAGGTGCATGATCGCTTGTGATGAAAGATGTCTGGAGATGGATCAAGAACGCCTCGAGCGCAAAGGAGTTGGCAGTCGCATACTTTCCTAGGATAAGACACTGGATGAGCCGCTGCTGCATCAGCCTAGTAGAGGGGATCGATTCATCCATGTCGCCAGCTTTGGCAATGTTTTTAAGACATGTTGCAAAACCAAGAAGAGCGAAGAGGAGACCGGTCCAGAGGGGCGGTGCTTTTTCTGGGGCATCCCAGAATGCTTCATACTAGGAATATCTGATTCAGCAAGCTATCTAACCAACTCCTCGAATTTACAGGCACTCACCTCTTTTTGAAACTTTGCAGGGTGAACGACTCCTTTCGGGATAAGATATGTCAGTTCTAATTAGACAAGCGGTTATCAAAAAGGACTTACCTCCAACAAGAAAGCGAGTGGAGAAATAGAACGAAAGAAGCCGATCGCAGACAGGCTGCGGAGGCAGAGACGTAAGTATGTCGCTTATATCCACGTTGGGATTCGCTCCAAATAGAAAGCTGGCGTCGGGCTCTATCCGGTCATGTTCCTGGGATCCGCCATCATAAGGCGATGGGTGACTGGACCCGGACAAATGTTCTCGAACTTCTTTGATGTCTTCCAGAATCGACAACCAGTGGTTACGATCGATATAGTGAACCTGGCCATCGCCTGTTTCGTGCATATGAGGTGTCTCCGGAGTCAACGCGTTGTCTTCTCCACCAGCATGACTGGGACTTGAATTCGACTTTGAAGGGGTCACATTTTGAAAATCACCAGATGCCGAGGGGGCTCTTCGGTTAGGATCATTCGCACGGCCTCTCTCTGTTTCTATGACCGCGTCTCCCGATAGAAAAGACGAAACCATCGCCTCAAGGGTATGTAGCCGGTCTTTGAGGTCGCGCTGAGGCGCCGAGGGAGCAGACCTGGTTCTGTTTGCGTTGCTCGCATAGTGGCACAGCGAAGACTTGTTTCGTTTAACACATGAGTCGCAGGGCAGCTCACGGTTGCACTTGAGTCTGCGGATTCACCAATTAGCCCACTGCCTGACACGGGAAATGACCTTCTCAAGCTGACTTTCTGGTGCGGCACGGCTCACAAGAGACGGGTGGTCGATTGCGTTTTTCCACCTTTCTGGAGCCGGAATCCATTGCAATTGAGTCGCTGACCGGATTTAATTCCAATCTGGAGCAGAGACAGGGTGAAATCTCAGGGGCTCGCGAAAGGTAAAGGAGTCTTCCATGTCTTGGAATGGGCACGGAGAAGCCTCTTGGGCTGATTGAGGTGGAGAGACACGGTTTCTCTGGCGCAAGTACCGATTGCTAGTCTTGTCCTATGTTCTAAGTCCCTTTCCACATAAATTCTTCATCTAAGTACGCTTGAACCCTGTACCTGCTGACAACTTATACAAGGGAGCGCGGAGATATTAAAGCCGCGGTGGGGCTAAACAATATCCCCGTTCCAGCACCGTTAAACCTCATCGTGACATCAAGGAGAGACTTTGTCAGCGACAGGAGGATATATTAAATCCTTGGAAAATAGAGAGTGTATTCTATGAGATGTCTGGTATAAAGGAGCTGTCTAAGCTGTCTTGAAATCATGTTGGCTCATCAATTCAAGTTATCATCACTTTCTTACCTTCACATCCCTCAAGGTCTACCCTTTCACTTATAGCCTCTTCAATCTCAAAACCTCCAATTCATAACATCAACATGGCCATTCTCGCAGCACTCGAGGGCACAGGCTCGGTCATCTACTCAAACTTATTCGTCAAGCTCCCAGCCCCCAGCTCAAAGGACAATCTTTTAGAACAAGTCTTTGTGGTCACTGGTGGTAACGGTGGTCTAGGGTACGAGTCTTGTCTTCACCTCTCAAAGCTTGGTGTTGGCAAACTGATTATTGCCGTCCGCAACAAAGCCAAAGGCGAGGCGGCGCGACTGAAAATTCTCGCTTCTACCAAGCAGCCTGAGTCCTCAATTGAAGTTTGGACAATTGATATGGACAACTATGACTCGATCAAAGGATTTGCTGCTCGTGTTTCATCCGACCTGCCTCGACTTGATGGCATTCTGGCCAACGCGGGGATTATGACGAGTAATCTTGCCTGGAGCGAAGGCAGCGAAAGTTCACTGAATGTGAATGTCATCTCTACTTTTCTTCTTTTCTTCCTGCTTCTCCCTAAGATGCGAGAGTCCGGGACAAAGACTGGCAATCCTTGCCGATTCACCATCCCCAACAGCGCCTTGCATTACATGGCTCCTCTTGGCGAGCTTCAGCCAGGAAAGGGGAGCATTTTGGACCGCCTGAACAATGAGAAGACCGCAAACATGGAGGGCCGATATTCCCTCACTAAGCTCCTGGTACTTTACGTCGTCCGCGAAATCGCAAAGAGAGCGCCCTCGTCCGGCGAAACAGGGCACTTCATTATCAACACACCCAACCCCAGCTTCTGCAAGTCGGACTTGGCTCGGGAGAATGCAGACAGTGCTGGCTTCAAGGTGTTCGAGAGAGTTCTGGCTCGCTCTACAGAGGAAGGCAGCCGAGCTCTTCTCAACGGAGTGTTGGGTGGAACAGAGACTCATGGTCACTATCTGAACAATTGCCAAGTGCAGCCGTAAGTGATAAATCCCTATCTTTCGAATCTCAATTACTCTTTCAACGGGATCTAACTTATATTAGGAGCCCAGCGTGCCACGTTACAGACAAGTTTGGGCAGCAGGTGCAAAATACTTTCTTCGAGGAGCTCATTGGCAAACTCGAAAGTATCCAACCGGGTGTATCCTTGACCCTTTGATTGGTTTTTGTGGATCTTGATTTTTGCACTCATTTCTGACGTATATTGTACTATCATGTTACTAGAGATAATAATTTATTTTCAACTTATTGACTGTGATATGAGATCACAAATGCGGAGCTTGAGCGTGGGAGCTTTGTAAAATGCCGGGGTTATCGGTCTTCAAGAACTTCCATAGATTAAATTCCAATACGACATTCTGTTCAGTGACGGTCAATCTTGTTGCAGCGCTATCCATGTTTTATTTTATGGGGGTATTCTTCTTCTTTGGAACTCCATCCGTCGGGACAACTAATCAAGTGTTGGCGGTCTTGTCAGCGTGTCCCCGAATTACGTCCCCGAAGACCGATTATGATGCCGAATCTCACACGCCTGAGAGAGGTGGGAACGCCCACCCCCATAGCGGGCCGAAGATACCTTAAGCTGGGGTTTATTACTAAAATCCCTGTCGTTTTCGACGGCACCTTCTTCATATGAATAACAGAGCGCTCTGTGTTGATGAATCTAGAATCTAGTGTTGTTGATGTCGAGATTACGTACATCCCCTTAAAGATAGATGTGACTCTTCAAAAATGAGTCCCAATAATTCGGCATTCCATGATGGACTGGTGGACGAAATCGAACATGCTATTTCCAAGATCGAGACCACTCCGAAGTCAGAGAAAGAGGTCTCAGCGAATATTCCGTCAACCTATTTGCCTGTGCAAGCCACCCAAAACGACAATAAAGATGCCATCAGATTAGTAAAGTCAGTCTCTCTGCCAGTAAGCCAACTGCTCGATTCACCAGCAGAGAGAAATCTTCTGGCTACAGCCTGGGCGTTAGTGCTGCACCTCTATGTTGTATCAGACACAGTGGCATTTGTAGTCATTGACAGCCAGGATGGGCTGGTGTTGTCTGAGCAGCTCGTTGTTTCGCACTGGTCTGCATCATCATCAGAACTCCCTCGACTGAAATTCGGACCTTTCATCGCTTCCAAACACAGCTCCAAAGCCAACACTGCCATACAGTTCGGCCATGGCCGTGGTACTACAAAATGGAATTCTTTCGACTACATCCTGCATTCTCCAGGACGCGGTTCCAAAGACCTCTCATTCCATACACGGCAAATATCAGTGCCACGAAAGTTCGCATCCGCTATTTGGAGCACTTTCATTGAAATCAACTCCCAGGTCAGGGCTGCAGGTCCTCTTGGCCTGGCCAAGAAGTACCAAATCAGCGAAGTAGACAAGCGGGCAATTCGTTCCTTCTTGCCAGACCCCATTTACGAAGCACCGAGATCCTTGCATGAGAATTTTGAACATTCTCTTGAGGCAGTGCCAGACTCTCCAGCCGTCCATGCATGGGATGGATCTCTCACCTACAAGGAGTTGGATGGACTTTCCAACAAACTTGCAGCTCATCTTATTCAGAGAGGTGTGCAAAAGGGTCAATACGTTCCGTTCTCCTTCGAAAAGAGCATGTGGATGGTCGTTGCTGTTCTCGGTATCCTCAAAGCCGGAGGTGCGATTGTTCCCATTGACCCCTCGCAGCCTCATGCCCGAGCCCAGCAGATCGTACAAGAAGTTGGTGCAAGAACTATCGTCACATCTGCTTCTCAACAGGAAAGATTACAGACTCTCGTTGACGAGGTAGTATCCATCGGTGCCAATGATTCATTGAGATTGGGGCGCGATACAGGGGCGAGCACCATCTTACCCAAGGTCTTACATACAGATCCTGCTGTCGTCATCTTTACATCAGGGTCGACTGGTAACCCCAAGGGTATCATAATTGAGCATGGAGCTATTGCTACTCGAATGATTGTCGAGGGGAGGGCTTTTGGTTATCATGGCGCGAGAACCCTTCAGTTTGCTGCATCGACGTGGGACATCTTCCTCACGGACATTTTCACCACCTTGACCTTCCAAGGTTGCATCTGCATTCCAAATGAAGAAGATAGAAGGTTCAACCTGTCCAAGTTTTGCACAGACTACAAGGTCTCGTTGGCGCTCATCACGCCGACCCTCGCAAATCTTCTTGAGCCTGCGACCTTTCCAACGCTCAAGACACTTATCTTTGGTGGAGAGGCTCTCCGGGAGGATGTGCTTGAGAAATGGTCTGTGGTTAAAGGAATATCTCTTAACCAGGGTTACGGCCCAGCAGAGACTGGCCCATGCATTACAGGGCAGGCTCACCGCCGGCCAGAAGTCTTGGGCTATGCCTTGGATAACTCGGTTTGCGTGCTGGTCGATCCCCAGGATCACAATAGACTTGTTCCGGTAGGAGCAGTAGGTGAACTCGTGGTGGGTGGACCAAGCTTACTCAGGAGATATATCAACAATCCTGAAAAGACCAACGCTGCTGTGATTGGAAACCCAGAATGGGCCCGAGAGCTTGATCTTCCGATTAGCCGCTTTTACAAGACTGGAGACCTCTTGCGTTACAGTTTTGATACACTTGATGGCCGACTTGAATTCGTTGGGCGAACGGATGATCAGGTCAAGTATCATGGCCAGCGCATCGAGCTCGGAGAGATCGAGTGCCATTTGAGCAGTCTCCCAGGGCTAGCGTCCGTAATGGTAACTCTTGTGAAGTCTGGTCCCTTGAAAGACAAACTTGTCGCCGTAGCCCAGGTGACGCAAGGCAAGAGTCCTAGGGTATCAAACGGTGGATTTTCTGTCAACAAGGGTGCTGGAGTAACCATTGCCGATGTCAGAAAGCATCTTCTTCCTCGGGTGCCTGAATACATGATCCCAAGCGAGTTGGTCGTCCTCCATGAGATGCCGCTTAACGTATCCCTGAAACTCGACAGGGCTCGTATCAGTAAATGGCTATCCGATACCCAAATCGACATTTCGAATGCACCTGATCCAGCTCCAAAGCATGAGTCAAATACGTTGCTGGCCCACGAATTAACAGCTCGGCAGGTGTCAAGGCAGTATGCATTGATCGTAGCTGAAGGCAACAAACATCGCCGCAGCGAACTCGAAGATACTGACTTCAACCTCCAATCCGGAGGGATCGATTCTGTTCAAATCATCTCCCTTCATTCAACTTTGAAGAGAAGTTTTAAAGTAAAGATCCCAATAGATGAGATCCTTAGCTCCAAAGCCACTGTGCGCTCGATTGCGGCAGTCATTGATGAAAATAACCCCCAGCACCGGCCTAGTGTTAACATCAATGGGGTTGAGCCTCATTCTGACTTTACTGAGCTGGGATTGCTGCACAGTTCTGATAGCGCAATCATTCATCGGACGTTCATTACTGGGGGATCAGGTTTCCTCGGGATTGAGATTCTGCGGCAGCTTCTTTGTGATCCCAACAGACATGTATATGCGCTAGTAAGAGCGCAATCCGAGAAGGCTGCTGAAGAAAGACTTATTCGAAAGGCAACAGAAGCAGGTTGGTGGACGGATGCTTACAAGACAAGACTTCATGCCTGGATCGGTGACTTGGCACAGGCTCAACTGGGGCTAAATAGGACTCAGTGGCAGATGCTTCAGGGCCTGACGACTCCAAGTATTGATTCAGTCATCCACAACGGAGCCAAGGTGCACTACAATCTGGACTACGATAGTCTGAAACCTGCCAACGTGTCATCAACGGTTGAGCTTCTAAACGCGGTCAACTCTCGCAAACAGCCACTCACAAGCTTCGTGTATGTTTCTGGGGGCCAACAACTGAGTTTCAACGACAAGGACGACCAGGAGAACGCGAACAAAGCGATTAATGGGACAGGCTATTCAAAGTCGAAAGTGGTATCTGAGTTGATTATCAACAAGTTTTCTCAGACTCATACAAGCAAGAACTTGTTACCCATCAAAGTGGTCAGACCAGGGTATATTATCGGAGACTCTGAAAGAGGACTGGCAAACAAGTCGGATTTTATTTGGAGATTGATATCTGCTTCGATTGAGGTTGGAAGTTACAACGCCGACGAAGAAGACACTTGGCTGTTCGTGTCTGATACCAGTCGTGTTTCTCAAGCCATCATCGAAGCCTTGCATGGCCAATATCGTCAGCAAGTCGCCAAGATTCTTGACGGTATCAGGTTCAAGGACCTCTGGAAGCTCCTCAAATCTTATGGATATGACCTGCAACCTCTCAATAGAGAGCAGTGGCTCGCTAGACTCCACCAATTCGTGGCGGCCAAGCAAGAGAGGCACGTCCTGTTCCCGCTGATGTACATGTTCGAGTCAAACGAGCCAATTGGGGTTCAAAATGGGCCTTTTCAGCCAAGCACAGGAGTTAAGGAAGCGCTGGAGGCCAACATTAGGCATTTAATTACCATTGACTTCCTGCCGAAGCCTAAACTAACTCCCTATGGCACTTCATCCGGCAATAGTGATACTTCTGGGTCTTACGTGGATATCCCACGAGCATTCTGGGATGAAGCAGCCGTGCAAAAGTCTGATCAAATTAATGTCCAGAGCGTTCGACAACAATTCCCAGCCCTCCATCACGGAATCGTGCCATTCAACAACGCTGCTGGGACGGCCGTCCATCAAGAGGCTGCCGACAAGGCACGAGAATACTTGTCGGCAATCCCTATCGAGCTGGGACATGACGATGTTAAAAGTCAAGAGAAAACACAGAGACTCATGAATAACTATGGAGAGCTTGCTGCATTCATTAACGCGGATCCAGATGAGATTGGTAAGTTGAGTTGTTGATTTGCAAGGAATTGTTGATTCCCTGATACCTTTCCCCAATTGTCAGCATGATGTTATTCCGGTAGATGGATGCTAATTCGTAACAGCTTTCGGACAGACTACCACGTTCATGTTCCGGGCGCTTGGGCAAGCCCTACGGCCAAATTTGAACTCCGATTGTGAAATTGTTGTGTCAAACCTGTGTCACGAAGCCAGTGCCGCAGCCTGGATCAAGCTCGCGAAGGACGTGGGCATCACCATCAAGTGGTGGGCTCCGCCACCGGGTGATAATCCTGTGCTATCCTTGGAAACCCTCAAACCTCTCCTCTCGCCAAAGACTCGGGTTGTCACTTGCAACCACGTCTCCAATGTTATTGGCAACATCCATCCAATCCGCCAGGTCGCGGATTTGGTTCACGCCATTCCTGGTGCCGTATTGATCGTCGACGGCGTTGCATGGGCACCTCATCGACCGGTCGATGTGAAGGCGTTAGACGTTGATTTCTATTGCTTCAGTTGGTACAAGGTGTTTGGGCCGCACATTGCTCAACTATATGGACGCCGGAGTGCCCAGAAGCGAGTGCTCACGCACTCGAGCCATTACTTCCTTTCGGAAATGCCCGGACTGGACTGGAGACTGCGCTTAGGCAGCAATACCTTTGAGCTTGAGGAGGCTATTGTTCCAATTGCTCGGTATCTGACAAAGTTGGGCTGGGATAACATCATTGCCCAGGAAGTTGTGTTGCAACATGCATTTTTGGAATATTTGAACAGTCGGCCCCAATTGTTCCGCGTCTTTGGAGAGAAATCATCCGATCCTAGCAAACGCGTCTCGGTCATTACATTTACTGTCATCGGACACTCGTCGTCTGACATTGTCAAAAAGGTTTGTCAGAAGGGAAGATTCCGCGTTGTTGCTGGGAGCTGCTGGGCTCCAAGACCGACTCATGACGTCCTGGGATTGGATGAGGAGGGGTTGATCCGAGTCAGTTTTGTGCATTACAATACAATCTCGGAGGTGAAAGAATTTACTAGAGAGCTTGACGCGATTCTGGGCTACGCTTAGGGCAGTGAAAGTACTAGAGGCCTTTTATTAAATAGGTAGCTAGAACAGTCGAATGGTAGTACAACAAACGAATAGATGGATATGATTTTTTGCTCCCCATACGAGAAGACAACTGTCTTTTGAAAAGTTTCGAGAGTATAAATCTGAACGTCAATATAATCTCTTCAGATAGCTTTATTTTTGTATGACCGATTAGACGCCCAAGTAGACAGTCATTCTCTGCTCTCGCGCTCCTCTCAGTATTTGGTTTCTAATACGGGCTCTGACTGATAAACCTGGGACTCGATGGGACCTTAGAAGCCCTGAATGTAAGACAGGGCTGGCTGGATGGGATTTGGAAGTTCGGGCCGAACGAGAAGCCACTGCCGAACCGCTTGCAGCTTGCCGAAATTTTCGGCATCTGTTCGACGAACTCGTAACATGTTTCCTTATTGGGCTCAAGTTTCGAGACAGCCTTCTTTTGAGATATCCTTGATCGATGTAGTTCCACGAGGCTTCGTTTTTCTATTCTGGCGACTTGTGACAGTGACGTCGTATCAATCGGAGTATCAGTTAATCTGGAATGAAGAAAAAAAGAACAGAGTACATAGAACGAAGCCATTTACGTCAATTGATACTGTGGTAGGTATCATTAGAGTTTTATTGAATCTCAATGTTTATTTTCCGGCCTTGATGGCTTTAGAGTGAAATTTCCAAGTGTTTCGAATGTTTGCTGTGTTCTGGTAAAGACGTCTACATATGCCTAGTCTTCTTGAGGATTCTATTGTGCGTAAGAGATGGGGAAAACTTCGTTAGCTTGTAAATGCATCTCTAGAATCAAGCTGTAATCTGTAGTTGCATTTTCAAAGCAAGATGTTCTGTTCATGTTTATATCCAATCTTTGAATCGCCGCATTCAAGAAAATCTCCGATCATGTTTCTTCGGTCCCATCACGATCTATGCTTCTCAAAAAGATAGACTCCTATAAGAAAGTTGTTAGTAGTTTAAACCTCGAACCCATCTATAGTGGCGAATATCTTACCATAGGACTTCTCTTGATTCATCCAAGCTTTAGTGAGGATCCCTCCAGCTTCCTCGCAGATTTCTATAGCCTTTCCCTGAGGCCATTTTCCGCTCCGAATAGAGCGAAGCTTGTCGCCTCTCTTGAACTCATATATTTCACCATAGACAGATATCGAAAGGTCCTTATACGCAATGTAGTAACTTTCATGCATCCATACGGCGGGGTTCCAACTTCCAGCAAAACCCCAATCGTCCAAATTAAAGACTTCAGTATTTAATAACTGGTTAGCATGTGTCAAGCCTTGGAGGACAAACTCTCGGTTGGAGGGACCCTCGTAGGACAATGCAATCTCCCGTTGATCTTGGGAGCCATCTAGCCCAACAATCATAGAAACGGTGTTGCTAAGGAATGCTCGTGTGTATTCCGCTGCTTCAGAAGGTGTGAAGTTGGCAATACTGTTACCTAACCAGAAGACATATGTGTGCGAAGAGCTTTCGTGTCCCTTCAACCAAGCTGCACAATCTTCATAAGTGCCGAGCAGACCGTGAAGCTTAATGGTGGAACTGGCAGAGGACAAGACGCACTGAAGCTCAAGGAGAGACTTTCTCAAACTTTCTTGATCAACATCGCAGGCATAGTATTCGACATACTTTCCCTGTGCCTGTAGAGCTTGAAGGAAAAATGCAGTCTTCTTCATGTTTCTGAAACATCAGGGTGTAAGCAGCGTTACATACCCGAATTGTATCATCAAAATGTTCGGTGTTGTACTTACCCTGCCCCGAGTTCAATCACTCTGTCACCATTAGCAATAGTTGCAACAATTTCCTGAATAGAGTCATGTAATAGGAGCCATTCTCGTCTAGCCGGGTAGTAATCTGGGGAGCCAATGACTGCATCGAATAAGGATAATCCTGGTTCGTTCCATAGAAGCAGAGGAGGTGATTCCCGTTCCGCAGATTTGAGACCTTCTATTATCCCACGAACCAGATCTTGGGAGATGATCTGCCGCCGAGTATCGAAAATTTGTATCCGTTCGGCGTGTGAGTCTTTCTCGTTTACGAGGGTTTTAACCGCACTTGAAGAGTCTGTAGGTAGGATTGGGGTCCAGAATGGATCGTCAATATAATTTCGTGCGGATGTGAATGCGGTAGCCATCGCTGCTGAGTACTAGAGTAAAATAATGGCAAAAGTTTAAGACCAGGTGCAAGTTCAAAAGTAGCCAAGAAAGACTGTTTTTCTAGCAGATCCTTCTGATAAAAGAGACTAATCGGTATCCGTAACCGCAAAGTGTGTATATATAAGTTGGTACGTTTAATCATACTAAAGATCCCAACTCCCCTACTCGGCCCGGGGGTATGATAACGTCAGTTCTATACTTCGTGTCTGTCATTCAGCAGTGAATAGCCAGGCGTCGCTTCCAGGTAATCCAAAATGGCACTAGATTGCCCCAAAGCAGCTCAATGATATTTGGCTGGCAGTATTGTCCGCCTTGGGCATCCGCTCAGCTACTTTCGATGCTACTTTCGGCATGCAGTCACTCGGTCGGAGGGTGTTTCGGTCACAGCATTCGGCATCCCTGAGTGAGTTACATATGTCTGCCCGAGGGTGGAAACGCTTACTCAGTCTACCTCATGGTCTTGATGTATGTACTGTGAGACTAGACTTATTATGAAGTGAAAACCTGATAGCTCGTTGCGAGAATGACGGTTTTAGGTGCGTGATGACTCCTTTCTGATATCATATTCGAAAACAACTTGAACATGGCTGCCCCAGCGACAATCATTATCATTGGCTCTGGCGTTTTTGGCCGTAAGTATCCCATAAAGCGATGTGGGCCAAGGAAAGAAAGAGTGACATAGGAGATGAATCATGAACTAATGATCCAACCTAAGTTTCGACGGCCTACGCTGCAAGCCGCGACCCTAGATTCGGAAACAGCAAGATAATTCTCGTGGACCGCTGGAACTTTGAGCCCGAATCCTCCACAACATCTGTCCAGAATCCTGGAGCTGCGAATGCCGATACATCCCGAGTGATTCGTCGCGACTATCCACATCCTCATGATGCTTATGCCGCCCTTGCCCTAGAGGCTTTGACACACTGGAGGGCTGAATGGGGTGAGAATGGACGCTACACGGACCAACGACTTCTATTTGCCGCGGAGGGATCTTCAATCGAAGGCCCTAAAAGGGATGGCGAGATTATCAACTACGTGAAGGATGCCTATGAGCTCAGCATCGATATCACACCAGGTGGCAAAGACGCCTTGAAGGTCGTCGACTCCCTGGCTGCAATTCGAGCAGAGCTTGGCCTGCCTTCGACCAATCCCACAAACATCGACAAAGATAGCAATGCCCTGAGAGGATATATCTCAGACGATTGCGGATGGGCCAACGCAGGTGCCAGTATCGAGTACCTCCGGCAGAAGGTGGTCAAACTTGGCCGTGTCCAGTTTGTCGTCGGCCAGGTAGGGGAATTGATCCAGTCGGATGACAAGGCACATGTCAAGGGCGTCAAGCTTCTTGGCGGCACTGAAATACTGGGCGACCTCACAGTTGTCGCTGGAGGTGGCCAGTCGCCGCGCATTTTGGGATTGAAAGACTTGTGTGACGTCTATAACGACGTAGTTGCATTCATCCAGCTGACACAAGCTGAGTGTGATGAGTTGAGACGCAGAAAGTGGCCACTCATCGTGAACGTCAATCGTGGTGTCTTCGCGATTGGTCCCGACGGTGATAACTGCTTAAAGTTAGGCCACTTCTCCCACAGTGGTATCGTGGATGCCTTGAAGAGTGCCAAGATCGAACTAGGACCGCGAAAGAAGACTCTCAGCGCTGAACAGGAATGGGCCGACCCGGACTTCGGCTGGGGCGGAGATGTTCAATTGACCGAGCTCGGTGATCTGGTTGACGATGACAAAGTAAGGCTCAACAAAACCCTTGCTGATTATCGGTTGTTCCTCATCGAGCTTCTTGGGCCATCATCGTTTGACAGCATTGATACTGTCGGGGATGTCAAGTACGACAGTGTTCTGAATAGCATCGCTGTTAGGCCATTTACGCGGATACGGAAGTGCTGGTATACTGACCGGCCTTCTCTTGACTTTATCGTGGATTACCATCCGTCATTTGGCAAGAGTTTGTTTGTTGCAACTGGCGGAGGAGATCATGCCTTCAAATTTCTTCCGGTGATTGGGGAGAAGATTGTGGAGCTCATCTTGTATCAGCAGGGCGTGAAGGCGCCAGCCCTTAGGGAACTGAATCCTTCAGTCGAAGAGCTCAGTAAACTCTGGAAATTTCCAGATGATTTATTGAAATAAAGGCCTTTCAGCATAAGGGCATAAGGGCAATTACGAGAGTATGTTGGGGGCTTGGAGAAATACGCCACTTTGCCACAAGCATAAAGCATAGTTATAAGAGATCTCAAAATACGATGTGATTTAGCATTTCTACGTGCCATTAAGCTTAATGGGAAATTGATAGATAGTGAGGGAATGTTCGTTTTGTTAGTACATGATCGCAAAGTGAAGAGTTAACATGACCAAAGCCACATCGACAATTAGTATTGAGTGATGATGTAATGGATATTCCCAAATTCTGATATTCATACACGTTTCACATACTGAATCCGCACTCCTCGGGTGTCACTAAATATGGTCAATTGCCGCTCATGCCGGTGATCCTTGCGTACGCATTTGCTGCAACTCTACTAATTATTACATGTATCTCAAGCTTCGAAATAGCACAAAAACAGAAAATGATACTTGATAGTCGGGAGCCCATAATTTCGGGCTGACATTCCACATGGAGTATCATCAGACACAAAGAGGACCTTGGCTGAGTCTGGAGTCTACAGGGCTGAGGGAGGTTAGAAGTTCCTGTGTCATGATTCATTTCGGCACTTGATTAGTGTGGCTATTTGAAGATCATTAACCGGAAAAGAAAGCAATAGTCATTGGTTTTGTGGGCTCGGAAGTGTCGGAGAACAGTCAGAGCCGTCAGATTGACTGCAACGGTCCGAGTAGCCAAACCAGCCTGACCGTGTAGACGTATGAACCATTGAACGTGACAGCTACCGTGCCCTACAATCTTTGCCAAATGTCACCTCTCTGCTGGAGCACGGTCATCTTTTCAAGGTCTATAAGCAGTTTTTGCATCATGAAATTGTGAAATATGATAAGAAATGAAGCCATTCGCGCATATTGTATCTTGCAAAAGGTGTGCCCCTTTCTCATAAAGTAAAACTTGACTGTCTTCCTTTCTGGGCTAACTACATCAGCCACGCTGAGTCATGATAATGAGGGAGAAATGATAACATCAGCATGACCTTAAGAGCGGTGTACCTATTTCTTTTTATTGTTTTTTGTTTGTTTCAGCATGAATCTAACTATGTTCTCACCCTTCCCCATCTGGCAACATCGGCACCCAACACGCGTATGGACGGCAAAGAGTTCCGCTACTATCAAACACCGAGCTACTTGCAGGGAGGCGGGTTCGATGCCCGAAAAGCTTGACGTAATACCCCAACCTCGTGAAGATCATGGCCCTGCCCCATGCCATGGGCGGCCCGTCCAGGAGAAAAGTTTATGCAGGGAACGAAAAGAAGTCAAGGTAGCCGACGCCACCGCCGAATTTCACAACCGCTCCCTGTAATGTCACAACTGGCTCGGCGGGCATTATTTTCTCGAAATAGGTGCTCTCCTCCAAACTCATACGATTTTTACTGGATTGTTGCACCAGAGTGCCTAATTCTACGACGCTGACTGCAGGTGTGGCATGTGGCACATCCCTGCGAGCGGTGGGCGTGAAATACAATTTCCCGAATACCGTTTGCGTGATTGATCCTTACATACTTCTTCATTAGGCACGACTGAAATCAGACCCACGGCTTGTTTAGTCCCCACCAGAACGTGCGTTTAGCAGGGAGATACCGGAACGAAGTGCACGTTGGACACTGAAGCCGTTGGGGAAGTCAGGATTCGATCCTTTGGCCTGGGCAAAAAGTCCCCAGGATCGTGTTTGTATCATGTATCCCTAACTTTGAGACATTGTTCCCCATGATCAGCAATTTTCAAAGCTGAACCTATGATGACGCAAGTGTTGGCGAATAGGACAAAAAGAAAAATAATGTATTACACGTAGGACTCGGATATCCTTCATAACCATTGAAAGCATTTGAGCATTTTGTGAGTGCCCAAGCGCCTCAGTGGCCGCCCTTGATCCTGTCGAGTGGAGTGCCATGCACAGTATCTACCTGAAATTGAGATGTGGCTATCTTTTCCCCTATTTGGAAAGTGTGGGCTGGGATAGAGTCGGAGGATCTTGGACTTGGCTTTGACTGGGAGTCACTCGTCCCTCAACTTCCTCCCAAGGCTGGCCACATGGCCCGAGGATCCAGAAGGTAGCTTTACAGTGCTGGCGTACCGCTGGAATGAGCCCTGAGAATAGCTAAAAGCTCTGTACAAGGCTTGTACAATATCTCTTAATTTGCAGATTATCAACGTGATATTCATACTGTGTTTTGCTTCTGAGTAGAATGTAAAAGGGGCTAGTAACCACAAAATGTTAATTGTGTATTTATTTGCATGTGCCAAACTCCATCACCGTGGAAAGCTATATAACAGAGTACGTTACAATAGGTACAATATGTCGACTTTGTAATTTATTCCAGGTATATGACTGAAATACCTTACAGAGCAATGCAGCTGTACCGATCTGCATCTGACGGGTGTCTCAGCAGGGGGCCTCTCACAGTTTATAGAGCACAAAAATCCCGTATCACGGTCTCGGCCAGGCCCAATCCTAGTCGGTGCCGTAACTGTGCCCCTCATTCCCGGCAGATTTATGTTTATCTGCCTTCTAAAGCCCATCAAAGCCCATCCCAGTGTTTGAGGAACGATACTACCTTCTATGTCAACCCAGCCACTTACAACCATTGGCATGGAGAACAAAAACAACAGACGTGGTGCCTGTGACCGGTGCCGCGGACAGAAGCTAAGATGTGTCGGCGCTGCAGATCCCATCGTCATCTCCGGCAGTCGCTTTCAACGTAATCAGACTCCCTGTGAACGTTGTAAAAGGGCCAAGGTCGACTGCTACAGCGTTAGACCTGTTTCCAGACGCCCGGGATCCGGCTTTGACCACAGCGATGAGCGTCAAGCCAACGGGTCTCAAGCAAACGGTATTGGACCAACACCGCAACGATCAAAATGCACTGCAACCAACCCTGCGGGTGTAAACCATCGAATTCCCGAGCCGATCCCAGTCGCCGAACCTCAGCCAAGATACGACAGCACGTCCCGAGATGGTCTCGATTTAAACATATCAACAATGCTACCAGCCAACTCTGCTGAATGGGCAATGTATACACAGGATGAAGACCACGATATGGAGGTCCAAGAGTTGGACTTAGCGACCCCTGTCTGGATGCTTGAGCAACAGAGGACCACTGGGCAGAATGCTTGTTCCGATAAGTCGTACAGGGACAGCGAGCTCGATCTGATATCGAGCAAGGCCGGTTGGAAGGAATTTAATTCCAATCAAGGTGACTTCGGCCCAATAGATTACCAAACTCGGAACTTCGCCAATCTTTCACGGCAATCTATGTTTGAATCGAACGAATACGAGCGTTCTAGGAACCACAAACAAGCGCCATCAAAGCCCACCAACACCCCCTCTGAGCCATCGACAAAAACTTATATCCAAGAACTGGCGAAATTCAATGAGATGCTCCTCCGCGAAAAGGGATCTTACGAAGATGCGGCACCCGGCCCGGCCCAGCAACGATCAGTAGGCCAAACGCTGCATCATTGCCAGCATTTCTTGTCCATATTGAGGCGGCTCCGCCCATCCTCTTACAACCCAGATTCAAATGAATTTGCTTCAGAATGGTCTTATAGCACCGAAGAGGGGAGGTTAGAGGACACCCCATATGCGCCGTCTTCGTCGCGACAGAGCGCTCAAAACGACACACCGTCCACTGCATCTTCTATTGACTCTCCTCTTGAGGTTTCTACACTTTTATCAATTCTTTCTTGCTACACGTATATTCTTCAGTCATATGAATCATTGTTCACTCCAATCCTGGACTCCGTCACGAGCTCAACACCCACAATTCCGCCGACGTTGGCTGGTCTCCACCTCGACGGATTTGAGTTAGATGGCTACAACAGCCTCCAACTAGAATGCCTCCTCACAATCAGTCTGAGTTTACTAGAAAGAATAGACTTCATCCTGACTGGCGTGCCTGGTGGACATACAGACCAGCATCATGGCGGAGGACTCCTTGGCAACAAACTATTCAGTGGCTTGCTTGAAGCATTACATGATCAAAACGGGCCAAATTCTTTGAAAAGCCCTGGTAATGGAAAACGAGAAGTGAAAGCAAAACGGTTGATTCGGGATATTCAAGCAAGCTTGAGACGGCTGGATCAGTAAAATCGATCCGCATAAAAGCATCTATACAAAGACTCCACTATCACATAGATTTGACACATTTCAACAGATTAACTTTGATTACGGCATAATTTATCATACTTTTCGTAACCATCCTAGTCCTTGATACCCCAAATTCACAAGCCGAGATCTGTGAATAAGGTTACGGTTCAGAATTTGGGCGTTTTCCGTATTTCCACCTTCTTGGTTGCTATATCCGACCTCCTATACCTCCTGGAAAACATCCCAGCAAATGACCTGTACGCCGGCACGCCGTTCCCGTGAAACTTGCTCAATTTGATCCCCGTAATAAAATAGTCTAGGACCCGGGACAATCCGTCCGGATACGCTGCCGGCGGCAGCAACAGTCACTACCAAAGCAAGAGGAGTACTAGAACGCTTCTTAGAGCAGTGACAAAAGCACTACCCTTGTTAGTCTTCGAGGGCACCTGGTCGGCCCGGTCAGCATGGGCGAGGATGCCTAGGTGTCCGCGTGGCATTTGGCACACCGCGTGAGATGACACAAAGCGATTGGCCACTATCTCCCTAGCATGCACTCCCTCAGGGCACGCAATTATACCGGGGTATGGGCTAAGTTCTCGGAACGGCCCTATGCTATGAGGTCTCCATAGTAATCTATGCCGCCGTTTATTCGACTGGGGCTTCGGAATGTGTGGGTGCCGATGCAGCGAGAAAACAAACAACATGTCCCGGTCATAGACGTCCCCACCGTCTCGCATTCCACTGGTAAATTGGGTCTAATACAAAAGGCCATGACATCGTGTTCGGAAGCATGGGATCTGACATGACCTGATTTTGATCGTTTTAGTGAGATAAGGTGCGCAAGGAATCAACTCCGTGCAAAGGCTCCGTGCATGTGATGCACAGACACAAGCTTTATCTTCTGCCACGCCTTTTACTACACCCCTCGTCGGCTGTTGCCTGTCATGAGCAAGTGTATACAAGAGTGGACAGGAACCAGTCTTACGCCTACCCTATAGTCAAACAACGAAAACAACATCACACGTCCTGAGTAAGCTACACGTTCGAAGCACCAAATTAATGTCTTCAAATTGGAGTTTTTATTTTGTTTCTCTCCTTAAATGAACTCTAATGCAGTCGGTTTATCGCACTGGTTCCTCCAAGTCAAGCAATTAATAGATAACTCGATTAACATGCTTGCTAACTGAGCAACTACACAACCCGGGACCAAAGACTAACGATTTATTTTGAATAAAAACTTGACGGCTTGCTTTCCAGGCTTATGTAGTGCATCAGATTTAAACACAACTAGAAGAATTCTGTATTTCCACTATGGCTAGCAACATGACATGATTGTAAACTAGAGGAACGAATAACGAACCTCTTCTCTAACCTGCTGTGCAAATTCAAGTGCCTCCTCCCTGCTGTTCCTGGAAAATACATTGAAGTATGCCAAGAAACTATTGCGGCCTGAGCTGGGATGAGCAACCTTTTGCCCACGCTTGACAAGACAGGCACAACGGCTGATCTGGTTGGCAAGGTCTGGGCGTCGATTCTTCAAATCAACGCAGATATCGTCGGAATCAAAGATCCCCTTTAAATGGACCGGGAAATCCGCGGGAATGAAAACCATGATGCATGTGTACTGGGCTCCGTGCAGGTATGGCCGCGATAGTGCTCGAACGCGAGCCTTGTCGCCGACGGCAATAAGGAGGGCCAGGCCCCAGTAGTCAATGCCATAAGTGGACTCAATGATTTGTGAGCCTGTCATACCCAGAGGGCGCGGGTTGATCTCGATCAGCCAGGCTGAAGGCTTCTCATGCGCCCCTGAGGATGGGTCGACTGGATGCAGGTCGAGAACCCCATTTACCAACTTGTAGTCCGTGGTTGAATTTTCAACACGACCTTCCAGATGCATGATGCCGTCTCTTAGGCCCAGTTTAAGCAGTGTATTGAGGAAGCTGTCTCGGAGAAGCCTAATCTCTTGATCGGGCAGTTTCGATGGATAAACGCTATTCAATTCGTGGAAGTTTGTGATGGACCCAACTGTTGGCCCGTTGATGTCGGCTGACTTGGGCAAATCATCGCATACTTCGAAGAACAAGACTTCCCCGTCGAGCAAAACGAAGTTGGCATCAACTTCAGGCCCCGAGCAGTACTTTTCGATGACGAATTCTGTGCCATGGCGGGACGTATCGATAGCTTTCACGGCGGTAGCGAGGGCCTCGAAAGTGTCAACACGAGAAACGCCTTCTGAACTCCAGCCGTCGCAAGGTTTGACAATCAGGGGATATGGGAGCTTATTCTTCGTCGCAACCTCCAAAGCTTCCTCTAGGCTCGAGGCCCTAAAAGCTTCATGGCCTTCATACTTGCTGGTCAGGTACTTGTTGGTTGCTATTCTGTACGCCTCCTGTGACGAGGCGTGAAGGCCCAACTTCTCGGCAGCTTCGCAGATGTAGATCCAAAAAGAATCTGCAAATGTGATTATGCCATCCACGGGCCTTCCATAGGTTTTGACTGACTCTAGAATGTGAGAAGCACAGTCCGCCTCGGGGGGATTTGTCAATTTTGTCGGAATGTAGGCTTCACACCAATGGGCATGTTCTGGCTCTTGGAGTAAGCTTCCCTCGTTGTCCAACACAATTAGCTTAATCCCAAGCTTCTTTGCGGCATGGTACAACCCTGACCCAGTTCCCAGCTCCCCAGCATGTGAAATATTCGCATCAACTAGCACAAGAGTCTTTTCTTGTATAAGCCCCGGGAGCACCCACGGGAATGACAGTCTGTTCTCAAGCTCTGACTCTGATGCGTGAGAAAGAGACTCGATAACGTCTTCATTTTCTGTAATACGGCTGGTTCGAAGAAGGAGACCAGCTGCAGCTGCGGCGAAGAGCGTTGGTAGATCATTGATATCTGACTCTGGTACTGCTAAGCCCTTGTAGGTCTCAAGTGGACTGGCAAAACAGACGACCTTTTCGACATATTCAGAGTCCCAGAGACGCAAGGAAACTACATCCGATCTAGCTATATGTCCCTCTACAAGGGGTACGATGACCTTCACCACTCGAACGTTGCCGAGGGTGTCCGTGGCATGAAGACATTCCAATAAGAATTGAAATGCGTCAACAGATGCAAATGATGCCGATGAGAGAATGGTTGTAGAAGGTTTGTTCCCAACTTGCGAGACATGTGCGTCTACGTCCACCTTACTTTCGCCAATGGGCATAGAAGCATTGGTCTTCAACTTGAAAACAATGTCTACTGACTGCCATAAACTTCCGGTAGACTGTGGTTGTCTCACTTTGCAAGAATAGTCTGCAAGTATAACGCCTACCCACACACATTTATTTAGCGGGAGTCTCCGAGCCAAGGGTATCGTACGCACCATGTTCCTCTCCTGGGGAGATTTGGAGACTCTTCCAACGTTCCGTCGCATCAGGCATGTTTACTTCTTTCCACGTTAATAGAATGTATCAAATCGAGAGGGTAGCCTTGTTCGGACGAGAACAAATGCAGCCTTTGGACAGTACTAGCGTTGAATCAACACAAACGCATTCCCACGTAATTTAACCTCAAGATTGAAACGCCGCTTTCGTTCTTTTTCCTAATCAGGCAGAGATGCGCCAAGGAATACCAGATGTGAAGGTATTTAGCAGACCTGGTGTAAACGTAGCGCTTGTCGTGTAAGCCGGAACCAGGTCGCCGATTATCAGCCAATGGCCGTTGAAGTCAAATCACGCAAGAGCATCCCCCGTCTTTGTATCACATGGGCTGCATACACGAAATGCCAGATTTAGAATGACAAAAGCAAACCAGAAGGAGTAGATCGGCCCGACAACCGTCTCCGAATTCAAAGGCGGAACCCACTGTCACCGAAGGCCCCTTGCATCCAAAACTTCGGTACGCGCCGAACTTTTGCCCGAATCCTGGAGGGTTGAGAGATAAGCAAAATTGATCGGTCGTGTTGCCCTGCAGTTTCCCTGCCTGGATTGGGATCCTCATGCATCCCCTATCTAGAAATGAGACCACGCTGTGACCCTGGGCAGACTGCCTGCTTCCTACTAGGTACTCTGTGGGGGCTTGCTGGTTAAGGCTGATGTGGCTTTCATTGAGCTGATGTGGATTCACAATATTGTGCAAAGAAACTTTTGGAATGGATTATATGACATTTGGCCTACAGCAACTGGTGTTGTGAAACCTCTCGAACTAATGTAGATTTTGCATACCCACCATTTCATAGTATTTTCCATGTTTTGCCATGAGCTGCTCATGGTTCCCCGTTTCTACAACCATGCCATCTTGCAATACACATATAGTATGCGCATTCCGAACTGTGCTTAGTCGGTGAGCAACCATGACCGTAGTGCGATCCTTCATTATTGCGTTCATGGCCGTTTGAACGACGGCTTCGGATTCGGTGTCTAGCGCTGAAGTTGCTTCATCGAGCAGGAGAATTTTAGGGCTTCTGAGGAACGCGCGGGCAATGGAAATACGCTGCTTCTGACCTCCGCTCAGCATGCTACCTCCCATTCCCACGAGAGTTGATAGCCCATCCCTGTTCACTGTCAGCAACTCAAATGACTACTTGGGGACGGAGAAATGGCGTACGGTAGCGACTTTATAAACTCGGCAATGTTGGCTTGCCTACAGGCTTCGAGAACGGCGTCGTCACTGACTTCTTCCCAAGCCAGACCAATGGTGACATTTTCTCTGATAGTCCCTGAAAATATAATCGTTTCTTGACTTACAAGCGCAATGTTTCGACGGTACTCGTCCACGTCCAAGCTTTCAATGTTGTGACCGTCAACCATGATGCGTCCCTGATCTGGCTCATAAAACCGTTCAAGAAGCGAGATGCATGTACTCTTTCCGCTCCCGCTCTGTCCCACCAGTGCCAACGTTTGCCCGGGTTCTATGGTTATGCTGAAATTATCCAGTACCCGTTTGTCAGGCCTTGACGGATAAGAGAATCCAATTTTGTCAAAGACGATGTGACACGGTTGCGAGTCGTGTAAGCTCGGTTTCTTCTCGGCAGGTTCAGGTGAAGATTCAGCATGAAATTTGCCTCTGGACTTTAGCCCGATGAATCCCTGCAGCTCATGGCTTGCATGCATCGCCTTGCTAGCGTCTGGAGCAAACGTAAATATAGAGCCAGCAATCTGGGACCCTGAAATAAGACACACGAAACATATGTATACTTGGAATGCGGTGTACTCTCTATCAGCAATCAGGATTCCACCGTACCAGAAGCCGAGTGCTGCACATAAATAGACAACGGACTGCGATGCAGCGTACAGCGCCGAGGCAGATAAGATTGGTCGCAGCGACTTGGCCGCTCTCTCCGCTAAGAAGCCATCATAGCGCGTCAGAGCATGTTGTTCAAGGCCTAGAGACGCAACAGTGCGCATGGAGCGGACCAACTCTCCTGCGTAAGCTGCGGAATCAACGCCACTTTGTCGGATTCGGGAGTCGAAGGTTGTCAAGACCTGGAGTCGAAGCCATCCACAAGCAACTACGACGGGGATAGTGGCAGTGCACACCAAGGCCAGCTTCCACCCGATGGCCAGTGAGACAACAATGCCGCCGAGGATGGTCGAGATGAACGTCAATAGGCCGCCAAGGACCGGCCCGCCCATGCCGGAGAGATCGTCCGTGCTCTTGGAAAGTATGCCGGAGAGCGCACTGGGGGAATTCCGTTGCTCGTCAAAATATGCCATGTCCTGATGTATCATAGATCCAAAGCAGAGCTCACGGACCCTGTGTGAGAGTCGTTGAGTCGCATAAGCAAGGGATATTTCCAAACCCATGAACAAAATGAACGTTCCACCTGCAAGGGCGACAAACACTCCGGACCAGAGATTGACCTCACTTCTTAGTTCCGAGTGTCGAGATGATGGCAAACCAATTACGGTAAGTAGTTTGGCAAAGAAAACAGATTGTCTGATTGAAAGGTTAAGATATGCCGGATCATAAAGAGGCAAAGGTAATCCAAAACTCACGCTGGAATCGTCAAACCTGCAAATATTGCACAAATGAGTCCGAAAGTAAGTACCTTCCAGTCTGTTCTACCCATCCTTGTCATAAATAAGGCGGTATTCTTCGCGCTTGGAGCTCCTATTTTCTTGGTTGAGATTGTGGGCGTTGTCAGGTTGTTGCCATGGTCTGAATGGGTTTCCTTGCTGTCTGGGTCATCTATTGTGATCGAGGAGGCCTTTTGCTTGATATCTTCAATCGAATACCGAGGCTCAGCCTCAATCTCCGCTCGCTTCGTGTCACTGATTTGCTGCTTTTGCACCAAGCCTGCGTAGACTCCATTCTTGGCAAGGAGATCACCATGGTTACCTTTTTCTACTACTTTGCCGTCCGCAAGTACGATAATATTATCGGCATTCCTGACAGTTGACAGCCGATGGGCAACAATGATAGTAGTCCGTTGTTCTGAGGCAACATTCAATGCGGCTTGGACGATGGATTCAGACTTTGAATCCAACGCTGATGTCGCTTCATCCAAGAGAAGGATTTTCGGATCCTTCACGAGTGCACGAGCAATAGCAATCCTCTGTCTTTGACCACCAGATAATTGAAAGCCCTTCTCACCAACTTGAGTCTGATAACCGTCTGGGAGACCGGCCACGAAGTCATGTGCGTTGGCCTTCTTGGCCGCTTCAAAGACCTTTTTCTCAGTCTCATCTTTGGTAAGTTGGCCTAGAGCATCGGAGATACCAAAGGTGATATTATCGAAAATCGATCCATTGAATAATACGGGATTCTGGTCGACCAGAGAGATTTGCCTTCGTAGCCAGCGAAGATTCAACGACTGGACATCGTGTCCATCCAGTGCTGTTACGTGTCAATGATATGTCTGGTACACAATTCGTGAATGTTACTTACAGACAATCCCATCAGTGGGCTGATAGAACCGTTCCAGCAAGCCTAGAATACTGCTTTTCCCACTTCCAGACGGACCGACAATCGCTGTCCTCTTCATCGCAGGGCATGTCAACGTGACACCGTTGAGAACCGGCACATCATCCCGAGACGGATAAATCAGCTCGATGTTTTCCAGCCTGATCTCACCGACAACCTTCGCAGGAACTTCGCCGATATCTAACATCGGGTCCTCGGGGGATTTTCTTGAAATTGCCTTCAGCACTTGGCCAGTGATGGCAACACCAGATGTCAGAGCTTGTGCCGAAGGAGCAATTCTGGTGATCGCAAAAGAGCCGATGGTGATTGCCAACGTGGTAGCAGTCACGCCAGCAACAGAAACCTCCTGCTTTACCAGGTATATGGAACCAGCCCAGAAGGAAAGCGCATAGAGGAGGTTGGGCATAGTATTCATCCAGGCAATCATACCAGCGACGATATTCTCGGCCATGCTATTCTGCTTGTCGGCACTGCTCAGAACGGCAAGGTATCGCCTGGAAATGACTTTCTGGATTCCAAAGGCAGTGATATGCTTGATGGCGCTGAGAGCCTCCTCAGCGATGCCGGAAGCTTGACCGTACTGCTCCTTGGCGAGTTTGAAATGCTTGACGGCGTACGCGCCGCCGATGCTTCCAGAAGCCAGCATAGCGACAAAAAAGGGGCTGAGAATTAGAGCCGTCTTCCAGTACATGATAAACGCAACAACATAAGCGGCGCAGAATGTCGCAATGGCTGTCAAAAGCACTGCCAATTTGCTCGTCACGGCCTCTTGGATGGTCCCCATGTCAGACATGATGCGGTTCGTGATCTCGCCTGGCCCGAGAAGGTCGAAAAAAGCCATATTCTGGCGCATCACCGCCGAAAGATAAGCATTTCGCAGGGCTCGCGCAAAGCGTTCCCCGGAGAAGTAGTATCCCACGGTAGCGACATAGGTGAAGACGAAGAGTGCGATGCTTAGATACACATAGTAGAGACTGAAGGTTGATATCTTGGAGCGTAACTCGTCTGCAGTGACAGTACCTATCTCGAATCCGTTAAACGCCCCTACCAGGAGACCGTAAATGACCTGAGACAGTCAGCTCGAAAACAGACGCGGGGGATGTGGAATGGAATGGAGCATCCGCCTACAGGAACAAGAGGATTCAGGGCACCAGCAAGAATGGCGCACACCGAGCTCACGAACAGAATCACTTTGTCCAAGCTCGTAAAATATTGGAATACATTCACACTCTTGTCTTCTGTGGCAAGTCCGTGCAGCTGGCGGTCTAGAATAGCCCGTTTGCGCTCGTCGCCGCGAGCTGCTTCCTCTGCTGGTGCCATTCGGGATGGCTTCAAGTTCACAAAGTGACCGTGATTGGCAACAGCAGCATGCACAGAAGGGGACACAATGTCTACTGCCTGAAGAGATAGCTAGGTCATGTGAGTGGGATTCCCTCTGCGCCCGTGGCTCTATCAAAAGTACTGTCTACCGAATCGAGAAGCTCACTCGCCCGGCATATCGCATGCACCAGCCATGGGCATTTCTGCGGCCGATGGCCAGGGGTGGCCTTCGCACCTGAATTCGGGTAAGTGATCTGCCCGGTCTGTGAGTAATATGGCCTGACTTAGCCAGGCTTTGTTTCTCGATAGATTACGTGCTCGGGACCGTGGGTTCTACCGCTATTCCTCTCGCATAATTATGCATATCTGCTGCATAAATGGTAGAGCGACAAGTAAAAATAACCGAAAGGGTGCTTACCTGCCAAGTAAGCAGCAAATGTGCAGCCATTCGGAGGTGAGTAAGATCGGTTGTTGACGGCTTCGGCCCGAACCACTGACCAGCTATGGCCGGATGGGTTGGCAGCTCCCCAATGGCATTCATCTGAAGCAAATAACATATGTGGATGTCTGGCTAGCCTTGAGAGGTTGCAATGAGTAGTATTGTAATCATTCCATTGAGCTGAGTAGTGGATGAAGCAACAACGCTATAGCATCCAACATGGTTAAACATATTGACGTGCTTATTGTAGGAGCGGGACCAGCTGGGTAGGTGCGCATGTATACAATGAATGAAGATATCGGTACTGACTTCTATCCGTCGATAAGTCTGACTACGGCCAATTGCTTCAACGGCAGCGATCTAACTGTACGCATCATCGACAAGAAGCCGGGCCCGGACCACGTTGGCAAAGCAGATGGGATCAAGAGCATTTCGATCGAGGTCCTGGACACTCTAGGAATCGGAGATGCCGTGTTCAGTGAATCTCAGCGTGTCGAAGAGATTGTTCTGTGGAATCCCGATGAGAATGGCACTATTCGACGCACGATGACAATTCCGGATCGAGTCGAGGAGCTCATGAAGCCTCGGGAGGTATGTCTCGACCAAGGTAAAGTTTTCAGCTTCAGAGCGTCCGACAAATCGGCTAATGATTCAAAGGAAGGGTGGAAGGTTTGATGGTTGAAAACCTCAACAAGCAAGGGAGCGTTCAAATCAACTGGAACACTCAGCCTGTGGATCTGAAAGTCAATGTATCTCAAAAAGATGATCCAGAGGCGTATCCTATTGCCATCTCTCTTGAAAACATCAACACGGGCATTATCGAAACACTCGCCGTCAAGTACATAGTCGGCGGCGATGGCGCTCACAGTTGGCTACGCAAGCAGCTGGGGATCAAACTCACAGGAGATCTGACAGACTCAACCTGGGGTGCGTCGGCTATTTGCATAACAACTCTTCATACTCTAGGAAGGAAGCTGATATTACTCAGGTGTACTTAATATGGTGCCCAAGACCGACTTCCCTGATATCCGCAAGGTGTTTGTCGTTCACTCTGTCAACGGCACCGTAATGGGTGTTCCTCGGGAGTCTAAGATGGTGCGCTTCTACATCAGCATGGACGGTGGGAGCAGGCACACCTCTATTAACGTTAAAGATATCACGGCGGAAAACATTATCGAGGCGGCTCAGATTATCATGGCCCCATACAAACTGGAGGCTGCCAGAATACCATGGTGGTCCGCGTACTGCGTCGGCCAACGGGTAGCAGATAGGTTCTCCCATAGTGAAAGGGTGTTCCTAGTAGGTGACGCGGTACATACCCACTCGCCAAAGGCTGGCCAGGGTATGAATACCAGCCTTCAAGATGGATATAACATTGGATGGAAATTGCGGTACTGTCTAGAGCAAAGCGCAAGCAGGGAACTCCTCTCCACATATCCAATCGAAAGAAAGCCAGTGGCTCAGGCACTCATTGACTTCGATAGAGAGTATCTAGAAACGTTTGCCCGGTCTGACATCACACACGAGGAGTTTCTCGCGGCATATCTCGCTGGCCAGAGATTTACCACTGGAACGCAAATCCAGTATCCGGAATCATTGATTGTGAAAGGTCGCAACGCCGAGAGCACATCACATCTTGCTGCTAAATTGGCAGAGGGTGTTCGTCTACCAGACTTACAAATTGTCAATCAATCAGACGGCGTTCCGGTGAAGTTGTACCACCGGCTCACCTGTGATGGCCGATTCCGAGTCCTCGTTTTTGCCGGCAACCTGTCCAACGAGGCCTCCCTATCTCGCCTCAACAACCTGGGAGACTGGTTTGAGAAATATCTGCCGGCGTCCTCTGGGCTAGAGATTTTGACTATTCATAGCTCGAAACGTGAAGAGGTTGAACTCATGGATCTGCATCCCAGTTTCCGCCCGTGGAGCGAGGATGGTTGGGATTATTGGACTATCTATGCAGATGATGACAGCTATCACGATGGCCATGGAAGGGTGTATGAAAGATGCGGAATTAACAAAGAGGAAGGCTGCCTTATTGTTGTCAGACCGGATGGTTACATTAGTACCATTCGCCGCTTAAACCAGACTACCGAGATACTCGCATTCTTTAGCGGTCTAAAAGGTAGTAAGGCGCAATCTGGTCAGGCCACAGAGAGCTTTCAAACAAGGCTATAATATAGTACTTGCGACAATAAAAGACATTGAGGAAGCACACCAGACTCCACTACGACGTGAAATATCATGGTGAAAGAACAGCTTTCATAAAGTGATGACCCGCACAGCTATGTGAGAGAGTATTCTTAAACCTTTAGCTATAATTGATCAGACTTGATGCGTAGGCTCAAGGGAACTATCTATAGCTAAGGAGAAGGCGGGGCGAATACGCCACGTTCTTTAAGCGTACATGATAAGCTATCGTGAGGCGAGAGAGACATCCTGCTGTTGTACTTAATTAAGGTAAAGAAACCATGTGTTGGCATACGGGAAATTGGACGGTTTGTTCGACGAAGCATGAACAAGAAACTTGTAGCTTTAAAAGGAAAGCCATATTGCGTTCTGGGAAAAATGAAGGAGCCGGATAACATGGAAGAACGAGAATAGAGTCATCTCATCCAAGCTTCGAAGACAGTTGGAATTTATAGGTCTTGTAGCAATAAATAAAGCGACCTGATACCAGACATCAATTGAATAGCATCTTGGAATATCTATTGCGTACGGCGATAAAAAAAAAAGTCTCACATAAACTACATCCGGGTGATGCATTATCTGACTCCAGCTCATAAACTCGACCGTTAAGTTGAGGCTTGATCTCTAGGCCAGACAGCCTGCAAGGCCTAGCATTTGATTTCCCTAGCTTAAACCCACAGGGATACAATCAAAGAATCGTCGGGAGCTTCGCCAACCCCCC